ATCTACCTGGCGTTTGCTTTTTTTTTTTTTTTGGTTTTTTTTTAAAAACAATTTAAAATTTTACTTAAAAAAAAAAAAAAAAAAAAAAAAAAAAAAATGAATGCTAAATGAAAAAAAAAAAAGATGAAGAAAAGTGAAACACAGTCAATACAATGCTCTATAGGATGTGTGTTCAGTTCAGTTGCTATCAGTGACGCAGAAGGAATTAGCTGTCAGTATTCTTTCATTGGCTTTAGCCAATGCATATCGTCAATGCAAACCATACTTGAAGAATGGACCATATATCTAGACATGTCTATGCTTTGTCAAAGTACAATGCCTGCAATTTCTTATCTATGTGGCCCCCCACAAATTCTTTTGGGTCCCTCCCAGCTACTCCGGATCCGGGTAACCGGAGCCCTAGCAATTGTTCATGCTTGGGCAAAATATGTCAAGAGAGACGGGCAAAGAGTACACAGTAGACAAGATGACGTCAAAGAAAAGAGCTAGAGACCATTTCGCAGAGGTACCCATGCAGACCATGGCAGAAGGAAGGTTGCCAGAGCTCAATTGTACCCCTCCACCAATCCACGCTTTTAGACTGGTGGTGTTCCTTCTCTAGATCCCCACCCCAACCTTTTTAAAGAAAATTGAGTTGCGCACACTCTGTGGTATTCTGAACGCATCTTCATGCAGCGCTCACAGGATTATGCGACAGATGCCAGAAACGCATCCACATTAAGTGGACTTTATCTCTTAGTTAAACATATGAGTGGCAGTCCAAATTAAAGTTCACAGCAAGGTACCAATTGCAATTACAACAGCGAACCTATGCGACTGGTGCGTTTGAAGAGATCCCTTTATAGACTTCATCAAATATTTCTCTCCTTGCCATGTCCCCAGTAAAATGATAATACGCGGGGATCGCTCAAGCGTCCACATAACATTCCTTCCACACTTATCACCATCTTGGCTCTTTGCTTCTACGCCTATTTTCTATTTTCTTCTATCAAAAGCGTGTCTGAAAATATCTCCCATTTTACCCTTTTTCGCTCATCTGACCGACTGAGCAATTCTCAGATAAAATGGCCAAAAAAACAAAAAACAACAAGGTTTACCCTCAAAAAAAAATTTTTTCGGGTTTTTTTCGTCATCTTTGCCTTAGTAATTTTCGGTTTTCCCTAATAAACTTTGACTCTCCCTAAACGAAAAAAGGGAAAAACGAGGAAAAAACGAGGGAAAAAAGTAAAGTCATCAAACAAACAAAAAAGAAACACTTTCTTTCCCGAGCTCTTTTCAGATATACACTCATATTCCTTTATAAACCAGTATAAGGAAGTGATATTATTCATTATACCTGGAGACAGTTTACGCTAGCGAAGACTCGCCCCACGGCCCACATCAAAACCTTGAAGAACCAGTTGCACAAAGCAGAAAGATTGATAATTGAATTGACTTTTTTCCCTTAGTCTCTTTTTTTTTTTTTTTTGCCTTCACCCAAAGTTTTCTAGTCACGTCATCGAATTAATTTTATATTTCGTATAGACCAGCACACCAGAAGAACTCCACAAACACACCCCAACTACATAAGAACTAGTATATTCACACAAAACGCACAAACACACACAACCATGTCAGACCACCAAGAAGCTGATATCGACTCTATTGTTGACAGATTGCTTGAAGTCAGAGGCTCTCGTCCAGGAAAGCAAGTTACCTTGCTCGAACACGAAATCCGTTACCTTTGTACCAAGGCCAGAGAAATCTTCATCCAACAACCAATCTTGTTGGAGTTAGAAGCACCTATCAAGATCTGTGGTGATATTCACGGTCAATACTATGATTTATTAAGATTATTTGAATACGGGGGATTTCCTCCAGAAGCAAACTACTTGTTCTTGGGAGATTACGTTGATAGAGGGAAGCAATCCTTGGAAACTATCTGCCTTTTATTGGCTTATAAGATTAAATACCCTGAAAACTTTTTCATATTGAGAGGTAATCACGAGTGTGCTTCCATTAATAGAATCTACGGGTTTTACGATGAATGTAAAAGAAGATATAACATCAAATTATGGAAAACTTTCACTGATTGTTTCAATTGTTTACCGATTGCTGCAATTATCGACGAAAAGATCTTCACCATGCATGGTGGTTTGTCCCCAGACTTGAACTCTATGGAACAAATTAGAAGAGTTATGAGACCAACCGATATTCCAGATGTTGGATTATTATGTGACTTGTTATGGTCTGATCCTGATAAGGATATTACAGGGTGGTCAGAGAATGATAGAGGGGTGTCTTTCACATTTGGACCGGATGTTGTATCGCGATTCTTGCAGAAACACGATATGGATTTGATCTGTAGAGCCCATCAAGTTGTTGAAGATGGGTACGAATTCTTCTCCAAGAGGCAATTGGTTACATTATTTTCGGCACCAAACTATTGTGGTGAATTCGATAACGCGGGGGCAATGATGAGTGTGGATGAAAGTTTATTATGTTCATTCCAGATATTGAAGCCTGCTGACAAGAAGCAACCTAGATATCCTCAACTGACCTCAGCAGGTGGTAGTAGGCCAGTTACGCCTCCAAGAAAGCCAAAGAGAGGTTCCAAATAGGAGGCTCTCCTCATGCGTATCAAATCGTGAGTAATTGTCCCTTTACTCCAAAATCTATTCAAACTTGATTCTAAGAGAGAAGAAGATAAAACACAAACCAAGACCAAAACGAAGTAACTAAAGTGAAAAAAAAAAAACCGAAAAAAATTGATGAAAGGTGAAGAAAAGACTCAGCATTATGTGTATATAAAGATGCAAAAGAAGAAGCTTTATCTTTTCTCCACAACCTTTATCATCTTTGAAATCATCCAACAAAAATCCTACATTTGTACGTTGTACATGTACATGTACATCGCACCGCCAATCACCTGTATTCTAGACATCACACAACTTATATTCTTGACTTTATGTTTTCATGAATTAGACGAATTACAATTTTTTTATAGCGAAATTTTATACATAGAAAGTAAGTAAAATTTTATTTTAATTTTAGAGTATATATTTATATATATTATATTGCGAGATAAGAAAGAGGAGAAACCGGGAATCCAAGAGCTTTAATAAAAAAAAAAGATCTTGATTATCCTGATTTCTTCTTTTACTTATGATGAAGAAATGACAGAAATGAAAGAAAAGAAAAAAGAAAAATAATATAATATTAGATTAATTAATTGTGACTAACTTTAGGTTCAGATGCTTTTGGATGGAGAGGATGCTACGGTTGGATGATTTTGGAATTTAAAAGGTGATGAAAAATGGTGGAAAAGACGGGGTATCAATAGTTGTGTTTTTACGTATGAGTATATAGTGTAAAGTTTATTTTTTGTTATTATATACATTTGCGATCTCTATGTTTTATCTTTGTTTTAATGAACATGTTTTGAAAAAGAAGTGAGGGAATGGGTGATATCTACGGTTGGTGCGGAACCAAAGAAGAGGAAGAAGACGATATTGGAAACTTTGAATTATTTCACTTTCCGCTGAAGAGAGTGGTTGTTTTACATATATGAATGCTTTTGAAGTACTAAGTAGCGGAATTGCTGCGATAAATCTGATTAGCCGGGGAAACACTGTGATATTTACCCCAAAGTATTGTTTTAAATTATTTTATTAAATATGTGTTGAATATATGCCTTCAATACAAAGAGATGGTCACGTAGGAGCGAAACTGGATAGTCAGGGTAAAGAGCTCAGCTGAGGTTGGAAAGACGGAGCAGAGGTGGAGCAGAGCGGGAGAGAAATAGGAGAGAGGCTCATTTCACGTAATATCTGCCCCACACAATGCTTAGCGCAGACAGATAGACCCAGCATTATTCGGTTAGAACAAATATTTGACAAAATGAAATGCCTCTACGAATAGCCTCAAATATTACTTGACGCCGGATAAAAATCCGAACAGTACCCAATCCTCCAGCATACTTTGGACAAGGGTCAATGGCACTACTATTACATAGAACGAGCGTTATCGCTACTAGACTAGCTAAAATTTGCACCCAAACGATCTGCAGCACGCGCAGACATCGCACCAACCGAGTCACGCGCTCCAGTTCCCATCTTGCCTTTTCTGCGAGTTACTTGTGGCCCCAAAAACAGTCACGCATATCAGGTGATTGTGTTTTCCTCAGTGCTTACATAACACACTAATTTTGGCTTATGTAATTCGCGATGAAATTTTTCAATTTCCAACCTACTCAGTTTGATTGATATAGAAAAAAAACTCTAATTTACACCACCGCTTGTAGAGTACTTGATATCACAGATTAACACGGCAACATGGTATGTATAAATGCGATATTGTGTGAATGAGGAAGTGTTATATTGAATGTAGTAATGTGTGAGACCCGTAGGGCGAGATTAAAGAGGATCTAGGGCTACTGTTCCAGGAGGAAGAAATATTGTGTGACGAAGGTTAAGATACCTCCAATTAAGAATGGAAGTAGTGTGGAAAATAGGCTCTGAAATGGGGTCGACGAGTCCCTGGCTCCTAGAATTAAAGAGATCAGAGTGAAAGACACGAGATGCAAGAGGAGAAGTGCATGTTGAAAGAACGAATTCAAGATTCCCACAATAATGGGGGCTAGGGCTAAGGTGTGACTTGACAGGACTTCCCTTCCATGCCACTGAACATACCCTCTGTAATACTTTCACGTGTAGAAGTAGGGAAATACCAACTAAAGAAACCTATAAGGTCAGAAGTGCCATTAGTCGAGGGACGTTACCCAATGAATTCCAATATACTTGCATACACTCATATTACTCTCACTCCACTGTTTATTTTATTTCATTTTATTGAACATCTACTAACAAGTATTACAGGTTTTAGTTAAAGATTTATTGAACCCAAACCCAGCTACTGAAGCTCAACAACACAAATTAAAGACCTTAGTCCAATCCCCAAGATCATACTTCATGGATGTTAAGTGTCAAGGTTGTTTAAACATTACCACTGTTTTCTCCCACGCCCAAACTGCTGTTACTTGTGACTCCTGTTCAACTGTCTTATGTACCCCAACCGGTGGTAAGGCCAAGTTAACTGAAGGCTGTTCATTCAGAAGAAAGTAAACTGATTTTTCATGTATAATTATTAAAAATCTTAAAAGTACATCAGATATAATACGAAACATGTAGACGTGACCTGTAGGAAGAGTAAGAGCTAGGTGCTGTTTTTTAGTGCCAGCTGTTGACTGGTGTATCACCAGAGAGAAAGTTAATACGTTGTAGGAGGGATACCGATTTGACTGCACAAAGAGTTAGCGCTTGATCTTCTTAAGGTATGGTACACGAGATGCTATCTTAAAGTACTTGTATTAAAATAAAATAAAACTAAGCTAAACCAAACTTTAACTAACAGTAACTCATCACTCATATTTCTTCATTTTTGTTCCATAAACTTTTTCGTTACTCTTTCTACTTATAACTTTGGTTTGTAGTATCTAACAACTTCATCAAATGCCTTGGCAACCTGTTCGACGTTTCCATCATTCAATCCAGCAACTGAAGCTCTACCAGAGCTCACCAAGTAAACCCCATGGGTCTTTTCCAATCTGGCAACCATCTCTGGGGTTAATCCAGTAAATGAAAACATACCAGTTTGATTCACAATATGGTCCCAATTTCCTGGAGTCTTGTAGGAAATCAACAATTCTCTTAAGCTCTTTCTCATCTTGATAATTCTGGAAGACATAGTAGTCAAATCTTCTTCCCACTGGGCTCTAAGTGTTTTGTCAGTTAAGATTTCTGCAACGACCTTAGCTCCGTATGCTGGAGGATTGGAGATTTCGGATCTAATCAACTTATTCAACTGAGATCTGATGGCTCTGTTTAAAGTAGGGTTCTTTTCCTTGACTATAACATGGATTGCCCCTACTCTTTCACCGTACATACCGACATTCTTGGCAAACGATTGACAAATGACAATTGGTACCTTCAAATTTTCATCCTCAATAGCCAATCTTACAGCAAAGTTATCCTTATCCAAATTACCAGATGCAAATCCTTGGTAGGCCAGATCGAAAAGTGGCAAGTGGTTATTTATCAGGATTTCTTTAAGGATTTGCTTCCATTGATCCGCAGTGGGGTCTAATCCAGTAGGGTTGTGGGCACAAGCGTGGAGAAGGAAGATAGAACCAGTTGGAGCATCACGAATAGCCTGCAAGAAGCCATCGATGTCCAATGTCTTGGTATCATTATTCCAGTAAGGGTATGACTTTATTTCGTAACCCAAAGACTGGAAAATTTGGTTGTGGTTGGCCCAGGTTGGCTTGGAGAGGTAAATTGGAACAGAGGCAGGAGCCTTGGAATTGAGACCATCAACGGTGTAAAAGTCCTTCAAGAACTTACCAGCCAAATGCAAAGCACCTGTTCCTGACAAGGATTGTTGCGATATCACTCTGTCATGAAGTATAGCAGGAGAATCTGGTCCCAAGATGACCTTTGCAGACTCAGTCAAGAATGGCTGATAGCCTGAAATACCCAAGTATTCGTGATTGTAGTCTGGTTTGGCCACCAATTTCTTTTCAGCCAATTTGACAGCTGGTAAGATCCATGGCTTACCGTTATTATCTCTGTAGGCACCGATACCCAAGTCAACCTTGTTGTCTCTTGAGTCTTGCGTGAATCTTGCCTTTAACCCGAAGAGTGGATCAGGTGGGAGTTCCACGATATTAGCAAAGTACTTTGACATGATTTTTTTAAAGATTTAGCGAGCTAGTGTGTGACTTGTAGTAATGCTAGTCCCTGAAAAGAAAAGTTTCAACCAAATTGGTGAAATATTGCTGTCAAAACGGAAAAACTTAAGGTTATATACACTAAGTAGAATTGTGATGAGGGGTTTATAGTGTGCAGGGCGGATGAAAGGATGCGTCACCGAATTATGGTGCGGATTTTGGGAACGTTTGGAGATAAGCAGCGATGAAGCTTGGGGACGATGAAATAAGTAAGCTTCCACTGGTAAGGGCATACCAAAGGAGTAATCGCATATGCTTCGAAAGAGAAGAAAAAAAAATTGTGGTAGGAGACTGTTTTAGGTGAAAAGGAAGGTACAAAACAAAAGCATGGAGAGAGATTTCGTTCCCTTTCTTGTCACACTATTATTCGCCTGACTTTTTGTAGGGAATCAATGCCCCGAAAAACTTTTCGTATTACTTGCTAATGGTGGTGGTGGAACGCTTTTCTTTCTTTTTTTTTTTGAGGTGCGCGCGTAGGCTAATGTATGGAGAAGCAGTTAAGTGCAAAGAGATTGGGGGAGCAAGTGGGGAATGAGCCGCCAGATGCGAAAAATGTTGAATGAAGAGATGATGCCTGATAACTAACGCCATGTGTAGTAGTAGTAGCAGTAATGGTAGTAGTAATAGTATGGTTGTCGTACTTGTTCACTAGGTAGCCTGAAATACTTCAGACTTTGAGCGCCCGTCCTGGCTACAAATTGTAACGTGCTGTGTATGGTAACCTCGGCAGAGCAGCCTTCCATACGTTCGCGCTGTCTTGTGATTACTTTTTCGCTTAGGTGCTCAGTGAGTGTGAAAAGTTAGGCTAAGAATAAAGCCTCTAGTAGCAGAATTCTATAGGCACTACTAGTAGCACACACTAGCAGTGATAATAGCCTTCATGCAAAAATAAAGTAGTGAGCTAGCACGCGAGAAATTCTCGGATGAATGTGAGTTCATGGTCTATTCGTATTTTTCTTGTTTCTTTCATATATTTTGCATGTTACTGTATGTACTTAGCGTGACTGCTTGAGTTCTGTGTGCTTTCCTTTAGACTTCCTATATGCTATAATAAGGCTCATTACTAGTGCGCTATTCGCTCTTTTTATCTTTTCATCGTTTTTGTCAAACTGTCCCGCAATTTGACTTTCTGACCTGCTCATTCACTCACTCCTACATAAACTTATATTTATATGTGTATATTGAAACTATCGTTATGTAATTATTCTGCAATACTCAGAATATTTCACTCTTCCACCTTTTTTTAGTTTTTTTGGTGCAATATTTGATTATTTTACCAGCTGTGGGCTGTGGTTTAATTTCTTGCTAAGTTACAGTATATTCTAGATCACACTACTGACTTTACTTCAAAGAAACGTCTTAAGTAATATATTTGGAAAAGAGAATTGACTGCAACCACCAAGATTTGGAATACAGACCACCACTTGACTCTGGAGTTGGTGGATTCGGCGGTATTTCTATGCGTACGTTCTCTAATAACCAAGTAAGCTTGTTCATCCTTAACATTTGCGGTTAATTGAGATAATCTTTGAATAGCATAGTCCAATGAATCTGCCCTTGGGTCGTTTACGTCAACATAGATCACACCATGAACGTTGAATGAGACATCTATGTCAACTCTACCAGACTTTTCATTAGAGAAACAGTACATATATTTTCCTGAAGTGGTAGCTTTGATGGATTCGTCACCGTGGTCGAGGTCACCCCTCTTCAACACAACTTGACCATTTGGAGTAGAAATCTACAGATTGTTAGTAATGTGAAAACTTAAAAAAGAGAAGGTATTGACATGCAAATTACCGAATTCTTGAATCACCATCGACTGATTCTTTACTAAATCATCTACTTACGGAAAAGTCAACACTAAATTGTTCAGCGTTACCTGGATCACGAGAACCAACTTGGAAACTAACAGCTAATTGATCATTTTGCTTTAAGTTTTCAAAGAAACAATGTTTACCATATGGAGGTAATAACACATTGTGAGCTTGTACCAATGAAAGGAAGAGACAGATAAGTGATAAAACCGTGAACTTCATCTTTGATAGAGGTCTAAGTAGTAATGATTGGGAGTTGGAGTGGTGTCGATCACTTTCTGTTTTTCTTTTTCTTTTTTTTTCAGAGAATTTCTTGACACGCGTTAAATTCGGTGTGCATATGGACAATAGCACAAAACCGTTACCTTATAAAAATAGAATAGACTAGCTAAGAAGAAAGTGGTGGATACCTAGTTATTTGAGTCAGTGTGTGGATAAGTAAACGTTTCTTATCAATGGCGAGTCGAAACTAATCTATTGATGTTCTCGGTGTTATCAGGGCCTATTACACATTCGTGATTTTGAGTATCAGTTTCATGTTGTCGTCCATGCCTTGATAGTGGTCTAATTATGAACACTTGCAGTCGTTAGTGGGACATTGTACGACCAACTTTTCAGCTTAAAACATGCTGCCCTGCTAAACTGAGATAAATGCGATCAATCTCACGGACTCCATACTCCCCTTTGCAGCCAAAAGAAGGAAATCGAACCCAGGATTTGGACCCCAATAGTGCCACTTTTCCGATGTGTTCACCATTCTTTTCACTCTTTATTGTCATTTTTTTCCACATTGGGCCATAAAAGGTATACTTTTTTCGAGTAGTAAAACATCTGCAAGACTTCGTCAATCTATGTTACCTTAGACGGGTTTACAACAAGTACCACATTCGCTTCAATAAAATGCAACCTAAATTACTCGATTTGGCTGCAAAAGAATGCTTTGAAATCGGCAGGAAAAACGAAAAATTCGTTCTTATGCAGAATGCTATGCATGTAATCAAATGCATGTAATCAAGGCTCGAGGTAAAGATGGTTATATAAATAGACAGCTGTCTGTTGATTAAAGTATTATATTATTCCAAATTCATTATCGACTCAACAAAACATTAACACCAAATAGTGACTCTAACTCAATACTACACAAAAAATGAAATTATCCACCACTTTTCTTATTTCTGCATTTGCAGCCAACTTTGCCAATGCCGCTCCAATACCTGCTAATGAGACCGAAACTATTGAAATTCCAACTGCAGCAATTCTTGACCAATTTTATCTCCCAAGTGATGTTATTCCAGTTCTTTCCAGCGAAGATGGATACACACAGATTACCTTCGTCAACGCTACAATTGCTGATGAAGAAGTTGCCGATGTTTCGAAAAGATCGGATGGTGATGAGTTTGAAAAAAGGTCCGTTCATTGGTTGCTCACCATGCCACATCAACCTATCTTGAAGAGATCTGTTCACTGGTTACTTACTATGCCACATCAACCTATCTTGAAGAGAGAAGCTGATGAAAGTGATGAAGCATTTGAAAAGAGATCTGTTCATTGGTTACTTACTATGCCACATCAACCTATCTTAAAGAGAGGAGTTGATGAAAGTGATGAAGCCTTTGAAAAGAGATCTGTTCACTGGTTACTTACTATGCCACATCAACCTATCTTGAAGAGAGAAGTTGATGAAAGTGATGAAGCATTTGAAAAGAGATCTGTTCATTGGTTACTTACTATGCCACACCAACCAATTTTATAAGAAATTTGGTCAGTTAAAACCACCTCTTTTGGATGTTCTTTCGATTATGCAATGAATTACTGCAGTTTTTAGAGTCTAGTTCATTGTACTCTCTTTTCAGCCAGTCTGCTGGAACAATTGTTTTTTTTTCCTTTTCGAGGTATATATTACCAGCCTCTTTTAGTTCAATATATCTTGTTTGTTTTTTATATTATTGTAACTTTCAGAATTAATTCAGGAAACATGTATGACACTGTTGATTTACTTATTCAGCTCTACTGGACCTACAGATATTTGCGCGCTCTTTTATCCATCTACATGCTTTGTTAAATAATGCAATAATCCTCCTCTATTCTCTATATAAATGTGTGCTCAAATTAGTAAAGTTACAATTGGTAAAGTTGCAAATTTCATAAACATGCATAGAATATTCAAGGATATTTTTCTTGGTACTTGCCATTAAGTTTCAACTTATAATGGCTTCATAATTTCTTCGTATAGCATAACTTTCAACTCATCTACTTGCAAAGAGTCCTTTTTCTTATCAAAGTCGAAGAAATCTTCTGGAATTTTTTCAGCTATAGGTTCATCTTCTGGGTCATGGTACAATTTCAAGTATGGATGATTGAGAGCATCTTCAACGGATATTCTCTTTGCAGGGTTAAATGTTAATAAATTTTCTAACAAATCAATTGCTAAGGGGTTGCAATCGGGGAATAATTGGTCAAAGGTAATCTTCTTTCTAAAAGGTAATGACCTTATATATTCTCTTGCTCTTTTCAGTTTAATGTTATAATAGTCTTCCATGTTTGGTGTTCCTAATACTTCAATAATGAGCCATAATTGATTATGATAATCTCTCCCTGGGAACAATGGTTTACCACTTAGCATTTCTGCTAATATACATCCAACTGACCAAACATCAATCGCCGTAGTGTATTCTTGGAAAGTTAACATGATTTCTGGGGCTCTATACCATCTTGTTGCCACGTATTCTGTCATAAATCCAAAATTATCTTCAGACAGAGCAATCGACCTTGCCAATCCGAAATCACAAACTTTCAAATCACAGTTGCTGTTTAACAATAAATTCAGGGGCTTCAAGTCTCTATGCAAAACATTCGCCAGGTGCATGTTCTTTAACGCTCTCAAAGTCTGATAAATGAAATATTGAATGTGATCATCAGAGAGCTTTTGAGTTCTAATGACTCGATGTAAATCAGTTTCCATCAATTCTTGGATCAAGTAGATTTCAGTGAAATTTTCAAATGAAGGGGGTCTTTGTATGGCCAATATAGAAATGATGTTTTCATGATTGAAATGCTTCAACAACTTCAATTCTCTTAAAGTTCTTAAGCAAAGCATGGACCTTTCGAAAGGTTCAATTTTTTTGATCGCTACCTTCTGGTTAGAAGGTTTATGAATTGCCAGGCAGACTACTCCATAGGCACCTTCGCCGACTATTTCAAGAATCTGATAATGATCAGATACATTGAAAGATATTTGTCTCGGTTCTGACATGTAGGCTTTTTCGTTTGCTTATCTTTTTGTGTGAGCGTGCGGGTTATATTGGATTGGATAAAGTGGTATTTTGGTTATTTCTGATAATGCAGTTTCTAGATTAAGGAGTTTCTAGCTGAATGTGTGTAATATGCGCAATGCGGTAGTTGGCAGGTCTTGTTGAACTTTCTTCTTCTTTTTATTCGAATTATGCTGATGGCATTCAGTTTTTAAATAAAAAGAAAAAAAAAAGAATAACTTATTTCAGTAGCTTGGAAAAATGAAGGGAACTAAAAAATAAATCCAAAATTAATGACGAACTGAACAATTGTGTTGCTAAATGTTGTATACATATATATATATATATATGTTTTTGCACCATGTATATCCTTGTGAAGGGGGCTTACTGTGAGTTACCAACAGATGTAAGTGTACGTAGTGTATTCAATGTTTACTTTTTTTTAAATGTTAACACAAAAAATGTGTGAATATGTTTTAGAATATTTTCAAGCGTAGGAGTGAATTATTCGAACCACTTAAAAATAGTTTCTTTTCACGGCACCGTTTATTGTTTCAAACGCTGGTGGCTACTTTGCAACAGAAGCTATTGTCAATAGTGTACTGAAAGGCTAAAATTGAAAGAAGAAAAAAATAAGAAAAGAAAAGAAAGCTCAAATATTGAAATACCAAACACTCTCAAGATTATATATCTATCTAATCAATGCCGTTGAGAAAGTAACTGTCACAAAGATCTCCCATTGAAACTTAAACTCGTTTCTACTTTCCTGCAACTTCTCATACAATCCACAACTTTTGACGTTTCAGGTTGGAATTTGTTACGCGAAAAATCACTAACAAATCAATTCTCGCAAAATAAGAAACTAAACAACAGAAAGAAACATACATTTAGCATAATAAACAAAGAAAGGTATTAAAAAATATATATAACACATTACTACGTCATGTGGTCGCTTCGCTTACAGTAGTAGTCATGCCTTTCAATACGTATATATTTTATTAACAGTTATAAAAATACAAAACACTGGTGCAAAAATACACTCAGTTCCCAAAAATATACTAGCCTACACCTCTATTCCATAGTCTCGTCATTCATTTTCTGATTGATCCTTCTTCTGTTCTTTTGGTTTCAAAACAAGACTCTTCATGTTTTCTACCGTTTATTTATTTTTATTCATACATGATGCCTTTATATTTCTTACTTCTTTCTACCGAATAATCCACCCTTCTTCTTCTTCTTTGTATTTGTATCATTTTTTAATGAAGTCGCACTGTAGTTCCCTGCTTGGTAAATACCTTGCTCTCCACCAGCACTAAACTGATGCACAGGAGGCTGCATGCCATGCAGATTACCCTCTTGAGAGTTAATATTGTTTCCATTATTACCACCTGCTTGAAGGTTGTAGTATGGGAAATCTTCATGGAAACCCCAGCCCAATCTGTTGGTTTCTAATTGATCTCTATAGTACATATCACCAGTGATCGCATACTCAAAGCCTCTAATAGTATCCAATGGTCTCTCATTTCTCGATCTGGTTGGATTTGACATGTCACCACTTTGAATCGGGTTACCGAAAATGTCCTTCAACTCTCCACTTTCTTGCGATAAGTACGAGGGCCTTCTATCGTTAGTACGATCTGCTGCTTGCTCGAAAGGTTGTGCCTCATTGACCGCAGATAAAATTGGATCATGGAGATTTGCCGTATGGATTTTATACTGCGATATATCTTTGTCAGTGATCTTTTGATTTTGAAAGTCCAGCTGAGCCTGCTGTTGGGAAGTTGACTTGCTTCTGAAGATAGCCATATTGGAAGTGTAATAATATTAACTTTTAAATCAGTGAAGAAAACAAGAAGAACTGTTTATCTAGTTCAATAATAAATATATTTTTTTTCCCTTTTTTTTTTCTCTCCTCGATTTCCCTAGAACTTTCGGTGTAGGGGGGTTAAAATCTGAGTGGTTTAAAGAAAAATAACAAGAATTACGAGTTAATACACCAAAAATAGATAACCAAGAGAAATAAGTATCTTTGATCAGTGGAGGTGTTCTTTGAATATTTGAAATGTCACTAAGTAATTCAAATTCCAATGCTACTACTAGTTAGTATATATTTATACCTGGGGCTATATTGAAATTGTTGTGCTGGCTCTGCCTTGATCCTTTGTCCTTTCTATTTTCCTGTTGGTACGAGAAAATTGGGATCTAATCTGCACGAAAAATTCTCTGCAATTTAAATTTTTTTTTTTTATTTTTCTGGGGAAGGAATGGTCCAAAAAATGGTAGACTCAGCTAATACAAACATACTCTTTAACAAAGATAATATAAACTGAATATGGTCAAACGTATATTTTACCGCAAAGAAGAGAAAAGGAAAAAGAAAAACTAGCCTATTTTTACATTCAGGATCGAAATCGCTTGTTTATAAAGAAAATTCAAAATTTTCCAAATTTATTTTTAAGCTTTACACACACTGTAGATCAACGATAAAATGAAATTTTTCCCTCAGAAAATCGATCCAGATTTTGCTAATTTTGCTCTTTTTTCAACCTTAATTTGGCCCTGATGGCACTGGTATAGCCTCCTCCTCGCAATGTGAGAAGGCTTTGTATGAAGGGGTTAGGTGAATTTTCTACTGCATGTGGTAATACTTGCATATGGTCAGGTTCATGTGCAGGTATAAGGTTGAGCGCTGACTTACAAGATACATTATGCTCATTATGGGTGGTTATGATCGATTTAGTGGTGCGCTTTCAAAACTCCCCTTGCTTTTGAATCAGTACTGACATCTAGCATTATTCTGCTGAGTGAAATTTTTCGCGTTGTCTTTGTTAGAACGATGCACCTTCCTGGCACATACTTGGAAACGTCATATCATAACATAGGTTTTAAGCATGACTGGTAAATCGCGTACTATCATTGTTGTACCTATTTTTTTTCTGGTGAAGCACCCTGTTACTGTGCCTCCATCTCTCGAGGTTTTAAATTTTCCTTAGATATTTTTTGCGGCTTCTCAAGATATTTTTTATGCAGTAGTACATCGATTTTCATCAAAACATGGCTAGGCAGGACAATTTGCAAATTAGCTGAGTAAACCTTGGAACCGTTCAATTTGAATACTGACATGCTGTGGATATGTAGTTAATGTAAGGAGAATACTGAAGAGATGGCCACCTTGTGTATTTTAGTATTTTTTGTTGATCTTCTTTCTGATGAAAACAGCATTAGCTCACTCACTGATTCTAGTGTTGTTACTTTCTTAAAACCGATATACGGTAGATCCGGGGGCCGTCTGAATAACAGCAGCTTTTCAATTTCTAACAGATCTGCACTTCCCTCGGGAAAGAACTACATTCTCGGAAGTGTATATCTGAAAGCGCTATGTCACAGAAATGAAATTAGGGTTGTGGAGCTTGGCATGGAAAACGTTAAAGCTCGATAGTCCTGTAACCTAAACTTCATTAGTAGCAGGGGAAAACGTACATGCAGTTGTGTAGTGTGTATTGTATTTTCCGCTATGGCAAATTCATCCAGCATCACTTCTTAGAATGATTCAGTAGTTACACACAATGACCAGATCTCTGAAGTATAGGGTCTTGGTATTGAATTCACCCTATCGTTTCGACTAATGCTTCTGCCAAAAGGGAGACCAAATCTTTTGAATTTAGCCATCCATCTATGAGATGAATCAAAGTGTGGTAGTTGCTTTCTGGTCTGTACGAGAAAATTAACAAATATACTCATCTCCGATATAGTGTAACGGCTAGCACGGTTCGCTTTCACCGAGCAGACCCGGGTTCGACTCCCGGTATCGGAATTATTTTTTTGCATCTGTATGACTGGCAGGATTAAAGGCTTTCAGGGCTTCGTACTGGTCAAGAAACCTCTTTTGTGTTGTATGATAGTCTACGATATTTATCTTTGAAAATTCATTGCTGCACAACCACTTAGTTGGACAAAAATGAAATAAATATGATATTAAGTTATATATGCTGTTTTATAATTCCTTTTCTCTGAATGAATCCCACGCTTTATTTAAAACAATAAAGACTCCTTGACAGATCATTTTATCCCGGAGTTCTAAATTCCCTAACTTATCTGGGTGAATTGAACTGATAACCTTCATATAATTAATCTTCACCTTCTTTGGTAACATAATATCATTAATAGTTATTCTTTTATTAATAAAATTGAAATTCAAGTGGTTGGGAACCACGTCGGGCAATCCAACCAATAATGTCCTGAGGTTGTCTTCTTTTCCACTGCTCCATTGAGTAATTAAGCCGTGTATTTCGTCATGCAACTTGAACTTTTCATCTTCTTCCTTCTTTTGCTTATCGAATTGTTCGGAGACTTTCTTTGCATTCACAGAAGGAGCAGTGGCTCTTGTGACCTTTGGTGCAGAAGGTGCTTGAGTAGGTGGATTCTTCTTTGGATTCACAATATTATCGACCCTCCTCTTACCGTCCATAATCTTCCTATCATTCATCCCTAATTTTATCAAATCAAGATAACTTTTCAAAGCTTCAGGGTATAGTTCTAGCTGCTCTAAACTCTCGGCTTTCCTCAGTAAAAGTTTTAAATACCAAGTTTTGATAGGCTTATCATATATTTTCCATTGAAGATCTGCGATTCTAGAATCCGGTATCATTGTCAATCCACTTTCACAGTATGTCCTTGCTTGTTTGTAGTTTCCAATCTTCGTCAAGGTAACAGCTAAATTACTGAAAATAACAATTCTTTCGTCAAATTCAGAAGGTAAGATGTCCAAACACTTTCTATAGTTCGTTAATGCTACGTCGTAATCCCCATTAGTAAATGAAGATGTTGCTAACTTCTTAAATTTGTCGTAATCCACTTGTAAGAATTGATCAAGTCTCTGGTTCTGATTTTGACTAGAGCCTTCATTAAAGCCCAAAAGATCAAATTCTTCAACTGGTGGTGATGGCGAAGTAATAGCTGGAGTGTTTGAAGTATTTGGCCTTGCCTGCTCGGAAACGGGTGGTGAATTGAAAGAGCTTCTAGAAGATCCACTTACAGATGGAGTAGGAGCCTTGATTGGAGATTGAATTCTCAGTGTAGGAGCTGAAACTTTACTGCTCAGTTGCCTCGTTGGTCTTCTTGGTAGATCTGGAGTAGTCAATTCCTCTCTTGTACGTCTGGAAGGCTTTACCTTCTCCAACCTTTCTCGTTCTCCTAAATCTTCTTCTCCGTTTACCAACCATTCCTTATACCTTTCACTATTCTTCATCCAAGCAGGGCGGCTAGTATCTCCCTTGGGTTGCTGAAATTGTTCGATGTTCTTCAAAACAGTTTCCCTCCCCTTAGAAAGAAAAGATGATGCTTTGGAAAATAAATCAGACGATATTGCTTCAAAGTTCATAGGAGACACAGAACCTGTATCCTGACGACTCCCCGAATTAGTCTTTGGTTCACCACCTCCCATAATGAAATTTACACATTTTTGGACGTCTGGCCCAACATTATCAATAGCCCTGTTGGAAACATCCACGGGAAAGCCAATATCTATAAGTTCTGCTAGCACTCTGTCACGGTTACTTGAGGTTGACTGTTTCGATAACGCCGGCGATGTATTTGATTGAGGTGAGGGTGAGGCAAATGAAGCAGAGTCATTTGCTGGCCTGGATGACGGTCTTACCGCTGGCTCCTGTTGCTTCTTGGCAGCTTTGGGAACCTCCACGTAGGCATCAGTAAAATCATCATCCAACAAGTTTAAGGAGGTACTGTTTACAGAATTTGAGTGTGACGTTGGGCGAGAAGCAGGAGCATTTTGTGGAGCGGCAGGTCGGTCGTTAGTGAGAAAGTCATCCCAGAGATCGCTAGTCTTAGTTTGTACAGCTGCCAGTTGCTGTTTCTGCTGTGGAACCAAATGAGGCAAGGGCGAAGATTGACGAGGTGTCAGAAAGCTAGATGAATTGTGATTGGTAATTGAGGTCAGCGAGGTGTTTTTCAGCCCAAGCATGTCCAAACCACCCCACATGTTACTACCACCGTTACCAATACCATTGCTACCATTTTGGCCATTCAATGGTGAATTTTGTCTATGGGCTTGCTGTTGGTTCATGGATGCCTTAGGTTTCGACCCACTAGCGCTCAGGAACAAGTCGGCGAATGCATCTTTCTTCGGTGGCATAGTAGCGTACCAATGACGTGAAATATAACACTACAAAGAAAACGAAAGTTACCACCAAACTGTACTTCTTTCGTTGCCTTGCTGTATCCAAGACTCGAGAATACACTAAAGGCCAAATCAGTAAGATTGAGAGTTTGTGGTTTTTGTGTAACTTTCCAAGTGCTCACATTTTTTTTCCTTTTTTTTCTCACCAGAAAAAGCTCATCTCAGAAACACTTTATCAATGGTATTCCTTTAGTCTTCTACTTATCGAAATCTACGAATACATATATTTAAAATGCATTTGATGTACACCTTAGGGGCCGATGGCAAGAGAGTCTATACTTTAAAGAAGACTACCGAAGATGGTGAAATCACCAAGTCTGCTCACCCAGCTAGATTTTCTCCAGATGATAAGTACTCAAGACAAAGAGTTACTTTAAAGAAGAGATTTGGTTTATTACCAACTCAACAAAAGGATTAAAGAGGTTAGTTGAGGAATATTTTGGCGGAATCAATGTGGATGTACAAAGTTACAGAACACTACACTGCTGATTTCAATGATTTATGAACGTCTTAGATGTGTGTCTTAAGCAAGTCTATATTGCACCTACCTTATACCTCATTACTTTACGCATACTGAAACATTAGCCAAACCATAAAAAGAATAAACTGAGAAAAAAAAAATTAAAAAATAAGATTTACCTAAATGTGAAATGCAACAGATGCTTTGCACAGTTTGTTGCAATTATTATAAATGTTATATGTACAATACAGAGATGCAAATTTACTCTCTTTATATTTTTTCCGAAATTAATATATTTACTAAATACATAGAGAAATTATGTAAGTCTAGAGTAATGTAAGACCGGCTCACATTGGTTCTTGCACTTGACCGGTTGTCTCAAGGTTGAATTGAGAGTTCTTGGAATAGTTTTCCCACATTTGCGACAATAACTCGCTGTTCATGTTTTCTCTATTCAACTCTTGAAGCGATTTATTCATTGTCACTATGGATTCATTGAGATTTTCCTATAAGCAAGTTAGTTAGTAAAATGTGAGTTTGGAGTTGATTGAGTCCTAATACTTGAAGTTTGAAAAATTGGTACACATACAATATTGTTGATTATACGAGATAATAATGCATTCTGAACTTGCTCGTGCGGGTTCTCCATTTTTGTCTGTACTTTGATGTAACCGCCTATTACTTCTATACGTGACTCTGTATATATACACTCATATATGGATATGGGTGGAGTAATGGCTTATGGCGAAAAGAAAGTCATGTTTGTTTTGTTTTTTTTCAATTGCCTAACTTTTCTGCGCGTAGACTACACCACTAAATTCTCTTGCTTGTTTCACATTCTCAATTTGCGAGAATTTTAGGTTACTCTGCACAACCACGGAATTCTTGCGGTAGCGAGAGTCGCCAAATTAGTACTTTTGGTGTTCTTAAATAGCCTAATTGTCATCTGATGATTTGGTCTATTGTACACCATTTGAATGCAGATGTCAAATAAATAAATAAAAAAATAAATAAATAAAAAAAATGAAACTGGAAGGTCGCCTTTACATGCTGCACCCATATGAGCATGTATAAATATACACATATACGTAGTTTAATATATATTTAATAAATAAACTACCATTATTCTCTTCGCCAATAGATAAAATAGCGCAGCCAAAGTAGTATTCACCAAATAATGATTAATTTACTCCACTCGAATCACCAACTTAAGAAAGCTGTAAGCTCACCTGGTTTAGTGGTAATAGACATCTATAAGGAACAAGAATGTAAGAAATTCGACTCAAAATATAAGAAGATCCCAGTAACATTTCCCCAAGTTTCATTCTACAGAATAGATGAAGCTTCATTTTCTGCTTTCACATCTTTTGCAAGTGCTGCAGATATATCCAGTTTACCAACCTTATTGGTATATTCAAATGGCCAAATTCTAGTAAAGACTAGCGTTTCCTCGCCATCTTTGGTTGAGTTGTTGATAGAACATTGTTACGAAGAATACCTGAAGGGAGCTTTTTAATAGAGCCAGAAACTGTATTTGGGGATTTTAAGTGCATTGATACACTTCTAGATATGTATGTCTGTTGCTGTTGGTGTCGCTGTCAGCTCCCTCTCACTAGCCGCCAACGCCTGTCCATATTCCCGACAGGCCCTGTTGAGTCCATTGCGGTCATACTCCAAGCATTCCTTGACCTCTCTGGTCAACTTTTCTCTCGTTTTTTCCTCAGTTGAGTATTGATTAATTAACTCAACACACTGGCTTTCAATCTGATCAAGTTGTGCTAAGCATTTCTTCAACGAGATGACAATTTTCCTAGTTTGTGCTGCTTGGCTCTGGTCTCCGCTATTGAATCCTCTCCAAAAATGTGAAAGTAACTCCATACTGGTTATATGAATAGTTATAATCTCTTGGATCATATTTGGAGGTATGATAGAATTAGTTGGTTTATTGATGTTAGTCGAATTATTATTAGACATCCGGAATGATCTAAAATTTTGTTTAATTAATGAATTTATCTCGACAGATGTTTTATCTATCTCTGCCTTTTTTGTAGTGAAAGTATCTGTAAGGTCAATAGGCGATGAATTGAACTTATTAGCCCGTAGAAAAGGTTTCAATATTGAAATTGGAATCTTATCGGAGGTATTACTTCCTTCACCATCAACTATGTTACTATAGCTTCCCCCTTTGGCGTTCGTATTTATGTTAAGTTCAATGAATTGAACTTCTCTAGGTTCATGGAGATCATTGAGACCTAGTTCAGATGCATATTCGTTCTTAGAACGATCTTCGTGATGTTCTTGTTGCTGATCACCATTATCCACTTGTTCCTGCTCTCTTTCGTTTTTAGCTCTCTCAGTAGTTGCAACAATTTTCTCACTCAATTTGTTCATGTTTCTCATTATGACCAACATTTCATTCTCCACTCCGGCTCCTACACTGGAATGCCCAATCTCTCTCTTGTTTTTAGAATTTAGTAAGTTTGAAATGTTGGAATCCCCATATCTCATGGTGATGTCTGGTTTGTTCCCAAGTTTTTGTGAATTGTCATCTTCGTTACCAACCAAATCAATGAATTTATTAACATGCGTTAGAGCGTCATCAGGTTTCAGTTTTTTGGCTTCTTGGTCATCCCCATCTATTTCGACAACGTCCTTTTGCTCTTTCTTTTCTTCGTCTTCTCTTTTCCTCTTTCTCTGCTCTTCCTCTATAAAATTCTGGTCAACATATAAATATTTATCCAAGATCACATCACTTCTTTGGTTAGTGTTGTTAATTCTATCTCCTCTTAGTCTTCTAAAAAGTTTTGAGTTGAAAAATCTTGACCAAAATTCTCCCTCCGGAAACTTCAGCGGCACTAAGTCATCAAACAGCTTTTTGATAATAGGGTACGTCTCAAAGATCTCATTAATCATGTCTCTAGTTACATTCACATTCACTTGATTATCTGATGTCGCCACCGGCTTAATTGTTGAAAGGACGTTGTAGGCACCTCTATGTTGTGAAGTGGTTAATGCATAAGTTCTGAGTTGATTTAGTCTAGTTTGCCAAAATATGCTAGGAGATAGTTTGAAATTAATAACAGCTTGAGTAAACTTATCTCTTAGATTTTTATCTTCAAAGAGTAGCTTCTGCTGAAGGGCATGGTTCTTGAGTAAATTTTCGTCAGAAAGTGATCTCGGGTTGGAAAAATCAAGGTCGGAGCTAACAACGAAGGGCGAAGGTGACTGCTTAGCTGCTGGAGTGCCCGCTGATACCGAATCACTGCCAAAAGTATCGACAGGTCCCACCTTGGTGCTATCAGCAGGTGTAGCTGAAGCTTCTGTTGCGCTAAGTGGAACCGGTGTGTTACCAACTGAAGCAGTTGGTACATCTTTAATGGTTGTCCTCAGTCTAGCCAAAATTGCCTGCAATGCATCTTTTATATTATTCATAGTAGGACGATTGGAAAATGTCAATTTGATATCCTTATCCTTTTCCTCATTGGTAGCACCATCCACTGCTTTGTAAAACAATTTTAACATTAGCTTGGGGGTAGATTCCTTAGATGCCTGAAGGTTAGTTAGCTTACTCAAGGGGATTGTGACCTTTTTCAGTTGATCTATCGCATTCCATTCAATGACCAGGGGAGTATCATCCTCTCGGATATACACCATGCCTGATAGCTTGGAGACAATACAAGCACCAGAAATAACCCCGGACATATTCTTATGAATGTAAATGAATGTATAAAGAAAATGCTTAAGAGGTTTAACTTTACCACAACTCTAATGTTGTAACTGATACTCTACCCTCGTGTGTGAACCATTTTTCATTTTTATCATCAGATGTGAGGATGAAAAAATTCAGACATGTTAAGGGAATACACTGTAAAGGATTCAATTCCAAAAAAAAAGACTTTGGAAACGTAGCCAGCTTGAAACTTAATCAACGTTTCTTATGACCATGTTGACCAAATTTGTGGGACGTTTAAACAGCGTGAAATCTGCTCAACTAATTGGGATAAGACTCTTTTCAATCCCAAGGAGCCAAGCACTTCAACAATCTGCATCTTCGAGCTCTGCTAGCAAGAGTCCTTCACTGAATAGAACTCAACTTAAAAAACCCACCACCACCCGTCAAGTGACCATTGACAGAGAATTACCAGACCCTTTCGCATTTAAAAAGCAAAATTACTATTACTTCACTTGTTATGGTCTTGGAGTATTCTTTGCGTGCGTTTTCATCTTCAACTACGAGAAAACTACATCTCCTGTTATAAATTCTGTGATGTATTTCCTTAGGCGTTCAAACTATGCCTTATCTGCCTTGGGTGATGATATCACATTCGCCTATCAGTGGCCTTGGATTTGGGGTACTTTAAACACAGTTAGAGGTGACGTAGATATACAATTTGATGTCAAGGGGTCTAAGGCTTCTGGTGTCTTGTACCTTGTTGCAAACAGAGAATCAAAGCAAGAACAATTCAAAGTGCGTAAATGGCTTTTGAAAATCAACGATGAGAGAAATACAAATATCGATTTAATGAAGGACCCATCAATTCAGTTGGGACTTTAGTTCGGAAGGGGGAGCAGGAGTCATTCCAAAAAACGAATGGAAATATCTGTGTAGGTTGGTGAAAAATTAGAAGAATTACTAAAACAGAATTGAAATTTTCATACTGGCTTCAAGTGTCTGTACACCCATATGGTCCTGCGTGTATCTTAGGGCTAGTTTATGGGTATGATACTTAGTCAGAAGCAGGACTTGTATGTATTTTTTTTGGGTGATAGGGGCTGTAAATAGATTATAAGCATAAAATGTACAAAAGTAGTAAGTTAGAATGGCTAAAGCCTAGGGCCGTAGAGAGAACTGAGAGTAGAGGACCTATTGAATCATAAGAGTGTCAACCTCGTGCCCCACGTCTAACCTTGAAGTGGAAGTGGATTATATGCAGTCCTGTGTAATGTAGGCTCACTTCATTTGGGTGTTACTTTAACCTTAATGCTTGATCCAGGTCGGGAAGAAGAAGAATGCGGCAGGTACAGTTCGAAGCCAGATCACACTTTACTTATCCAGCGGGTTCCCCGTACTCCGTATTCCCCGTAAAACTGTGAACTTTAGGGGAACTCAGAGAGCAGATAAGACAACCATGGCACTGTTGCTCTTTCACACCGTGGAAATCGTTTCTTTTTTTTTTTTTTCACTCTTTTTTCTGTGGTCTTTTTTTAGCATACCCCTAACCGGCACTTTTTGATCTGGATAAGGTTTGGGAGCACGAAGCTAGAAATGAGCCTAGCTAACCTGCCTATTCTACGGTAAGAGCTAAGAGTAGAATGTACTTTGGGCACCAAAAATCACAAAATGGCCAGGAAGCATACTTGGAAACCAATCCGGATCATTCAAAATGGTATGTGTGTGGTGCAACCAAGTAACTATCAATATTTTCTTTATGTATTGTTCTTCTTTCCTCTTCGTTCTCTTTAAGGTACACTATTGTTCTTCCCTTGTTTGCAGGTTTTGGTTCTCACACTAATCCAAATTTAGTTAAAGTATAAACCAAAGCGGTATGTGCCATGGTCCAAAGTAACTAGAGAATGTAGATCAAGTGCTTGAAAAAGTACAACACTAGAGGCCGGCCGCCATACTTCATCCTTCGAGATATTTATCCCCATAAAATTTCCCCACTACAAAGACTAAGCAGATATTCTTATTTGATGTTGAAAGAGCTCATTAGTGTTGCATTTTACCGCTGCATGAATCGTTGCTTTTAAGCCAGTAAATTATTTTTCTTTTGCTATAAATTTCCTATTTCATATCGCTCCGAAGGAAAGCGAAATTACACCCTTGAGGAAAATCCGAAGAATTTTCCACCTCTTCTTCTAAGTCAAGCCATACGACCACAGTAGAGCTTGGCCCGAGCTTCAGAACTTTGCAATCCATTCCTCTACAAAAAATACCTACTGGTAAAGAGGTAAGCTTTAATTAGAAATATCCTACACTTTTGAAACTTAGAACATCTGACATTAAATCTACTCTACTTGGCCGGAAGACTAAAACGAGCGAGAGAAAAAGCAAAGCCCAAAAAATTCATAGGAAAAAAAAGTTGTTGTCACTTTACTTTGCTAGACGGTAACCAACTACGCTACAATTTAATAGGTGGCTTCACATAAAATAATTCTTAATGGTGTCGTCTGGTCTAACTGTTGGACTCTCAGTGGGTATCCCTACAGTGGTGATCATTGCGATTTGTGGGTTAGTTTGGTGGTTGAATCAACGGAAGCAACAAAAGGAAGATCTAACGCATGATGCTATTGATCTCGAATTAAAAGATGAGCACCTGTTCATCAATATTCAGAATGAGCTACTACAACCGTATATAGATCCCTCACAACAACAAAGGGACATTGCGGAAGGAAGCAGTGGCAGTACTGGAGGCGGCGGATTGGTAGCGGGTGAAAAGGATTCCAATTCTAGATTCAACGATTCTTCCCACTCTTCCTCTTCAGTGACTGACCAGCCGTCTACTCCAAGTCAACCACCAAGGACTAATACTAACGGTACAAACAACTATCATCCAAACAACCAGCGAACCCCGTCTTCATACGATTTCTACGAGACGTTCATCCCCATACTCCCTAATTCTGCATCGAAAACAGCATCAAGCGACAATTTCAGTCACAGTCATAATCCTAGCGGAGACCTAACCCAACCACCAACATTCAATAATGAGGGTACTAGAACCCCAACCAAAAATAATTCATCTTCGTCCATTGTCCAATTAACGAACTCATCTAAATCGCTTGACAATTTGGCCAAGCAACTTAACCTGCCAGCATTCTTCGAGAAACTCCCATCAAGAACAGGAACTGTGAATTCCCGTCATCAACAATCACAGCAGCAACAATCTCAACCATATAGAAATCTGACTTTAGGTGCGTATAGTGTTGCAAGCCAACTGATTCTGGGTTCTGCAGGCGGGGACAGGTCAAGACAAGAGTCTTCTGGATCTGGCTCTGAAGTAGGAACAAATGGTGGAGCTCCATCAAGTACAGGAGAAAGAGAATCAGTCCCTTTGGGTAAGGTATTGGGTGGAAACTTCGATAATAGCTTTAATGAGCAAGGCTCACCATTTGAAGAAGAAAGTGCTGATGAAGGAGTCGCAAATGGTGTGATTTTCAAATAGATATCAACGAAAGAAACAGATTGAACTTGGATGTGGATCAAATAATGTAATAGCTATGGAAGTAAACAGCGGCTTCAACTATTTGCATTAAATGGAATGAGCTGTTTTATTTTTTGGGTGGTGGGTAGATATATGTACTGCAATAAAATGGACAAAGAAAGGGTACTCTCTTCTCACCTTATAGAAAAGGGAGATTGAGCCTTAGGTAGAACCTTGTATAATAATATAAAAAAAAATTGACTCAGAAGAATTTACTGTTTCTAGTGGGCAGTATGTTTTTTATTAAAGTAGCTATATAGACTGGGCTCATCGCAGCAAAGAAAATGCCCAAGAGCTAGGCTAAGAAAAAGCAGACAGTGAAGAAAACAAACCATAATACATTCACAAGAAACCTTCTGAATGCCAAGGTTTCTTCACGATGCTTCTTCATGTCACAATGTACTCGACCTGCAGAGTCCATTGGACATACATAATGTGATTTTCTACGCACTAAAGAAGTTAGCTCTTCCAGAGGGTGCTCGAAAGTTGCCTTTATGAAGCACTCTATTTTATTTTCTGATGCTCTCTCCATCAATTTTTCGTTCTCTTGCATATTCTGCTCGCCATCGATAAGTCAAATAAAGAGAGATAAGAACACCTGCCGGTGTATGAAGAGTATAGTGACAAATGTTTCAATCAAAGCTTTTCACGTTCATGTTTAAAGCGAGTAGATCTGCGGTGCCAAAGGTGCCGAAGAGCTCCAATGGATCCAAAGGATTCTCGTTTCGTGGGTTCCATAACTCCCCCAAGATGTCCGCACAATACAGGAGGTTCAATAACTCTTCTTCCGGGTCGAACCAAATTAACCTCAGTCGATTATTATTGAGCAGAAATACCATATACGCTGGAATTGGGGTCGTGGCGTTTTGTGCTTATAACTTGGAAAACGCTCCTGTTACTGATAGGTTGAGACTCTTGTGGGTTCCATACTGGATGGAATCCAAGATTGGAGGGTACTCATATAGCCAAATCTTGAGTGAGTACAAGGACCAAATATTGCCTTCTTCTGATCCTACGTACAAGACAATTGGTAAGGTGATGAATAAACTATTGGATGCTGCCATTTCAAATTCAAGTGATCCGGCCCAGAGAGATCATCTTCTTAAGTTGGACTGGAAAATTCATATAATTCAAGTCGATCCGAAGAAGGTTCCACCAAATGCCTTTATCTTGCCCAATGGGAAGATTTTCGTATTTCTGTCGATTTTACCCATATGTAACGGTGAGGATGGGTTGGCAACAGTATTGTCGCATGAGTTGTCTCACCAATTGGCGAGACATACTTCAGAACAATTATCGAAACAACCATTCTACATCGCTTTGCTGTTGCTTATGTATGCAGCCACTGGAGTAGACTGGATAGGCGATGTTTTAATTAACGGTGTGTTAAGGATGCCTGCATCAAGAGAAATGGAAATTGAAGCAGACCATATCGGATGTACTTTAATGGCGAAGCTGTGCTATAACTTGGGTGAAGCAGTTAAATTCTGGCAGAGAATGTACAAATGGGAAGAAACTGTTGCATCCCAAAGAGGGGCTGGAGCTCTCCAAGAATTCTTCTCTACGCATCCTGGAACTGAAAGAAGAATTGAAAATATTAAAACTTGGATGCCAGAGCTCAGAAATGTGCAAGAAGCTAGTGGATGCTATGAGCATCAATTTGGAATGTTTATGGACCAAACTCTGACAAGGAAGTTTTTCTAATTTCAAGACACCAGTTTCTTTGTATAAGGTAAATTCAAGTGTTACGTCTTTATCAATATATTAAACTATGTACATATTTTATATTTCTATGAAGTCTTGTTTATCATTGAATTTAAGACTCTTCGTTAGCCCACCAATCTCAAAATCTTCAATGAGTAACCTTCTTCTATTAAAACTACCATATTTTACTAGTTCAACTGAAATCTTATATAATTGGTTTTCAGAATCTGTGTTTACATGCTGCAATAAATAAACTTCTACTGTAGCTAGTCTCTTCCTCGTTGTAGAATCCTTTGATGAATAAAATGGAACAGAGAATTTGATAAATTTATCAAATTCTATTCGACCTTCAGTGGACTCCATTAGATCTCTTTGGTACTCGTTGTAAGGCAAATACTTGTCAATTAAGGGTAGTACAATAAAGGTTTCAAAATCATCGCCTAACTTACAAGTTAATTGTTCGTCGTTGCCATCCTCACGACGCTTGAAGATTCCCAACGGATTATTATTCTTCAATATCGCATAGTCTATCAACTTCAGTTCAATAAGAGGAAGAATCTGGGTTTTGAAAGAGTCAAATTCATCCTCAATCCCATTTAGAACATTCTCTACGCTAGCTTCATCGTAAGGCTTCATTAAGATCTGGTTGTTTGGATCCAGTGCTTCTAGTGTCAGCTTTGGATAAATCTTGGCAATCTCCCGTTTATACGAATAACTGTGCTTGTACCATTTGTATATAAACCAGCTACCAACAGCTAGTGGTGGACCAATTGTTATTAAAGTATTTGGATGTATATATCTCAATGTGCCTGCAGAGGCAACCACGAGTGAAAAATATTTATAGGCTGTTGGGAATCTTTGGTGCCAAAATATGCTGACTGGTGATAAATCGCTATGTAAGCTCGCTCTGGGAGGTAAAGATGAATAATGTCGTACAGGTAATCTAAATCCCAACCTACTGGAATATATGATGTTCTTTCTACAGTAAAGATTGAGCATAGTATATCTTGTTACAATATAGTTAATAGAAGTACCACCTTTATCAAAATTTCATTTTCGACAAACAAAGATATTAAGATCGGTTTCCATATACGCTCTTTGCAATCTGAGAATCTGAGAATCCGAGAAAGTGATGATCATCGCACATAAAAATACATTCCCAAAGACTTGCCTAGGCTCTTTTTTTTGGATTCACTGTAGTCAACAAGAGTATATACTAGATGAAGGCTGAATTCGGTACTGCCAAATACCAGTCTAAACAGCTAAAGATCTCCGGCTTGCAGAAATTGAAATTCTATTGCCAATTATGTAATAAGCAATGTAGAGATGCAAATGGATTCAAAAATCACTTGAGCTCTCCCTCCCATTTAGGAAAGTTATCCCAAGTTTCTTCAGATCCAAATGAAGATGTCATATCCAAGTACTCTGAACAGTTTACGTCGGACTTTCTACGGTTATTAAAGATGACTCATGGTACCAAGAAAATAAATGCTAATAGATACTACCAAGAGTATATTCTGAATGATAGAAATCATATCCACATGAACGCCACTAAGTGGTCCTCACTCACTCAATTTATTAAGTTTTTGGGTACTAAGGGTCATGTGAGAGTGGAGAATGACAACCAAGATGATGAACTCAGTTTCACCATTGCACTTATAGACAGATCTCCGGAAGCAGTCAAACGTCAAGAAGAGTTGATGAAAAAGAAGAGAAATGTACGAGGCGATGAAGAAGTGACTATGAAAATATTACGAAAGCAAATGGAATTAGGTAAAGCTAAGGACGTGGAGCAAGAAGTAAAAGAAGACGATATAAAGGTAAAGGCACCTATATCCTCGGGACCCGTGAAATTGTTACTCACATCAAATCCTACGAAGAAACGAAAGCCAATTGCAAAAGCATTTGAAAACAGTGATGAAGATGAAGAGGAAGATAACGATGAGGAAACAAAGAAGCCCATTAAAAAAATCAAGATTACGAATGCTCAAAATTCAAACTCAAAGTTATTAGGATAATGATTTTGAATTTATATTCTATCTATTTTCGTGTCATTTCACTTCGTCAACCGTTAATGTATTTCTATTTTTTTTAATTTTTTGTTTGCTTTGGGTGAACTTTTTCATAACACAAGACGTAAACGTCCGTGGAGTTCAAATCTCCTATGATTGCACCTTGTTCGGGGTTAACATTCCCGTGCTTGACGCTTGAGTCAACTAAATCATCATCAAAACAACACCAGTATGGTCTTATCAAGTTATCTATATTGTTTGGTATTGCATTACTGTCAGTGCTTTGTTGTTGATGATATGTAGACTTATTTACCAATGAAGTGTAGTGTCCACTTTTCAAATTCCCGTAATGGTTAATTAAGCCAGTTAACTTATAATGAATTTTGCCCCCCTCTGTTGAAGTGGGATCATTGAATTTAAGTTGTAATGGATATTTGATTGCAGTATTCAATTTGTCACTTAAGTTATACATGGAAAATCTGGATAAATGGATAAGAAGAATTTGTGGTAACTTAACGAAACTGAGTCTTTTTATTGATATTGTATTTTTTAGTGCTGACTTCATGGCAGAATTTGAATCCTTTTCGTTTGATTTTCTTACGGGAGATTTCTTTCGACTGAATATTCCCTTCTTCGGTTGGAAAACTGGATGATTGTCTAATGAATTTGCTGCACTTGGAATAGATGAGGAACTAGAACTCTTGTCGGCACATTTGGGACAATTCCATGCATTGTCACCAGTGAGGATTTCATCCTTTATGAAATATTTCAAACAATCACTCAAGTCAACGCTTCCATCTCTGTTTCCTCCTCCTCCTATACCTGGCTGGGGAATTGTTAATGAGAGCGTGTTGAATGGTGAATAAGTTACAGACTCATATCCGCATGCATTACAGATAAGTTTGTTCTGTAAATGACCCTGGAATAAATCATTTACCGGAGATACACCTTCTCTGTCAATTAGTGCTCTATACCACTTGAAATAATCATCCTTATCCTTTGTATTTACATTGACCTCGGATTTGTATATTACTGAATTCGCCAGTTCTTCGTTCAAGTTCTTTACACTTAACTCATCATGTAATCTTTCCAACAAAAACATCAAGAATTCTTGAGCATCTTGTTGCTCATTTGGGATATTGAAATCAGGTTTTAATTTAGCACAAATCCTTAAAAACTTTGAAGGTGCAATTCCGCAGCTACCATGATTAATAAATGATTTGAGTAACCCTGATATAGCGACACTTAATAAAATGGGCTCGGTTGAGTTAAGATTGAACTGTTCAACATATTTAGGATCTCTAATATATTTATGGTATCTCAGATTTATAAATATCGACTTGAATTGAATTAAGGCGAATAATAGCTGTAAAGACAGATTAATATAACAAGATGAACCAAAATTTTTCAATCCACAAATAGCATTAGCTTTCATGTATGCTAATTTCTCCTGTTTTGCTTGGTCTGCTTTATTGTAGGTGTGAGGATTATGGTAAACAACAGGCTGCTGAGATTGTTGGTATAAATTTTGAGGCTGAGCATGCAGAAGCTGTTGAGGATAATAATTCTGCTGGTACTGAGGATTATATTGCTGCTGTGGGTCAGGAACAGGAATTGAGGGTCGAGTCATAAGGTTGGGCATTGTTTGTGGGTGGGGTATTGGTGGTTGATTGTATGCTGCTCCATGGTAAATGTTATTTTGATTATAGTTTCCATTAGTTTGCTGGAGATTGTGATTGTTACTTCCGTTCGTTTGTGTGACAGCATGATTGAAAGATGTAGAATTCAGTGGAGTAAAAGACTGAGGCAATGAAGGAATCGAAGACGTTGGTCTGTGAGGCGTAGAACTAGCGCTATAACTCAATGATTGATTGTATATCGTTGGACGTGAGCTTGGAGACTCTTGGTAGTTTTGGGAGTAGTAAGGATTTGAAGACGGAGGCACCCGATCTACATAAGTAGGGCTCGACGTTTTCTTATTGGTTTCCAAATCAACTATGTTATCCAACGGAGGTGGTACTCGGCTAAGATTAGTCTGAGTGTTTCCATTCACACCATTAGACGGCGTTAAATTCTTCGATGGAACTTTAACTGAATTCACTGAGCTACCTGTGGCACTTCCCTTCACTACAGGGAACTTCTCTTTAAAGGAACTTAGTGACATTTGATCTCCTTCATAAGTATATGCACTGCGATCATCACGTAGATTTTCTATTTCATCCTCCTCTTCGTCGTAGTCTTCGGCAAGGTGGTCAGTCAGTCTTTCCTCTATTTCTTCATTGTCTAGTTCCCTCTTCAATTCGCTCATGTCATAAATGTTATCACTTTCATTGTCTTTCTCCGCTTCATAAGCATCCTTCTCTCTTAGATAGTTCAAATAACTATGCAACCAGTCAACCAATATTTTCATATCAAATTCTAAATAGTTACCATTTTCTAAGAGCTCCTCAATGTAAGATCTTAGCTGTTTCAATTCTAAATTTGGATCGGAATCAAAGAAATTAAACAAATTTATGTAAATCAAGAAGTCGTATTCAGATTTCTTCATGAAATTTTGAAATCCTCCAAACTTTGCCATAATGGAGTTATTTATGAAGTACGCAAATATCAAGTATCCCCTGATATAATTCTGAACCATTGTTGCAGCAACCTTTGTATGCTGCAGAGATTCATATAACTGTTGACATACTTCAAGAAGGTCAAAAACATTCAGCTTATTTATTGTACGATCTAGCTGTAAAGCACGGAATTCCCTTGTTATCACTTTCATGGCGTTTCTGTGAATGGGAGAAGATTCAATCGGAAACTTCTCTATTGGAGCGTGGTCAGATGAGCCATTCTTTGATCTATTATTTGTGGAGTGCAATTTGGTTGATCTCGGCTTTTTCGAGGACGATACAATTGGTATTTGTTGAGACGGCGAGTCATGTTTATGTATTGCTCCATCCTCCCCGTAAATTTCGTAGCTCATGTAGAAGAAGCAATTCTAATCGTTACTAAATTCCTTAGACTGTATGCGTGTATGCTTGTGTGCTTGTATCGATAATTTTGTTGGTATGTTTTTGTGCTGGCAAATCAAATAGACACAGACCCTTTCCTCTGTGAGATAAGTACTAAAATCTAGAAAGTAACGAGAAGTTCGAAAGGATATCTCTCTTACGTTATAAGTCACCACTTCTAATGTGAGCTTCCTTGAGCTTGTGTTGTATTTGTAATAAAATTCGCTTGATTTTCCCCTTGCTTCAACTGGTACTAACCGATATACCCATAGAGTTAAGAAAAGTGAATTAGGCTGAGCGTGCAGGAAAAAAATGATAGCCTTATGCAAGGGCCCTCGAAGTACATAGAAGAGCCCCTAAAGTACACCTATACTTATTTTTAGTACAATATTGCCTTATACTGGTCATATACTGGTAAAATACATTAAGTTACATATCTAAGTTTTTTCACTAAACAAAAACAGTTTTCAAATTAATATTTTCCTTTTATTTGACCTAATATACAATCTAAAGCTCTGAATTTGATTTTGTTTTCAATTTTGATAAATATATAATTTTAAGATGGGTTGAATGGAATCATTCCAAATCCATTTAGTGAATCGAATGTGCTTTGTTCATTATTCGTGATTGGTGCTGAGCCTTCTCTAGTGTAAACATTGTAGAATAATCCATAGGCATCTAAATCTATATCTTCTTCAGCTGGCATTGGTGTTGATCCACTAGGTATATGATGCAAGGGATGATGTTGAGAGACCGGCTTCCTGTCAGCAACTGCGGTAGACTTAGCACTATTGTTATTGCTATTAATATTGACATTATTATTATTGTTGTTGCTGATGTTATTGTTATTGCTATTATTAATGTTGTTGTTGTTGCTGGAGCTAGTTTCTTGAACGCTTGGTGTTACCAGCTTCTGTTCTGAAGATTGCCTTGTAGTGAGATTACGCATAGTTTCCCAGAAATCCATCCCCTCTTCGTCATCATCTTCGAATTTGTGTCTTTTTGGGCTACTTTGGTGAACCTTTCCTTCTTGTTGATTTTGCATTGCCTGACGGATTTCCACTTCCTTCAACTGCTCTTGTTTCCTCTGACTATGACTTCTCTTGTTGCCATTTTCTTCCACTTCCACTGCCAATTCTACAGCTTGGGTAAGCGGAGTTAAGGGATTAAGTGGTACTGGACTCGTACCTCTTTGCAAAGGCTGAGGAGAATTGTTTTGACTTCTGCCATTCAATAACCTAAACAAATCAGACTCCTTACTGTTACTTCCAGTAGCATGCTGAGGTGGTGGTTTAGGTAGCTGGTAATGATGATGATGATGGTGATGATGCATTTGGCCGTCTTTCGAAGATGAATTTGGCGATGAAGCGGAAGAATTAAGTTTAGGTACTTCTGTTAAAGGTGGAAGGTAATTGAAATGTTGATATCTATTCACCTGGGTCTCTGGCTCAATATAGAAACCAGTAGAGGTATCATTGATTGTTGGAAGTGGAGAGTACAATCCTTGTTGTGATTTTGGCATTTGTTGTTGCTGGTTGGGATGTTGTATTTGCTGCGACGATTGTTTGTACGAGCCAAACAGTTGATCTTGTTGTTGCGATAATGTACTTTGAGAATTTTGCAGTTGCTGTTGGTTTTGATGATGATGATGAGTAGTAGTTGTTGGTGAAAGATAATGGTGGTGAATATGTTGATGAACTGTTACGTTTAGACCATTTGATTTTGCATATCCAATTAAATATTGGACTAGTTCTTGGTTTGCAATCGGACCTTCATGAAATACTTCCCCATTCGAATTAGCCCCAGAACCTGGAGCAGTTCTCGTTTGCCCTGGGTTGGCCATTGTGTATTTCCATTCTATTTCGCTTTGCACTGGCTTTTTAACTAATTTTGGAACAGAAGCTTGCATATTTTCATATGTACGAGCTTTTTGCTGTGAATAGTTCGAATGTGTTTGTCCCTGTTGTTGCAGGAGATGCAGTTGAATATGTTGCTGTCCCAGTTGGATTGGGAGTTGACTACGGTTTTGAGTTGTAGACGCTTGGGGCATGTACAACTGCTGTGTTTCATTCCTTAGGTTGCTGTGAATATCCTCAGAACTTCCTGCGATGTCATACTTTACAATGTCCTCGTACTTGATTTCGTTTAGATCCAGTTTGGCTCCGTTTTCACCTTTCGTTATCATGTCAACTTCTTCCTTTACTGCAGCGCTTGCCTTACCTCTTACCACATCAGTGACAATCTTTCTCCACCTATTCCTACAAGTAAGAGATGGACGACCCTCAATATCGTCAGCGATTGTCTTCCATTTAGTACCATGTATTTTGACCCTTCTAATCAATAATAAATCTTCCTCGTGAGTCCAAGGTTTTAACCTATCTTTGGTCTTTGGGTCTAATACTTCTATGTATCTTTTGGCGCATTGATCATCAGTTCTTCCCAGAATTGTGCTAGCAACCTTCTTCCACGCAGCTCCATATTTCTGAAAAGCACTAAGCAATTGAGCATCCTCCTCGGGTGTCCATTTACCTTTTCGTAAGTTTGGATCCAATGAGTTACACCACCTTTTCCTGCAATCTTTAGCTTTTCTTTGCGAAGTCTCTGCGAAAAACAGAGCCACCACGTCCCACTTGACTTCATCTCCAGAAAGCATAGACGGTGTACCTTCGTTAGCTCCGGGGTGTAGTTCTATCATGATCTTTGTAAGTTGGTCATCTTCTTCTTTGGTCCACGGTCTTCTACTCTCTCTTCTGAAAGTTTGAAAACCAAGTGACTCGGTCACTGAAAGGGGATCAATAGGTGTGGTGGGCTTCCTCTTGGGTCTTCCGCTTCCATTATTGCTGTTAGTATTATTATTAATAATAACACTTATATCATCTGCTTCCATAGCTACTTCCAGTAAATATTTATTAATAAATAATAGAAAATACAGAAATTGTTTGAATCACTGACTCTTAAAAAAATGACTCCTCCTGATACAAGATTTTCAGGCTTTATACAGTGGAATAGACAATAATGCGAAGTGAAACTTGTACTAAAGTATATAAATAATATTTGGGAACGCACTAGTTGAAATGCAATGCTCCTTATTTTAATGCTTTCTTGAATACCAGTGAGTCAGTTCCCTGAATCTCCTTATCACATAGGACTTCTCTTCAGTACTAGTTGGAAAAAAAACAAAAAAAAGCTAACTCGAATATATGATCACGTGCCTTCGAAGCTCATCTCTAGTGCAGCACTCACCAAGGTAGATAACAGAATGATGAAATGAAGTATATAAACTCTATCCTTACTTCTGCATCTATTTCCGTTCTTCCTGTTATTAATTTGGGTCCAGTTCGTGATTTCTTTTTCTTTTTTTAATTGGCTTTTACAATTTGGTAACTAATGGACTCTTATTCCAGTCTATCTCTTACTTCCCTATTTTCAATTAACCTTATTAAGTTTCTTAACAACATGGAAATTGTAACTTTACCGATAGATGGCACATATAACCCGGCCTTTAACTTAATATCTTCATTGAAGTTTTTGGCACTAGCAAAATTAATTACTACAGTACCGTTGGTAACATGTTCAGTTGGGAATTTGTAGTTATCCAGTGGTACTCCTGTAATGATAACGTCACAGGTTGGAGCCAAGCTCTCAACGCTATGTACGCCAGTGTCTAAATCTATCACTTTGTGACGTTGTTCCAGTAAATCATCCCCTCTAGTGAATTGTTGGATATCGTTAATATCAACAGAATAGACAGTAGCTCCATCGTTGGCCAATAATGCTGCCAAAGGTCTGCCAACAATCTCTGATCTATTTACGATAAGAACTTTCTTACCATATAACCTATTACCATAATGCAAAAGTGAATTATATACTCCTAAATATTCCAAAATTTTAACCATTGCCAAGGGAGTACATGGCAAAATGGATTTTTGTTCGTTATTAGGTGGATCCAAGAATCTCACATTATGATATAAATTATGGTAGTACATGAAGTTTAAACCTTCCACATCCTTCTCTGGTGAGATCAATTGTTGTAAATATTGATCCTGTCTATCTCCAAATACTGGGAAGTAAACCATAATCCCACTAACTTCGTCTTCCTTGTTAGCTTTAATAAGACTAGCCTCCAATTCATTCTTATCTACTGTGATAAGATCGTATTGGAATCCCAACAGCTCACAAGTTTTACCAGTCCATGACGCATACATGGCAGCAGCGGGATCATCGTTTGCCAAAAATCCGACTAATTTAGGTTTAAATGATAATTTAGAAACGTTTGCAACTATTTCTTCTGTAAATGGTTTAGCAATGGTGGAAGCCAAAATAGTTCTTCCAGCAGGTTTGGCAGACATTTTAGATAGTACTACTAGTTTTGGGTTTTTTATATACTTTGATTTCCTTGGATATTTTGATAATTTGTTTTCTCGTTTAGCTTTCAATACTTTCCCACTTTCCCTGTCGATTTGTTTACCTTTAACAATTGTTTTTTGGGTTTGCCGGAGAGATATATCACTTTTTTTGCAATTTTTTTCTGGCAGTATTATCATTTATTAAATCGAAGTCAGATTAGACTCGCGATGATGTCAATGATAATGAGACATGCTGGAGTTCATATTTGTGCACGTGCCAAGATTGGCACCGATAATTGGACTTGAAGTGTGTGACTCTGGAATTTTTCAGTTGCAACTACAGCGGTTTATAAGCTCATTAGGTTCCTCTTTGTAAGGTAGCTAGTCTCGTCTCTGCTTGAATAAATGATATAGTATTAATATATTCAAAATAAAAATAAAAAAAATTTTAAAAAAAAAAAATTATTAGAAAGTAGAGAATGGATACTTCTTCGCTTCTCCACTATCTTAAGTGGGCACTAGCATTCTTATATAAACTCTGCCATATAAAGGCCTCACTGAGCATCAACTCAACATCACTCTCTTGCCATGTATCCGTTGGAGGATTCTGCAAGAATAACAAGATTTCCTGGAAATCTTTATGTTTCAATTCGTCACTAAACTTTATGAGGAATGCTGCACACACGTACACATGGAAATTATTAAACCCTAGAGGAGATTCACTGAGATATGTATCCCACATTCTAATGATTAGACCAATGGACAATTCTCTCATAAGCAAACAATTCATCCACCTGAATGAAAATTGAATAAATTCGATACCTTCCTTTTCAAAGTGAGTTAATAATTCCAAATCTATCTTGGTAATTAAGTTTTTTAAATCTTGAACTTGCCTTATTATTCCAGGCTGCTGGTGAATATAATTGTCAGTAATATTTTCAAGTAATCTTGACAAACACCAATAGGTATCAGCTTCAATCTTAGATCTTACATTTTCGGAAATCCTTGCAGGATCGAAATTCTTTTCGATGTCAATTGTCATCAAGTCTGGCGACAGAAGCAATTCCTGTTCCTTGGAGTCAGTCGAATCAATGAGCCCAGGAATGAATAACTCCACATCCTCATCACTGCCACCTCCTCCACCAGTCTTCACTTTCTGCAATTGCCAGATGTAATTGCCCAAGAAAATTTGATAAAACGGTGTACATAAATCGTTTATTCCTTGAACATATCCACTTGCTGGATGTCTGATCGCCCAGAGGAACAAGATTTTCCTTAAAGATTCCTGAGTGGTGTCAAAGGAATAAAGTTTCAATTTCGGATTAGTTCTTTTCACATCGATATTGATCTGGTGATACAATTGTTTATCTACAATATTGGAATTATTGTTATCACTGCCACCACTCTTGCTATTACTGCCCTTGTTCGATATATTTGCATTGTATTGTGAGCTCAGGGAGTCTTCCTTAAAGTTAATTTGCAGATTAACTGAGCTAAGTCCCTCCAAATATTCTTGTCTTTTTCTCTTCAATGTAGAAGATTGTCTTGTCTTGTTTGTCGGTAAATATCCCAAGAGTATTTGCCATGTGATCGCTCTTAAATCCATTGGTATTCCATTCCACGATAACTTTCTAAGATCTTGTAAGTCAATACTATTATTTGAGAAGATCTTTCTAAACTTAAGATACTTAGAGTTCAAGGAATTTAATTTATGCATCTCTAGCTTGGCCACATAATCTTGTTCGTCAAGGGATTCTTTTTTGGGTGAAGTAAAGCCCCCTGAACCTTGGCCATTCGTAAGCTTTGCATTCGAATTATTATCCATTATGGTTAAATCAGGATATAGCGTATCCATCATTGGACTTGGTTGTAATGATATGACTCTTTTTTGATTCAGAGTCAGACTTGAATGCTGTTGCTGGATATTTGGAACTTCACCAAGATCAGCATCCCAGTCATCATCTAAATCAGTGTACTTTTGACGGCGACCAAAATTGGATGAAGAACGATGCCCATTAGTGTTGATATTAGAAATACTATCCTTGCTTTGATTGATATTCAGATATCCACTGGGAATGATTGGGCCACTTGTAGATCTCTGCAATGTTCTACCCAGACCCGCTGGTGAGTATGATGATATTCTTTCCTTAGGTGAAGATCTTTCCGGTCTATCGTTGTAGCCAAAATTTCCATAAATGCTGCTATTAATGTCCTTATATGAATGATCTGGTTGTGATTCCCCAATGGAATTTCTACCGCTGATTTCCTGATCTGCCAATTTTGATGTTGAAGACGATCCAGATCCAGTCAATGATAAATTCTTCAAGAATGAGCTGAGGTGCTTTCCTCTACCCCCATTTTCTCCAAATATGAACTCATTGTTGTTGTTGCCATACACTTGAGACATTTCTTGCTTCTTTTTCCCCATTGTCGCCAATTCAAAGAACAGCAAAGACAAATTAACAACTGATTCGAAATGAAACTCCGAGTTAAACAAAAGGTAAAGAATGTATAATAGAAACTCAAAAAGAGAATACCAAAATTGAACTCAATGGCCTGCTCTACTCCTGTCTAAAACACTACTTTTATGAATCTGTGAGTGGTATTATAATTCAATGATGAAGTGGCACTATAGCTCAATTTTTCTGTTACTTTTTTGGGTCGGGTTTTTTCGTTCTGTTTACAAATCTCGCCTAAAATTTCAACTTTGCTCTGTGCAAACGGCGGTAACCTCGTATAAACCTAAATGAGGAAAGGGGACAAATGATTCAACATTATGGTGTAGTAAAGAGAACTTCTCAAGTAAGGTTAATTGAAAGTTAGGCGAATGAAGGGAAATAGCTTGGCTAGCTAAGTCTTTCATTAAAGAGGCACTTCTGCTTATGTAGACATTTATAGGTATGCAGCAATTGTTACATGTGACAAAGTTGGAATTCGTGCTAAAGAGCATATGAGGTAGCTTTTTTCAACTAGAAGATAGAAACCGTAGATATATAGAGATCTTTGAGTTGTCTGTAGAGATGTGTTACAGTATTGGCTTCAAATTTCTAACTCTACTCGATCACTTCTCAAGGAACTATTAAATGCTCTCCCTACAGATCAAAGGAAACTTCTAACTTCATATTTTGTTGCTACTCCTTTATAAACTCTATCTTTAATAATAACTATATCATTCTTTCATCCCTTTAAAAAGTGACTTCTCCCTTAACTGCAACAGCACCTTGCTTTAATTCTCTACCAGAAACGTGTAAAGTACCATTTTGGGTAATGTTGACAATGACTTCTAACTTAGAGTTAGGCTTTAAGTCCTTGAGACATAATTCAGAAAGTAATTCACCACATTCGTAAACAACTTCCTTTTTGACTTCTGGTTCTTCATCAGAGTAGTCATCGTCAGAATCGTCTTCATCTTGTTCAGCTTCGATGACAGTTTCCTTGACAGTTCTCTTACCCTCGTACAATTCAATTATAACGGAGGATTCAGAACCATTGGTAACTTCGAGTGATTTCTTAATTGGGTAAGCAGTTTCAGCAACCAAAATGGATTGGAAGTTGCCTTCGGCATCCTTAATACCGATTGGATTAGTCAAGTGTTGAGTGTTGACAACAACTGGTTGTAATGATTCCTTAACTTCATCTTCGTCAAATGATTCAATTAATGAAGCTTGTAATGCAGCACCTCTACAAATTAATTCAGCTGGGTCTAAAGCCTTTGTGGATAAAGATGGTGCAACAACAACAGTTGATTCTGGGAAAATCAATGATACGTTAGAAGCTAATTTTGGGGTGTTTGAAGAACCACCAACCAATAAGACTTCATCGATGTCTAAAGTTTCTAAGCCAGCCTTCTTCACAACTTTTTCAACAAAGGCAGTCATCTCTGATAAAACATTTCTAGCAGTCAATTCATATCTAAGTCTATTTATGGTAGTGTGGAAATCGAAACCATCAGCTAAAGACTCGATAGAACAGGTGGAGGTTTGAACATTAGATAAAGTCTTCTTGACAACGATCGATTCAGCGATTAATTTGGAAATAGATCTAGCATTAGACTTAGCATTAGTGCTGTACTTCTTTTGGAATTCCTTGGCAAAGTAATCAGCAAGAGCTTGGTCTAATTTGTCACCACCTAAACCGAACTCATGTGCAGTGGCTAAGATGGTCAAAATACCACCTCTTACTGAAATGACAGCGGCATCGGATCTAACACCACCAAAATCTGAAACAACGTAAATTTTATCTTCTTGTAAACGCTCTGGTTCGTTTGATAAGTGAGCTAATAATGCAGCAGATGGTTCGTTAATTAATTGTAAAACTTTCAAGCCTGCATCGTTGGAGATGTTGGTTAATTCGATTCTTTGTTGAGCAGTGAAGTCAGTTGGAACAGTAATGACAACACCTTCAATAGTCTTACCAATGTAATCTTCCGCAGCAAGCTTGATTTGCTTAAGATGTCTCTTGGTAGCTTCTGCAACGGTAACAGTTTCCTTCTTACCTTCTTCTCTTGCGATTTCGAATCCTGGTTGGCCATTGGCTGTCTTGATAACCTTGGCACCTACAGTTTCATGGTGGGTTAATTCGTCGAAAGATTTACCAACATAATCTCTGAAATTAGTGATGGTGTTGCTAGGGTTTCTGACTAATTGGGCCTTAGCTTGAGCTCCATGGTATTCATCCTCTCCAACGTAGGATAATACTGATGGAATAGAACGGTCACCATCTGGGTTGGCAATGACATCAACCTTACCATCTTGGTTGGCAACTGCAAGGGAGGAAGAAGTGTTACCAAAGGCAATACCGATAACAGCAGACATGATTTATATAACAATAAAAATTGGTTTAAAGTAATGAGTTGTTGGTTCACTTACAATTCAGTGGAATCAAATGCTCTTCTCTAGTCAATTTTGATAAATTTTTTTTCTTCTTCATTATTATGTAATTGATTATGTAATATAAGTGAAAATTATTTGATTTGCAACCTTTGGAAAACAAATAGTCTTAGGCTTCCATTGTAAATCAAATATTTCAAATAAGGACCTAAGTAAAATATAATAGAGTTATTGTTGGTTGTAGGGTCCTTGTTCAATAGTTTCGATTGCAAAAAGTAGGACATACTTCGATTAGCTTACATTTAAGGTAAATCTCTCGGATTGTGAGCCACGGTAGACTTCTACAAAAGAAACCCCGTGTACTCCTAAGAAATGGAAATATACCAGTACCCTCATTGTCATTGCCTAATAAAATGGAAAAGGAAATTCAGAAGCTTACATGCTAATAGCCACAGATTCATTTGTTAAATTGGCAAAGAGTATGTAGTGAAAAAAAAAATTAAGGTCGTAGCCGGAGTCGAACCGGCGTTGTTTGGATCAGAACCAAAAGTGATAACCACTACACTATACAACCAAATTTTTATTAGGTGCTTTGACCTAATCCTACTAAAGTTTTCTGGTATCTTAATTTTCGAATGTACGAGTGTTTTTTGTACCCGCTGAACTTACGCATACCAATGGTTCATTGGAATACTGTGGAGCACCAGTTCTATGGTAGGTAAGATGAAAGAAAAAAGGCTGTTTGTATATGGTTCGTAGCCTTTTTTCCTTTTTTAAGTCCATTTATTCAATGGAAAATCTTGCAGACCAATTCATAAAATTGCATTAATACATTAACAAGCACGGTCTTATTCGATCCTTTTAACATTACTATTAATGGTATCTACTCTTAGTATGAGAATAGTGACCTTTAGTCTATATTTTCTTTCATGAAATCTTCCAAGCCAAAAAATCCATACTCTAACATATCGTTTCCAATATTTTCTATATTTGACCAATCATCTTGAAACTCATTTTCATTCTGCAAATCAATCCAAGATTCAAACAATTTCTCGGAACTGTCATCAATTTTTTCGATAATTTCATTGTTCTTTCTATGTGACTTCTTTCTTTTGTACTTTAGTTTTGGATTGAAGTCCACTCTATGCGATCCAACTTTTTGCAACTTTTCGTTAGAGTTTTGGGGTATTTTATAGAGGGATGCTGCCTTTTTAAACCTTAATTTCTGGGAACCTTTTCTCTTCCTTTCATCTTCTGCCTTAAAGTAGGCTTCGATTTCTGCAGCTATGACTTCAAGATCGACTTGATGAAGGAGAAGCAAATTCACGGACTGCAAGGGAGAATTATTTGCTTGCATGATAAGTACTGCTTAGGATAAAAATTCTGAACTATCTAGAAATATTTACCATATTTCATTCGTTATAAATCATGCTGGATTCAATTGTGTTATGCTGAATGGCAGGAAAGCATTTAGTATTCACTTTCATTTTTGATATCCAACCATTTGTAAATGAGGAAGGTCTGAAACTGAAATCTGGAAATATTAGCCATATATCATTTGTTATTAGTCCTATTAGCATCAATTGTGTTATGCTGAGTGAAAGGTAGGTATTTTGTATAAATTCTCTTTTTTGATATGCAACCATTTTGCATCTGAGTAAGGCTGAAAATTGAAAAATTGAAAAAAAATAAAAAATAGGTCGTAGCCGGATTCGAACCGGCGTTGTTCGGATCAGAACCAAAAGTGATAACCACTACACTATACAACCTCAATTCTATTGCTTTAGATAAAAGTGCCGTTAAAATCAATATTAAAATTGCAAAGGAATGGCAGTTGGAGTTTAAGAGTGAAGAGCAGGTTCATTAAATATAATACATGATAAGTGTTAGTATTAACATGTATATAAGAATTTTGTGACTGGTAATCAGTTTTTACATTAATTTGCTGATTGCGGGCTATACATTACCTTCGCTATGAAATTCATGCATATAAATTATAATATTACTTGAGCGCTCCTCTAGATAAACTTAACAATATTACAACTTATTAAATTTTACTGCAATAAATAGAAAGCACCAAAATGAATAGGGTAGCCAAAAGCAAAAGGATAAGGGTGTTAATCTACTTGTCAATATTAGCATTGGTAGCATTTTCTATATACAATCTTTGGTCAACTAGGCGCTCGAACTTAAAGCCATTGAAGCAAAGCTCATGGGAAGCCATTCATTCAATTGACAAAAATGTTGATAATAAAGGAAAAGTACAGATTCAAAACGAGAAGTCGGAATCTAGTAATCAAATAGAGGATACAGAATTTCAGAAAGATAATGAGAAGGGTTCATATTCTGGTAAACAAAAAGAAAAAGATCAAAAGCCCCTGAAACCCTTAAAATCAAATGCTAAATCTCAAGGTCTGCCTGCCTCAACTGCCCACAAGGATCAAAAATCAGAAAGTAAGGCGGATGATAGCAATAAGACACTAAATAATAAGCTTGATAATTCTCTCGTTCCGCCACCAATTCTCGATCAGGATGATGAAGATGATCGTGAAGGAGTCCGGAAATTACCCGTGCCTGCCCAGAAGTTGCCTGGATATCCTCAAGATATTGCAAGACCTGATAGGAAAAAGATAAACCCATTGAGATTTAGACTCTATTCTCATAACGTGCATGAAAGTTTAGAAGAGTTTCAACTTGAAGGAGAATTACCATGGGCTCAAAGAGTCCATATGGTCTCTAGTTCTATTAACTTCAACAGCAAGGAAAATACAATAGTTATGCTTCAAGAAGTGAAAGATTTTCAATTGAATGATATCTTAAAGAGACTAAACCAATATGAAGGTGCGATTCAAGATGAGTGGGAAGCTTATGGGGCTCACTCCAATGGAGAGAAAGTAAAAGGAACGAATGTACCTATACTATTTAGGAAGTCTGAATGGGAAGTAAAGTATAGCTATACGCATTCGCTTAGTGAAGAAGAAAAGTCTCTCAAAAGCAGTTCCTACTCAAAAAACATAAGAGTATGTTTGGTAACGTTTATGCATATTAAAACTGGGAATTATATAAACATATTCAACACGCAGTTAGATGCAAAAAGCAAGGAATCTCGCGTGATCTCAATTGAAACTATAAAAGCTCTTTACGGTTCACTAGATCACGATTGGCCTACCTTTATAATCGGTGATTTGAATTTTGAATATGGTGCTAAACCATACAAGTCGCTTGAGAAGTTATTTACCAATGTTAACACTTTGAAGAGTGATTTGACAAATTTTGGCCACTCTAAATCAACATTAACTGGTTTTGATGGTGATGAGATTGCTAATGGTGGTACAGACATCGACTATATATGGACTCTGAAGAGTATAAAAGAATTTGAGAGCGAGAAGGAGTGCAAACCGAAAGATTCACTCGACTTTAAGCTTCATGGGTTTGCTTTAATTCACTCTAAGTACATGGGAGAATATATGAGTGATCACAGGCCGCTAGTCGGTGATTTTTCCATAGAAAGGTGCAACTAAGAGCAACATTATTAAGTATGGTATACAATATATATAGAGGTAACGAAGTATTATAGGTAAATAAATATTCTTTGTAAGAAAAAAAAGAATGCGCAAACCCGGAATCGAACCGGGGGCCCAACGATGGCAACGTTGGATTTTACCACTAAACCATTTGCGCAGTAAGAAAGAAGCTCCGCGACGGGGAATTGAACCCCGGTCTACCACGCGACAAGCGGTAATTCTAGCCACTAAACTATCACGGATGTTTTCTTGTTGAGATTTAGCTAGGTGGCTGTCCATACCAGGTTGCCGTAGCAGGAACTACGCCGATAGTATGTATCAAGAAATCTGTGCCAGAAACTGCCAAGCAGAAGTATATATATGAAGGCCAAAGGCCAAAGAAAGAGAAGCTTCTTGAAGAAGTATAAATGCTCTCTAATTGATGAAATGTTACATACCGAATGCTACTATAAATCAAGTATAGTTTACGTTTTTGTAAAGTTAAACTGCAAAAAATTAAAATTCTTCTTGCTACCAAATTTCAGTTATTCCATTGGAGATTAGAGGACTTACATTCATTTGTTATTTTCAGACATACGTCAATCTAAAATTGTGAATTTTCTGTGTCAAATCTAAGATCTAAAATTACTTGAAAAGATATAGAATACATTTCTGTGGGGTAAATAAATTTCTTCTTCAATAATGAAAAACAGAGACAAATATAATAATTTCCTTAAATTTTAAAAGTATTACTTCAAAGTTTAATAGTTAACGGACCCAACAACTGATGCATCATGGTTCACTTCGGAAAGAACAGGTTCTAGTAAGTTTTGGATGAGTTCGATTCAAGGCTTTAACTATTGTTTTTGCATATTGATGGGCAAATGCACCACTCTCCCCCTCGTGTTGCTATGATACCCACGCTCATAACAAATTCTAATTGCTCGCCTATGCTTAAAAAAATAATAGTCGGCAGTGACCCCATTGTAGGTTTTCATAAATCACATAATTTTGCTATAAGAATACACATTTTCTACACTCTATTGCAACTATGTCTTCAAGTAATCAGCCAATGGAGGCATTATCTACATTCAGAGACGATTTAATCACACCATCTGTTGATAATAGTAAAAGTAGTGACGGAAAGATTTTTAATTACAAGAAATACCTTAAAAATCAAAATACAAAGTCTCGTAAAGCTGTAGCATTCTTTACATCTCTTGTATTAATAGTTGGATTAATTATGCTTTCCAAAGTAGTTCATTCTTCACTCACAGATAATAGAGAGGAAAATGGCGACGATAAGCCGAAATCCCTTGATCTTAGGTTGTACAGTCATAACATCAGATACGATAATAGAAACCTTGAAAGGGGAGAACACTTATGGCTGGAAAGAAAGCATTTAATGACTTCCTCTGTGAAATTTCACACTGAAAGTTCTGGTTCATCTGTTATAGGATTACAAGAAGTCTTGCATGGTCAATTGCAAGACATTTTAGAAATTTTGAATTATGGCAATAATGATTGGACTTATTATGGAGTCGGTAGAACGGATGGCAAAGAATCCGGGGAGTATGCTCCAATTTTGTACAAAAAATCCCAGTGGGATTTGATTGGAAATAGAACGTTTTGGCTTAGCGAGACCCCAGATGTACCAAGTATTGGATGGGATTCAGTCTTAGAACGTATTGTAACCATGGTAACATTGAGATCTGTGGTATCTCCATCTCATACCATAAATGTTTTCTGCACTCATTTTGACCATATCGGTGTTGTAGGTAGAAGAGAATCTGCAAAGCTTATTATGGATAGAATGGAAAATTTTAATGAGTACCCTTCGTTCCTTTTAGGTGACTTTAATACCGAACCAAAAGATGAGCCTTACAAAATTTTAAAAAGTCACGGAATTAAGGACAGTAGAACATTGGCAACATCCAGGGAAAGCTATGGACACGATTATACGTTTACAGGATGGGATATCAACAAAGAAGCAAATACAATTATTGATTATATATGGTCTCCTTCATGGTCAACTAATTCAACATCAATTGGAGTCTCCACAGCAAGTGGAGGTTCCCCAACAAAATATCCTAGAACCTCCATTCAAATTAAAAATTTCGGAGTACTCCACTCCCACTTTGGTTTTTATATGAGCGACCATCGCCCTGTTGTTGCATTGTATGAATTGAAACATTAAATCCCCGTAGGAAAAACCCGGAGGTTCTAAAAAAATTTCTTTTTATTGAATTTTATGAAGTTTATTTAACGAATGGTGCTAGTTCGATACATATTTTTTTACATATTTTTAGCGCATCTCGGACATTCAAGGACCGGAGAAAGTTTTTTCGGGAATTCATGCATGTTTTCCAATTTTATTTAGTGGGGTAGACACAATATAGAATGTAATACTCAGCGCCATACTCTTGATGCCGTATATTGGCTAGTAGCCTAGTAGCCTAGTAATCGAGGTCAAATTTGCCCTCTGTGCCTACTTGATCAATAAAACTAATATAAGGTTTAATGTTGTAATACATATCAAGGGAGTGACACATTGTTCGTCTTGTGGGGTCGGAAAAGTCAAATATTTTTTTGTACGTTTGCGCCGCATGTCAAGGTGTAGCCTCTCGAATCAGGCTGCAGGGATTTGTGGGTGTAGCCTTACCCCAGTACACTGCATGAATTGTTTATGGCAACGATCTGCTCGTCGGGGTTGCCTCCGGACAAAATGCTATATAAGAGGTGGGGCACGTCAAATTTTTTACATTTTTCTTATTCTCTGTACTATATCTTTTCACACTATGAGTAATAATTTAATAAATCCGATTGAACCTTTAAACTCGCAAGAGTTGAAGGAGCATTACGATAATATGGTTCGTAAGCCAACCTTCTCCTCTTACGCTATAAAGAACTATATTAAAACGAGATTTACTTCTCTTATTGTCACCAAAGAAAGTCTTGCAGAGTATAGTTATGGTGAAATATTTAATCCGTTTCAAAACTTGGCTTTACTTAACGCAAGACAGTGGAATTTTTTCTTGGTTGGTCTCTGCGGTTGGACTTGGGATGCTTTCGATTATTTTGCAGTTTCGCTTAATGCCTCTAAAATTGCTACGAGTTTAGATGTTACCGTTAAAGATGTTACTTGGGGAATTACATTGGTTCTTATGCTTCGTTCTGTTGGTAGTATTTTGTTCGGTCTCTGGGGTGATAGATATGGAAGAAAATGGCCCTACATTGCCAATATGGTTTTATTGATAGTGTTGCAAATTGGTCTTGGTTTCATTAAGACCTACAAGCAATTTTTAGCTGTCCGTGCATTATTTGGTATAGCAATGGGTGGTATGTTTGGGAACTGTGCAGCATGTGCGCTTGATGATTGCCCAAAAAAAGCAAGAGGTATAGTTTCCGGACTTTTCCAAGAAGGATATGCTTTAGGTTATTTGTTGGTTGTTGTCTTTCAAAGAGCGATTACTGATAACTCTTCACATACCTGGAGAGCGCTTTTCTGGTTCTCTGCTGGCCCTCCTGTAATTTTTATTACTTGGAGATTTTTCTTACCTGAAACTGATGCATTTGTGAAACAACAGGAAAGGATGAACGCATCAGACAAAATCGGAGGTTTCGTGGTCGATGGTAAGAAAGCCGTCAAGCAGTATTGGTTAATTTTAATTTACCTTGTTTTGCTTATGTCAGGTTTCAACTTCATGTCACATGGCTCCCAAGATTTGTATCCTACTCTTTTAACGGAACAATTACACTATGGAGATGATAGATCTACAGTTACAAACTCTGTTGCAAATTTAGGTGCTATTTTTGGGGGAGCTATATTTGGTCACTTTTCTACCTTTATTGGTCGTAGACTTAGTATTTTAATAGCTGTTGTATTGGGTGGAGCCATGATCTATCCTTGGGCATTCTTAACAAATTCAGGAATAAATGCTGGTGCTTTTTTCTTACAATGTGGTGTTCAAGGTGCCTGGGGTGTTGTTCCAATTCACTTATCTGAATTATCTCCTCCTGGCTACAGAAGTTTAGTTGCAGGTTTAGCTTACCAATTAGGTAACTTATGTTCCTCTGCCAGTTCAACAATAGAAGCTACTATCGGAGAAAGATTTCCAATCGAAGGAGAGCCAGGCATTTATAACTATTCTAAAGTGATGGCCATTTTTATGGGTTGCGTCTTTGGCTATATGCTAATTATTACATTTGTTGGTCCAGAATATAAAGGTGCTGATTTGGACGTTTCTAGAGATGATGTGATTGTTGTCGGAGATGAAAACGTAGAATCATTTGATTCTACCGAAAAACAGATGCAAAGCGCAACACATATAGAAACTAAAGTATAAATAGGTTAGTATTTATGTATATTTAAGTCTCTTTAACTTTAATAAACTGGTTTTATGAAATTAACGTCTTCTTGTAGCTTTTGATTCCTTCAAAGTTGTTTTTGAGCCTGATGATTTCGCAGATGGTGTCACTTCTTCCTCGTAATTTTTTTCTTCCTTCAAAGTGCTTGAACTCGTTTCTTGCTTCTCAGGAATTGCTACAGGACCTGAAACTATATACACAACAGTAGACATTAATCCGAACGTTAATGTAAATGTAAAGACAAATCCTATACAATAGCCAACAAACTTGAAAGGATGATTTACAACAGTTTCTAATGGACTCTGACGGAATTCACCATAAAAGCTTTCAACTTTTGAATACTTTGCTATTAAAGTTTCCGAAATTAGGAAATAAAACCTGCTCAACGAAGATTCACTCTCCTCTGAAAATAAATCTTCGAAGCTTTTTGGCGGAGGCACAGGTTCATTCTTAGCTCGTGGTCTATTTGCTTCATGAGATTTTCTTTCAAGAATTTCTTTTGGAATAAATGTAGTATTTCCAATTAACTCTGCCTCTTCTAGGCTATGACCTAAGTAAATGTTGTCAAACATTATCTGGTTTTCCATCGTCCATAATTCAAATCCTATACCACCAATTAGTTTCAAATTCGATGGTGTAAGGTCTTCATAATAATTTGGATTTGGGATTGTTCTTGGTTTCCACTCACCCTGATAATTCGGATTTGGAATAACTGGACGAATCCAAGGGCCTTTGTAATTTGGATTCGGGATGCTAGGGGGCGACCATTTACCGCAACCAATTGAAACACATTTTGGGTTTGCAATTATTGGCCCTTCCCAATCACCATCTTCTTCTTCATCCCAATCTTCAGGAATTTCTGCTTGTGGATCAATTATAAATTCTGGCTCAGATTCATCCCAGTCTTCAGGTTTCACGGCTTTTGGATCATCGATCGAATGAGAATAGTATTTTTCATCGTAATCCGCTGGTTTCTCGGTTATTTCTGGATCTGGAATATATTCATCATCGTCCCAATCATCCGGCTGCACATCGTGAATATCAATGGATTCCTTCGATGGATTAAGTTCTGGATAAAGTAAACTGGGATCGCCTACTAAATTTCCAGCCTTTGCAACTCTACCATTGATCCTTATCTCAAAATCTTGAGACTTTTTCAAAATAAGGGTATACAAAGTAGAGAGTTTCCCAGAGCGAGCTAATGGAGGAGAGGTTAACACCTTTTCTTCTATGCTACCAGTTAGTGGATTTTCCCTCCGAATTATGAACTGTAATTTATTACTTTCACCACATTTATCTGGCCCAAACATAATTTGAAATGGCGTTCTGTTGCTAAAGTTATCTGCAGATTCATTAACTGATTCAGCATCCAATAACTTAATATAAGCACCAGCACAATTTATGCCTTTCTCAGCCTTGACCTCATACTGCAAAACCAAGTCACGGTCTGTATTATCAAATGGGTTATCCAAGACGTAGGAAATTGCATGGTAAGCAGCTGAAGTTTTTACAGCCAAAGCTTTGTCGTTGACAAATCCTGGAAATACTGTTGGTGTATCTAAATCCCATTCTCCTTCATACACAGATTGGTCTGGTTTGGTGGCATGAGATACTTTCCAGTTCGATTCATGAAGTGCTTCATAATCAAATTGTTCGAAGAAAGAAGACAGATCAAGTTTTGTTTTGTCGAAAGGTACATATGCTTGATCTTGTGCGAACGCAGCATCAGGATAATTTAACAATAAACTAACGGCAATTGAAAGAAGTGTCGAAAGCTTCATTTTTTTGACGACAAAACAAAGTACTTGAAACTTGGACCAATGGTCCATTTGTCTTTTATCAATAATTATTTTCACTTCGATGAATCAATCACGTGACTTAAATTAAATGAGCCTTGCTGCTAGGAGACGCATTTTAACATCCTAAGTATAGTATGCATCATGGAATTTTTGAAAATATATACCTACGAGCTAAAGTATTAAGCTACGATTAATATACAGCTGAGTTTTTATGATCTATCTTAATATATAAAGGAAGAAATGTAACTATTCCTAATTTTGCAACATTTCGCTATGTCAGTGTCGAAGTAGAGAAAGAAATATTTAAATAATTCTAACTACTTCTGTATTTAATCGCTCCAGAATGTAATATCTGACAACTTCAAATTCTAGTGTACAATTAAAACTACTCTAATTCCAGAATATTGTTGAGTACTTTCCATCAAGCTTCTGTTTCTTCCAAGAGAGAGAAAGCATTAGTATTCTTCTGGCTGGAAGCCTTAGTATTGGTTGAGGTAGCTTTATTGGAATCAGCAAAAAATTCAGCTACATAGGCATCTTCTTCAGCCCTTTCAATGTCTTCAGTAGAAGGTTCTTCTGTTGTCAAAATAGAAGCGGAATGGTTGATCTTAATACCTTTATTTATCAAGTCCCATCCACTCTTACGAGAATTCTGAACATATTTTGCTCTAGAAATACTTTGCTCAATCTTTTCACCTAAGATACCTGCAACCTTAGCTGAACGGTCTTTCTTTGATTTTATTGCATTATTTTTCTTCTTGTTAATCCTGCTTAGTTGCTTCATTTCCATTTTTTTATTCAATAAATTTTCATTCTTGATCGTTGTACGAATAATAGAGGATTTGACATCATCATTAACTTTTGGGACACTTTCAAGCTCTTTTACTTCACCAGTAGCTTCCTCAATTAATCCTCTTCGAGCAGCTCTGCTTCTCTTCGAAACTAATTTTAAATCGTTAGTAAGACACATAGGGTACATCAATATTTTCGTAACACATACTTTTTTTAGCCATGTTCAACGTTATTGTAAATAGTACGATAGCTATTCCTGGGGAGCAGTGCTCTTTGCTGAAACTCTTGTAGCTCATCGATTCAAAAATGAAAACTGCATACTATATTTGCACATTGTTATCCTGCATTTTGATAAGTTGGAGTTTATAGCATAGATAAATAAACGAAAGTAATACCATATATTGGGATGTTTCAGTACATGTTACGTTTGTCTTAATCTCATATGTACTATATAAGTCGTAAAGGAGTTGTGAATATTCCATGTTTGCGCCTTTGCATGTATTTCCTAGGCTGAAAATTGTAATCAAGTAAAAACTTCAACTGGTTCAAATTAGAAATTCCTCTGATCTGGATACTACGTAGCCTGCATTCCCTGAATAAAATAAAGTATATTTAAACTGCCAAATTGGCTCCTAGAAATGTGTTATGCCCCTGAAAACCTTTTCTTTTCCCTATCTTGAGAGTTCTTCCAACTTGTGTTCATTTTGGTTCACACCAGTAATTTTTTCTTTCATCACAATAAGTTGAATTTTAAAGTACGTAAATTCTCGCGTTTCTTTTCGAAGATCGAAAACGATAGAGTTATCTGTTAGCCTTTTCCTTTTCTTAAATTTAAATATCCCACCCAGCAAGGTAAATTATGAACCATGATATTTATAATGACTCACACCATCCTTTACTGGTAGGATATTACGACCCATTTAATGCATTTCCTATTATTGAAAAGGAATTACTTGGTAGGTTTCCCCTAACAAATTTGCATTGGAAGTACGACTTATCTAAACCTTTGAAATCCATCCCACTATTACCTATAAAATTGGTAGAGGAAGTGCCACGAAAGACTATCTCTGCTTCAAAGCTGGGAAGCGGAGATTGTATATACCTTCGATTGATGCTAGTCAAATGTGACAGCATTGACATATATAGGTCACAAGTTAGGCCATTAATTAAAGAATGGTTGAATAATATGGTAACTTCTACCGATTCGGAATGGATGATAATGCTTGTGGTTCCTTCCAATGCCAAGGATAAGCATTCCACAATAATAAAGCTTTCAATACTTGATAAGTTAAAAATAGATTTCGGAATAGATGGGAAAGAGCTTACATCTTCTAGCTTTGCTAGAAATGGAAACCGAATATTTAAAGTGAAAGAAAAATTTGAAGATGAATCAATCAAACTTGAGGTATATACTAGCATTGTTAACCAGATTAAGGAACTTGTGCTTTCTAAGTTCACTATAAAGTTTACGGAATTGCAGAAAAAAATTCATAATCAATCCAAGAACATTTTTGATAATGTGCTAACCGAGCTAAACTTAGCTGAATTATTTAATGACATGAGATTATACGAAGATTCTTTAAGATATTATAAATTATTGGGCAATTCTATTGACAAAATCATTACAAGTGATCCCAAGTTATTTGAGTTCGGAGCAGTCGAATCCATTATCCCTTCGAATTTGGACAACTACGTATTTGAACACTCAATCAAAATTCAAAACGTTAGGAACAATTTGATCAAAAAGGACGCACTGTCTATTAGTCTTCTTGAATTAAAATGCTTTCTATTCGTGAAACAAGCAAGCTTACTCCAATCCCTAGCTTCACATTCTAGTACTCTTTCCATTTCGGCATCATACATTGCCTCATTTTATCAAAAGTTGTTAATTTTTTTGAATGACATTACAGTAAAAGCAGTGAAATGTCCAAACGTTTTGCAAGTGAAGTTGTACCAATGGAGTTTTACCTTGATTGATACTTATTTAAATTCTACTATAACGAAGTATATATTTAAGAAAAGCAACGACAATACTTTAAATAATAGCGATGCCCAAGTTAATCAAATTCATCCCTTGCATGAAATATTAGAGTGTATGGGGGAATTGAAACTATTTCAAAGGACACTATTAGTCAATCTAGGGAGGTTGACTAGAAATTATGTACTTCATGGTGCAAAAATATTAGAGGAAGTAGATTTGGCTGAAGATGACTATATTCAAAAGAAAGTTGAAGAAAAATTTGAACTATCCTATTCTCCACTTTTATCTGCGTTGGAAACAGAATGCACTTTTCTTGAGTCGTTCCAAAGGATCACAGAGTCTACCATTCAAGACTTTGCGGCTGCAAACAGGGAAAAGTCAATTGATATTTTAAGTATAGATATTGCATTAGTAAAGTACTACCAAAAAAATTATTCTGAGGCGCTTCAAATTTTGGAGGATTCCTCAGAATTTTTCATTAATAATGGGTGGAATTTCATGGGAGGACTCCTATTAGAGGCATACTTAAGTTGCATTGAAAACTTGCTGCCAAAAAATTCGTCCAATGAAGCAAGAGAATCAAGGAACAGATTAATATGTATGACTTGCCTTAATTTATTAAGTAATTTAAGGACTGGGGAAATTCTCGCATCAACAGGAATTAACAACTATAATTTGATCAAATCGACTGATAGTGTATCAAAATTATTTGAAAAGATATTCAAGTACTCTAACTTACTTAATGATTCATTTATTGAGTATGATGTTAATAAAATTTTTGATGTGACAGTTTGTCCACACATACAAAGCGAACAGAACCAAATCGACTCCGATAGCTATTTTATTGACATTCAAGTGTTAAATAAGTTTGAAGTTGAAATAGAAACTGAACAGGTTCTTTTGGAATTAAGGAATGATTCAAATGAAGGAATAACGTTTTTTACGAACAAGTGTACTTTGCTTCCTAGTCCAAAGCTTACTACTATTCGATTATTTACAACAAACTCCATTCTCGGAATCTTTCGAATATCAAAATTTTCTATTTCAATGAACAATAACATGAAGTTCACAAGACATTTCTCAAATCTGGTAAGAGCAAATACAGAGGACTTTACCACATCTTTAAATGATGACCAGAGTCAAACGGATGTTGATTTCAATGGGGATAATTCAGTTGTTTACAGTTTCAATCGAACAAATGAATGGAGTATTTTGAAAACTTTAAGAAAACAGAATCGAAATACGTCACGACTTCCTTTAAGCTCATCTTTTCAAATAATATCTTTCCCCAGACCTGAAAACTTATGGTTTGAATTTATAAATCCAATTAATCTTGAATTGGGTAAGACAGATATACTCTTAAGAATCCATGGGGGTAATGCTAATTCATCAAATGTGGATGTAAACATTTCCTCCTTAACCCCTGGAGTTACAATTAAAAATGATGAAATTTCATTAGTTGGTACTGATGAAAATAATAAATTTAAATCCAATTGTATTCTTATAAATCAAATACCAATGAAGAGTTTCGTTGACATTAGAATCCCATACGTATACTTCAGTGATAGTAACAAGTATATAAAAATGAAAGCAACTGTGTCCTATCAAATTGGACTGGAAACATTTTCTTTTACAGCTGCAAATGGGGTAGATACTACCTTGACAATATCAGTGTCTGTTCAAGATATCTTTAAAATAGAACACATTTTCTCCAAATTTCAAGTTGGAACTTCAAATCCCAAATATCCAATAAGAGTAATTTCCAATAAGCTATCTTCGCCAACCAATTCCAATTATAATATTGAGAAGCCTATGAAAGATCCAGGGTCTATAGTAGCATTTGGTGAACAACCAGCTTCTTACTTCTATAAAATATATCCTAATACGAGTTTTGTACCGAAGTCTGAGAAAGGGGAGACCTTAGATTTGGTAATTCAATATAGTAATTTACAGGATGAAGCACAGCAGATATTTGAAGTCTCTACTTTAAGAAAAATACGAAGTGTCAACCTAGAGTCGTACTGGCTATTATTTAAAAGTGTCTTGCTGGATATGGTTGCCTTCAACATTAATCAGTTTGCTTTAAGTGGAAAAGTCCAGATAGAAAATGGAGCAAGTGTCCTAAATATCGTCAATAATTTGATAGTCAATTACATTCCAGAAGAAGCTGATAGGTTAATTTTGCAAAGGATATTCGAGCAATTGCTCATGAACTCAGAAGTCCTAAACCAAGACCCTGAAAATAGAGCCCATGCTGATATCAAATTCAAATCTTTATCCATTCGCGTACCTGTACCACATTTGAGGATATTGCACATTGTTGAATTCAAATTTGAAAATACTACTCAATTAATTGTTGGCGAAGCATTGAAGGCCAAATTGGAAATTCAACCAAGCAAGAGATGGTCATTATCTCACATGGTTAAGTCGGAAAGTACTACAGAACAATCCCTCTCCACTGGTAATGATAATAAAGAAGCGTCACCAAATAATGGTCTTGTTGCAGGTGGATATAATCCGAGGATTGAACAGTTCCTTGTGAATTTTATACCAGACGATAACTGGTTGATAAGCGGCTTCAAGAAAACTTCTTTTGAAATAGACTATTCAGCTAATCAATTGACAAGGTTGGAATTCGACTTGGTATTGATCCCTCTCAATGTGGGCAAACTACTACTTCCAAAATTGGATGTAAGACTGCTAAGTTCTGATTCAAATATTGAAGAAATCTCGATGGATATTGTTTTTAAGAATGGATTGGAGCCCATTTTGGTCGTCCCAGAATTAGATAGTATAACATTTTCCTTTTAATCACTACATCCTAAGAGATCACTGAAGAAAATATTGTAAGAAAACTGTAGACCATTGCGAGCAAGTTAGCGTAAACTCTAATCTAACACTAAAATTATAAATTAACTCTAAATAGAAGCTCCAGTCATAGAAAGTACAGAGAAATCAACAAATCCACCAAAGCATACGGTTAAATCTATAGAGAAGCTCAATTCGTAATAGCCCAGACTAATCCGACCATTCAAAATCAAAAGCATACAAAAAGTAATTATGCAAAAGTAGAGGCAAGGTATAACTATTCAAAATTAAACACATTCATCTCTACCTATTCAGCATATGCAGATCAAACTTTTTATAAAGTCATACATCACGCAAAAAGCGTTGCGATGTATTCAAAATCACTGCTTATTTGATTAAATCTGAATGATATTAAACCAAATCGTGCCTCCAACAGTTGAGCCAAAATCTTACTACTAAAGTTCATGTCTATGTTTACGATAGGCAAACTTAGAAACATAATAATCTAAAGATGCTAAACAGAAGAAAGTAAACTCCGTCAGAAAAAAAATAACGGATTGGATCGAGATCGGAAGCATAATTCACTTCCCTGATGCAGTTGTTGCACACAATATTTTTTGCAAAATAAGTATTGCTATTTATCTTCTTCTTCACCTCTTCTCACAAGAGACAAAAACAATTCACATACGAACATGAACAAATACCAAGATAGAAAGCCCTCCTTCCATTGTACGGGACTATGTCTCTATTAAACAATAAAAACTTGTTACAGAATCTTATAGTAAAGATGTAAAGATTCATTATATTGTCTTCAAATTTGGTTTTAATAATAATAATATTTCAATATAAATTAATAATTTAATGGATAACATTTTTTAGTACATCACATAAAAATACTGCAATATTATCTTTAATATTTGGTTTTTACTCAAATGCAATATATATAATTGCATATATGAAGATCGTCTGTTTTCTATATTTATTAATTATATATAAATTTATATACACCTCCGATTATATCAAATATAATATCTGAAAACCTGCCAGATATTTCATCAAAATATATGTGGTGATATTTATTATTCAAATAACAATAAGAGTTACATATCCAATTATATATTGAATAAGAATGAATAGGTGTATGTAGGAATATACTCTAAAAGAGGTATGTGTTGTAGTGAAAGACAAAACCATATAGTTCTTCATTTATTCTTAATCCTTATATGAATATATATAAACATTTCTACTACCATGCACTAGTCAAATCCATAAAACATCGACTCTCGCTCATAAAGAATTGAATCTGACAACAAACAGACCATCACCAAAGTGAATTAGTTTCTCTGCGTGTCACTCTAACTCTTTATCATCTCTTTAATTTTGCACCACTTCTGTCTCCAGATGAAATGAATGAGAGTAAAGAAACTAATGCCTCATCTTGGTTCACTCATAATTAAATGTACGGATATCAAATCTACGTGACAACGTTTGTCGTATAAAAAAGGAAGAAACAAATTTATAGCTTATTCCTATTCTTATACAAATGTACAAAGTATAATTTAAAACCTAGATTCAATCACTAGGATCAATTCTTTACAATAGCAGAGCATTATCAAGTGCTTTAAGTGTACGTCGAGATTACATCATATCATAAAGATTCTATCATCATGTCCACGGCTCAAACTCAATCAAATATGGTGAAAGGGTCTTGAACACTTCATATCGTGTTCAATAATACATTGAGCAAATGAAATTATCAAGCTCACTCTAGAAGACCTGAAATATAACATCCTAGTTGAGTTTTGCTTACATTCGCACAGTCAATAATATATATTGCGAGATATTTAATTAACAGACAAGAACACTTAAGGTACTTTTTATGAGAATTATATGCCAAACATTGGACAGCTACTTGAAGTATTGTGTTTTACATCAGTATATATTCTATGACAAATGGGATAATGGTTATCAAATAAATCTAATCCTCGTAAGTGAAGTTGCAACTTTCATTGCCAACTCTACAGGCTCTAAATCAGATGAAGGAACATAGCTAAACGCTCAATCTTTATTGGAACTGGGGCCGACATATGATATATTAATCCAGGCGTTCTCTTAACGTACTGCAATCAATTCCTTTACAACATCAATTTCGAACATATCAACCTGATACTCTACCAGGTAGAAAGACATTTTCTTTTGCAATCAAACATTTAATGAGTTGTTTCTTTTCATTAATTTATGTCAATGATCACGAGGTAGACGTCTTATAACAGTGGCTAATATCTCACACCATCACAGAACATTGTGCTTCGATCTGCTTGTGTTCATTTTTTCTCCAGTTTTGCTCGCCCTAGTTATTATATAGTCCTTAGCTTCATGCGATAGTTCTCTGACACCTTGTAATGATCTCTCGAGGGGCTGGCTGCAATATGTCATTTTCCCTGTGCCTATTTTCTGTTATTCTATTTTTTATATTCAATCAACTTTCTCTATTGTGCTCTCTTTGTATTTTTGACTATTTACTTGTTACATAAGTTCTTCTTAATCGAACTTTCGGCCCCTCCATCTTCATTCATGAACCAAGAATGAGTAGGCTTTTAATGAAGCATCTCTAATTCCTTGTACGTTATTTTCACTCAAAGTATTAAGTGATTTGTCTCTTTCTACGCTCTTTCGTCTTTCAACAAATATGGGGTTTTTCTAAAATATTGTTAATCAAGGTAAGTTGTGACTCAGTTCTCGGGCCGCTGGAGAGTCTATCTGTTTTTGTTTTCAGATGTTTTCAGATGTTTCGTATCTTTCAATTTTAGATTTTATTATGTACATCACTAGTTACATTACTATACTATAGACGCTTATATATAATTCAGAATTAAATTTCTTATGTGTCATTTTCTAGTTTAGGCCGCAAAGTACGATAGGGAATTTAAAGTAATAGTTCAAAAAGTTAAATTAGGGATTAATGAGTATATATCTTTAAACCTTGATCAGTGTAATTTTTTTGTAATAGTATGCCCATGAGGGCGTAGTCTTATCTTAAAATATTTACTTGGCCATTCAATTTTGTTTCGCTTAACTATTTCGTAATTCTTTGTTGAGGCTTAGTTTCTCAGCCGCGCGTTCGTATATTTTCGCTAAGTCTTGTCGGTTTACGAATTAGTTTCAACTTTGTCGGCAAATAGTTGTAAGTGTTGATAATGGATTGGCGATCCTTCCAGTTAAGTCATACTTTCCAGATTTATAGCTGACGAATGACCTTACTTTATTTTTTAAATAGCTTCGAGGTATAAAATTGTCTCAGAAGGCTCCTTTTTTTGACGTTTGGTTCCTAAGAGAACTAACAATTTCAATGTATCCAACTCTTTCAGTTTACAATGATGCCACAACAGTACCGATTTTTGCCCATTTGCTAACTATTATCTTGTTAATCAATATTTTATTGATTGGAAAATATACAACTACATTTCCATTTAATCTGCTCTATTGGTCTGATGTTACCATAGGCGATGAAAGCTGGACCAGATTTTCCTACGCTAGATGGACTAATTATGGGATTTGCGGCGACTCAAATTTAAACTGTACTGTCGTGATGTCAGCTTTTCCTTACGATCCTATAAAGGAGCTCTCGAGGTCTTCTGGGGTATTAAAAGGAATATTACCAAAGGATTTCACATCTGCTAGAAAGACATATATTCTGTCTTCTCGGTCTGCATTTGGGCTCTATGCTACAGGGCTAACTTTCTCCTTTATTTCCCTATTTGCACATTACCTTTTCGTGTTCAGAAAGATTGTAATCAATAGGCTAATCTTCTTAGTGAAATTCTTAGCTTTTTTTTTTACAGGAATTGCAGCCTTGCTAAGTACCACCATTCATTGTAGAGGAGTTTCTACCTTTATCGCTGCAGGATATGATGCTAAAGTTGGCGTTCTTGCTCAATTTTACATTTGGTTTACAGTATTTTGCTCACTAGCAGCACTATCTTATAGTTCAGTTCGATACTATGGCCAAGGACCACAGTACGATATTGAATCGAAGCCTCAAATTACTAGCTCAGTCAGCAATGCTTACAATACGAGTAATGCAGTTACAAATGTGAACGATGCAAACAATGTAAGCAATTCACACAATATAAGCAATTTAAATAATGAAACAACGACGAATAACGCAAACGTCATAAATTATACAACTCACAATGCTCCAGTTACGAATATACATTTCATTCAACCTGAAAGTAACAATACACACTATCCGGCTCAAGAGCCATTGCATCGAGCGAGTGAAGATTATACTTATGATGTCAATGAAGGACATTTCCACGAAGTGGATCAACAAAGTCCTCCACCTGAGTACTTTCCTGGTGAGGTCTCATGGAATCGCCATTAGATAGATGTTACATGACTAAATCAAGAATAATGAATATAATAGAAGTAACTAATTTTATCGTAGAAAATTATTCCATAAAGCTTTCATATCTCAAGTCAGCTCGTAAAAGAAACCTGTCAGCTTATTGAGCTGATCTCTACTAGAGGAAGAAGATCATGCTTTTTGAATGTTATCAAGATCATTCTCCAGTTACAATTAGATCACACTTGAGATCTACCGGACATTGTCCGTGCGATATCGAACCTCGCATCATTCATTGTATTTTAGACTCATTAAGGCTCAAGTTTCTGTATGATCATGCTGTATGACTCTAAGCTAGTGGTCTCTCTACTATTTTTCAGCGCCATATAGTGCACGCAGGCCATTTAAGGCTGCATGAATTGTTAAGTTCCTAAAAATATTATATGTAGGATTTCAAATTAACTAGAGGAAATGTATATATACACCAGACGTACAATGATGAAAAGAAACAACATATCGTTAGAGAACTAATAAGTTACATGCAAATATCACTGAAGATAGGCAATAAATATTTTCAATTGATGTATATGAATATTCAACTAGTTTTGAGTCAATTTCCATCGCCGCTTCAAAAAACACAAATAATATTACTTCCAGTAAGTACAATTTGGAAAAAAAATTTGAAAAGGTTAACATATCTTTTAGAATCCAGAATTTGAAGAGCTGAAATAACATTATACAAAATAATTACCTTGAAAAGACGATTATGAATGAGCTGAGTGAGCATCAATTATTGCACTTCTTAATTTATCAATATGGTAGCACTTTTTGGGGCCATTCCTAATGAACATAGAAATACGTACTGCATATAACGAAAGTTTCAAAATTTGCGAACATTTCAAGTTATTATTTCAAATGTGGACGAAGAGTTCTCACTCACTGTTTATGTGTGCTAAGTAATCATCCGGTATGTCAGACTTGGAAGATGATTTGTTAGCTTTGGCTGGTGATGGAGTTTCAGACTCTGAATTTGAACCTCAAGATTTCAAAAAGAGAAGCTCTCCTACAAATAGTTCTACTAAAAGAAGAAAAACTACAGTTAGAGACTTTGATGATGAAATTGATGAAGATGAAGAAGTAGGAGAGGATGATGACCAAATCAAAGATTATGAAGACGAAGATGAAGATGACGATGAAGAAGATAATCTTGTAAATCCTTATCCACTTGAAGGGAAGTATAGAGATGAAGAAGATAGAGAGAACTTACTTAAAATGGATGAAATTCAACGTGAACAAACCTTGTTTGATAGATCTCAAGAGATGGAAAGCTATAACGAAAAGAAGTATTTACAGCAAAGATTAAAACAACAAAAGGCTCAAGCGGAAGGAGCAAAGGATAAGAAAACAAGAACTAGTGCTAGATCTAAGATGGTAAAAAGTACTTCTAAAAGCAACAAACTTGATAAATTGAGTGAGTTAAGGAAGCAAAGAGATCAAAAATCGAGAAGAGAAAGTAAGAGAAAAGATTATGATGACTATGAAGAAGATGAAGAAGATGAAGAAGAAGACGAAGGTGAAGAGGAACTTGAAGAAGATGAAGAAGATGAATATGGATATAATGATTATGAAGATAAGGTAGTTTGGGGAAGTGGAGCTTCCTCTTCTAGATCTTCAAGGGTCAAGAGAAGTACCGAAAGAGCTCAGTTTGAAAACTTAAGTCAAATCAAGGTTGGTCGTAGTATGTTACACCGCTTTTGCTTCTACAGTAATTTCAGCGATGCCGTGATTGATTGTTTTGCCCGTATAAATGTTGGTATTGATAAACGAACCAGAAGACCTATATATAGAATGGTTCAAATTGTAGATGTCAAGAATATCCCAGAGAAAGCTTACAAGTTCCCTAGCACAATGGTGGATATATACTTAACTGTCGCACAAAATAGAACCCAAAAGAAAGACTTTCCTATGACTGTATTTTCAGATTCACCTATAACTAGGGAGGAATTTGATAGGTATGTCATTGAACTAAATAAGACTGATGAAGAATTACCTTATTTGGATGATGTTAAGGAAAAAATTAATGTTCTCAATCAATTTATGAACAGAGAGATTTCAGACAAGGACGTCAATGAGATGATCAAAAGGAAACAGCAATTGAATGCATCTACTGGAGACGGACAAAACTTGGAAGGTTTCGATGCTGTTTTCCAAAAATCCCGGATAAGGGATGAATTGAAGGTAGCTAAACAGGAGAAAAATTTCAGTAAGATCAGCAAGTTGGAAAAGAAGTTAGAGGACTTGGAAGTTATAGTTGCCAATACTACAAACAAAGTAACTAGCGGTGGTTTGACTATGTCCAAAGTTAATGAAAGAAACAGGAAACTTAACCAAACAAATATTAGAATAGCTGAGTTGAAATCTTCTCAATTGAAGAAGATTGCTGAAGCCACCAGCGATGGTGGTGATCCATTTTCCAGATTTAAGACTAATACTAGAATGTTTTATCAAGATTTAGTTAATGAGGAAAATGAAAAGGCGTTAGTTGATGCTAGAATAAACTATGAAAAGGAAATGGCAGAGAAGACAGAAATGGATGCTAAGATTGCTTCTTCTAGTTACAGAAGTTTAGGAGTTATGGATGATCTAATCAAGAATATTGAGCTTGATATAGAGATCAAAATATAGTTTTTTGTGACTTTGTCTAAATTCATGTGCAAATCTAAATTAAACGGCCAAAGATCGATTTAACTTAAACTAATGTAGAATTTTTGGTGGATGACCTTGTAATACAGGACTCGGAAATATTTCTGCGTTAATTATCGCGTTTACTGACAAAAATGAAGAAAATATCTACGAAAGTTTGCAAAATAAGCTTTCGCTTGCTTATATAAGCGATATATAGAAATTCTTACAGATCCTTTACATGGAAAGCATTTCAACTACAATTAATCAATTAAAAAAAAAATCTCGTTCATATTAGTGAATCTTATGTATATATATAAAATATCGTCGAGTGTTAAACTATGTACAAATAAATATTGAGGTCATTAATTCATGGAGGGAGGGAAAGATGTGTATCGAAAAGCTTAAGCTTCGAGCTCTTGACGAATTTGCATTCTGAGTTCAAGTCTTTCTTTTTCTTTTTCGAAGTCATAAACTGATTCATCTTCGTATTCGTAATATTCCTCTCCAGAATTTTCATAGTAGTAACTGTGAATCGATTCTTCAGATAAAGATTCTTCGTCTGATTGATATCCGTTGAAGAAATTCTTCCCTACATTTCCTCTGTAATTTATTGGGTTTTCCAAAAGATATTCATCATCGAGACCACTTATTATTGAGTTGGAGTCTTCAAATGATGCAGTATTGAAATCGAGAGATTTCATAGTCTCAATTGGTAAGTTATATTGGTTAAATACCTCTTCTGAATACTCCTCATTATTCAAAGTCTGCGATGATGATGATGATGCAGACATTGATCTTGAGATAGAATTCTTTGACTTATTACCGGAGTTCGATGACTTTCTCGAAAGAACAGAAGTAATCTTTGACAATACCGATGATGATGATGATGATGATGAGACAGATGCTGAAGATGGAGATTTTTTTGAAAAGTTACAACATGATGAAGTTGCAGATGAGGAGGACTTCTTTCTTTTCAAAGATGAAAAAGGTCCGGATTTAACACTTTTTATTTCCGGTGTGTACTGTACTTCACAGGGCAGATCGTACGAAATCGAGTTATCTTCATCATTGATGAAGTAGTACTGCTGGAGGTCTGAATCGTAAGCTCTAGTCCACATTGTTACAGTTATTCGTTTCCTTTTGGTAAAAATTTGAATTTAGCTGACTTTCTTGCTGTACGAAGTCTAATAATATCTACTTTCCTTTAAGTCCACCTTTTAAGTACACTTTTAATATAGACAAGAACCGTTTAATTTCAATGTCTACTAGTATAATTTGTTCTAATTTCAATTGAAGATAGAAAAAATTTGAATGGCTGATACCTTCCATCAGAATATGAAGCATAATACAAGCGGCAGCTCATGTTTATATATATTTTGCCACACCATTAAATATCTTATTTCCATTTGTAATGAAAAAAGAAATAAGCTGTACGTAACGCTTTTTTTTCGGATCCGCAGTTTTCTCCGTGGCCCACATTCCCAAAAGGGGTATCGCCGCGTAGTCGGAAATGACTCTAAAGAGTGAGATTTTTGAGCCTTACTAATTGCTGATGACAAAAAGTGTGAAGTACTATCTTGTATCTTACAAATCTTCACTTAGTAAACCAAATTAACACATTTCTTATAATTGTAACTTTCATTTCTTACTAGCCTAAACTTGAAAGAGGGAAACGAATTAGTTGGAGACAATAATCCAACAATTCTATCTAGACGAGAACCTTAAATCCATAGAATGGAGAAATTATTTTTGTTGACTGCTCCGAATAGTACGAATGTAGTTCTGCAGCATTCTCCATCATTCTACACAGCGATGAACTATAAAACATACTGCGGAGATTATGATTTTGTGTAATCCGATGGAGATAAATTTGTTTGAAAATCTAAGAACCTTGAAATTCACGGAACTAAGTCTTTTTCCGGATCCGCAATCAGGGGTTAGCCTTTTCTTCCTTCTACTTTTATTGCATTCCGATATCTAAGTGCATGCATAAAGAAGAACTTGCATAATCATGAGAAGCTATATGTTAAAGCAGAAATGATTAATCAACGCATAGGATTGACCATTCAATATATGGTCATGAGAATAGTTCCCACATAAATATCTTAATCTATATTATAGCGCTACTTTATAGGGCTTTCGGATGACCTTTTACCGCAGACCTGCATAAATTTACGAATTCGTCCCTGGGCAGCTCTGGCTTCTTCCACGTTTAAAGCTATTCCCATTCCGAAGACACCCTCTATTATATCCGATGATGTTATGCAGGACATCGAAGCCCTTCACATATTCCAATTGCTGCAAATTGCTCTACACTAATAATCAGATTTCTAATTATTATATTAATGATCTCACCTATATACGCATATAATCTCTATTAAATCTCTAGTTTCCTGAGTATTTCGATCTAGAACGTAATTTGGGCCCGTTAAGATAAAATACCACAGGAATTGCAATCATCGCAATACAAATAAACCCTAAAATTGAAGAACCCCATCCAACTCTAAACTTTTCAGAGCCAGTGTTATTAAATAATGGAGCACCAAATAATGGGAATGCACCTGCAATCACTGATCTGAACAAATCATTACCAGCAAAGACGGAAGCTAGGTACCTCCAGAAAGACATACTCAAGTAGTTGAAAAGTGTTTGGAAGATAATGAAAGCACCTCCCGCAAAAATACCAACTCCAATAATTGGTCCAATCCAATGAGAAGATTCTGTTGCAGACCATCCAAATATAAATAATCCTATTGGCATACAAATACTTCCAAAAATGGCAATTGGCAAGAAAACTTCAGGTTGCACATCTTTATTAGCAAGTAACTTCTTAGTGAACCTTTGATAGATTAACCAAATATAAATGAAAGCACCAACTAATACACCAACCATGAAACCCACATATGACACTCCCATTTCAATCAAGTTAAAATGGTACACCTCAATGAAAACGATTGGAAAAGCTTCAAACCATAGGTAGATAATGGAGTACACCAAAGCAATGTAAAGATTAATCAAAAGCACCACTGGCTCGAAGAGAGAGATTTCGATTGGTCTCCAAAGAGCTTCGACAGTGATCTCTCTCATAGTTAACTTCAGATTGGCAATCTCACCTTCACTGACAATATTTGGATTTCCTGTCTTTGCTCTCAATCTACGTGCTTTTCTGCTCAATAATGTTGGCCCATAAGTTTCTGGTAAAAAGAAGCCAAGAACCAAGAAAGCAAAACCTGAAATGATAAGCATAAACCAGAATGTCCATCTCCAGCCAAGTAATTGAGCGAACACAGAACCAATTAATGGACCCAAAGATGGTCCACAGACAGCTGCAATACACCAAGCGGCTATACCAACTGGCATGTAAGGCATGGATATAATATCACCCACAGAAGCCCCTCCAGTAGCCAATGCAGGAGATGCAAAAAAGCCACTAATAAATCTCAATATAGATAAGGAAGCAATGTTCTTTGCTAAGGCAGTTGGAATTTGCAAAATGAAAAATATGAACAACGTAACGATATAAATCGAAGTTCTTCCAAAAATTGAGTTCTCTGATAAAGGAGACAAGATCATTGGCCCGATACCATATCCGATAACGAATAATGTAAGAGGTAATGTTGCAACAACTTGACTTACGTTCCATTCTGCCATGATTTGTTCTATCCCTGGGGTAAAGATAGCAGAACCCATGTACACTGAAGTGGTCAAAAGACCAATCTCGAAAATGAAAAAAGTCTTCTGGTAAATTGGCCAATTTTGAGGATTTTCTGGATCATCATCACCATCCCAATCTACGACTATTAATTCAGAATTTATACTAGATGCAAGACTGGAAGTGTCAGACTCTGGAGCCTTCACCTCTTCAATTGTATCATCACCAACCAACGTTGCCCTTGAAGCTGACATCGAATTTGATTTACTTTCAGGCAAGTATTTATCGGGAATAACATAATCTTTCATGTCTTCCTTGTGAGCAAATGCTTTGTGACCAGATAAGTGGTAGAAGAATCTTCCCCAAAAACTGTCTCTAATGAATCTATAATGCATTGTTTCTTTTGTTTTATCTATTAGCTTTCTATTAAAATGTTATAATGTAATTATAATGAAGACATGAATGAATTGAACAACTTAAGGAAGAAGTGCCTTCTATTTTATATTGCTTTGGCTTGGTTAATTGAATTCAAGATGAGTTATTGATTTCAACATGTGTTGCAAAATTCGAATGCTTACTAAAGTTCAATTACAAAGCTGCATATCTATGTCCTATTTGGGACAAATCCGATAAAAGATATACGGTATTAAGGTAAAACCGAAGATACGATCGCCTAATAGGGAAAGTCCGAAAAATGTTTACTAATAAAAAAAGTATATTTCAGCTTCATGGCGGTGAAATGATTACGAATACTCAGTAAGATGCCAATTCAATTGGACTTAACAAATCCTAACTATTGTATACGACTATACGTATGAAGATAAAGGCTACTAGAGATAATAACGCTATGAGCTAGCAATTGCAGTCATAAGTAAAAACTTATAGAAAGATTCTCGCAGTCTCACTGCTAAGTCGCGAACTTCCATCGCGTATCAATCGAAAATTGAATTTAACGAATATAGTTGAATTACTAAAGGCTGCAGCAATGATGCCAGTTCCGTTCCCGCCGCTCAGAAGCTTAAGTATGGAAAGGCTGTGTAAGCACGGAAGGGTGCAGCCACCTAATTGGATAATTAAGATATAACGAAATAGTAGAAGAGTGAAAAAAAGAAGAAGAGAAGAAGAAGAAGAAGAAGAAGAAGAAGAAAGACATTGAATGTGTCTCAGCTTCTCTTAGCTTACCTGGTTCCTTGATTGGTTATCAGCGGAAGCCTTGGCATCCTTTAGCATGTTGCTTCCTGGCTCACTTCAGACCTGCATAATTTTACGAATTCTGTTCCTGAGCCTCTGGCTTTGTAAGCGGTTTCACTATTCCAAATACAGTATATCCGAAAATTTTATACAGGTGATGAAAGCGCAAATAGCGGAAAATTGCGTCACACTCACACTAACCACTAAATCTTAATAATTACTATTCATATTTATCATCTCATCTATATGATTTCTATCAAATTTCTAATTTCCTGAATACTTCGATCTAGAACGTAATCTGGGCCCGTTAAGATAAAACACCACAGGAATTGCAATCATCGCAATACAAATAAACCCTAAAATTGAAGAACCCCATCCAACTCTAAACTTTCCAGAACCAGTATTATTGAATAATGGAGCACCAAATAATGGGAATGGACCTGCAATTACTGATCTGAACAAGTCATTGCCGGCAAAGACGGAAGCTAAGTACCTCTTAAAAGACTTACTCAAGTAGTTGAAAAGTGTTTGGAAGATAATAAAAGCACCTCCCGCAAAAATACCAACTCCAATAATTGGTCCAATCCAATGAGAAGATTCTGTTGCAGACCATCCAAATATGAATAATCCTATTGGCATACAAATACTTCCAGCAATAGCAATTGGCAAGAATACTTCAGGGTGGACCTCATTACCAGCAAGTAATATCTTCGTGTACCGTTGGTAAATAACCCAAATGTAGACGAAAGCACAGACTAAAACACCAATCATGAAACCTACATAAGAGACGCCCATTTCAATCAAGTTAAAATGGTACACTTCAAGGAAAACAATGGGGAAAGCTTCAAACCACAAATAGATAATAGAGTACACCAAAGCGATATAAATATCGATTAAAAGGACTACAGGTTCGAGAAGAGAGATTTCGATTGGTCTCCAAAGGGCATCGACGGTAATTTCTCTCATAGTTAACTTCAGATTGGCGATTTCACCTTCGCTGACAATATTTGGGTTCCCAGTCCTTTCTCTCAATCTGCTTGCTTTTCTGCTCAATAATGTTGGCCCATAAGTTTCTGGTAAAAAGAAGCCAAGAACCAAGAAAGCAAAACCTGATATAATAAGCATGAACCAGAATGTCCATCTCCAGCCAAGTAATTGAGCTAAAACAGAGCCAATTAATGGACCCAAAGATGGTCCACATACGGCTGAAATGCACCAAGCAGCTATACCAACTGGCATAAAAGGCGAGGATATAATATCATCCACCGATGCACCTCCAGTAGCCAATGCAGGAGATGCAAAAAAGCCACTAATAAATCTCAATATAGATAAGGAAGCAATGTTCTTTGCTAAGGCAGTTGGAATTTGCAAAATGAAAAATATGAACAACGTAACGATATAAATCGAAGTTCTTCCAAAAATTGAGTTCTCTGATAAAGGAGACAAGATCATTGGCCCGATACCATATCCGATAACGAATAATGTAAGAGGTAATGTTGCAACAACTTGACTTACGTTCCATTCTGCCATGATTTGTTCTATCCCTGGGGTGAAGATAGCAGAACCCATGTACACTGAAGTGGTCAAAAGACCAATCAAAGAAATAAAGAACGTCTTCTGGTAAATTGGCCAATTTTGAGGATTTTCTGGATCATCATCACCATCCCAATCTACAACTATTAGTTCAGAGTCTATGCGAGATTTAACACTGGAATCGTAAGACTCTCCTGCTACCTTTTCTACATTACCATCGCCAACTAACGTTGCCTTTGAATGTGATTTTGAGCATGTTTGCTTTTGAGGTAAGTACTTATCAGGAATGATGTAATCGTCCATGTCTTCCTTATGAGCGAATGCTTTGTGACTAGATAAGTGGTAGATAAACCTGCCCCAAAAACTGTCTCTAATGAATCTATAATGCATTGTTTCTTTTGTTTTATCTATTACTTTCTACAATTCTTACTACTACCAAAAAACTATAATTTAGCTGTAAGGAATAATTTCGAATACCTTTCGGAATAATTGTGTTCAATTCCATGCTGCTCCTTATTGCTTTGGTTCGTTAAGATACATTTAAGTTAATTCAAATGTGTTGCAAAGTTTGCATGCTTACTAAAGTTCGATTACAAAGCTGCATACCCATTTCCTAATTGGGACAGATTCTATGAGATATACGGGTATTAAAACAAAACCGAAGTTGAAATAGCTAAGTATTGGACGGCACGAAAAATGTTTACTAATGGAAGAGCATATAATTCAGTTTCTTGGCAGTGGCCAAACAATCATGAATAAACAATAAGAATGCAAATTCAATTGGATAGCTTTTCCTAACAATCTTGTACATCGTATACGAAGAAGATCAAGATTTCTAAAAAAAATAATGCTAGAAGAGATGAGTTCAAAATTACAGCCATAAGTGAAAAATTATAAATCTCCCCTCCTTCACCTTTTAGTTGCGAACTCCCATCGCCTATTATGTGTGAAGAGAATTGCAATTGCATTGCTAAAGTCTATGATCTCGCAGCTAAAAAATTAAAGTATGGAAATGGCTGTGGAAGCAATTGAATTGGAGCTATTGCTTGCAATTGTCAATTTCTCATCTGATTCACTCAATACTATCTTGCATTGTTCAATTTTAGAATGAGAGGATGTGTTTATGTTCTTTAGTTCAAAAAGGGCAAGAACCTGACTTTATACAAGAAATGTCAGCTAGTAGATGGAATATGTAAGCATTGATTTTAAGCTACTGCAGGCTGCATGTCTCTGCGCGCGCGGACTAAAACTAGCTTGAGCCGAATAGTATATGCAGTCCATGAAATAAATTGATGTACCATCCTTTTTCTCTTTCATGTTCCATATAGGTTTTAGCCAAGGGTGTGCCATTCGCAGATATATAACAGTATGTAGTAGGTCGTTGCTTAAGAAAGAGTCTTGTCTCTATAAGATATGCCTATTTGAGATTATTAGTGTCGTCGTTGAGCACCCACAGCCTAGCTACTTCAAATGATCAATCGATCATAACATCTCCGATATAGTGTAACGGCTAGCACGGTTCGCTTTCACCGAGCAGACCCGGGTTCGACTCCCGGTATCGGAATTTTTTTGCACCCCCAAGAAGTTAAGAATAAATTTCTACCAATGAATGCTTCATCTTCATTCCTTCACCTGAGAGAGCAGACTACAATGAGCTATTGAAATTAACTATTATTTACTAGCTTTTCTACCTAAGTCAACACAAAACTACTTCTTAGATCCGTACTTGGTAACAGTCTTACCATCTGGGATAGTGAAGAAAACTGCTTCCTTCCCTTCTTCATAAGGCTTGTCAAGACGGTAGTAACCTTTTCTTTCAAATTGGATTATATCTCCTGCCTTCATGTTTCTAACGTTTACGTCGGCATAAGCCTTAGTGTGGAACTCAGTTTGCTTAGTAAGGAAATCTTCAAAGTTGTCACCTTCTTCTAATTTATCTTTAGTAATTAAATGATCAAAGTCAATTAATTCAACTGGGACCTTATCAGGAGTGTCTGCTAACCAAGTAAGTTTTTTGGAAGTCTTACGGAAATCACCTTCTAAGTGTAACTTAGCGTCAATAGATTTAACCACATCACCTTCCTTGTGCACTTTGGTAACAATAATGTTACCCCAGTCCATGAAAGTTACTTCTTCGCCATCTTCAATACCTTCAGCATCATTTTGATCAATCAATAGAGTCTTGGCGAAAACAACCTTCTTAAGTCCTACTTCTAAGTTTTTCTTATGCTTTGGTTTATCTTCGACCTTAGGCTCTTCTGGTCCATCAGTAATGTGAACAGGAACAACATTCTCAATTTCAACTGCAGTGTGTCTTGGCGCAACAGGATCAATGATCTTCTTGTTCATAGCCCAGATAACAGACCAATCTAAGTTAATAATGTTCTTAGATGGACCTTGAGATATAATAAAGTTTCTCAAACCTTCAACGGTCATACCTCTTCTTCTAACACCTCTAACAGTGGGGAATCTTGGATCGTCCCAGTTCGAAACGTAGTTCTTGTCAACAAACCATTGCAACTTTCTCTTAGATAATAAGGTTCTAACAAAGTTCACTCTAGCAAAATCCCAGATGTGGACATGTCTTAATTTCAAAGCCTTTAACATCCATTCATATTGAGCGTTACGATCTCTGTACTCAATCGTTCTCAAAGCATGTGTAACACCTTCAATGGAATCGACAATTGGAACACAGAAATCATAAGTTGGGTAGATTTTCCAAGTGGAACCAGTTCTGTGATGTGGAGTTAAGTTACATCTGTAGATAACTGGATCTCTCAAGGTCTTGTTTGGAGCAGTGTAGTCGATTTTAGCTCTAAGACAGTTCTTTAAACCGACTTCGGTACCTTGTTTCATTTCTTCAGTGAAAATTTGCAAGTTTTCTTCAACGGTTCTGTCTCTTCTAGCAGATTTGTCACCAACCATTCTTTCTTCTCTCATCTTTTCTTGGACAGTATCGTCACAGTAGGCTAACCCGTCCTTAATCATTTGAATGGCCAAGTCGTACATTGTTTGGAAATAGTCAGATGAGTAAGTAATCTTGTCACCCTTAATTCCCAATAAGGCCAAATCTTCAATAATTGCATCTTGGAATTCTTCCTTTTCCTTACTTGGGTTGGTATCATCGAATCTGATGATCAACTTACCCTTGTATTGGTGAGCAAAATACTCATTCAAAACAGCAGCTTTAGCATGTCCAATATGCAAGTATCCAGATGGTTCAGGTGGGAATCTAGTAACAACTTTACCGATTTCTGCACCTGGTAAGTCAATTTCAAAAGAAGCCTTGTGAGCTTCTTTCTTACCACCATTGGCAGCAGTCTTGGCAGATTTCCTCAAATCATTCAAGTTAGAAGTGTATTGTTCAATCTCACGTTCGAATCTAGAGTCTTGACCAATGAAGTTATACCACCTGGAAACGTTAATATAAACGCTATTCTTGATGACTGAACCCATCAATGCATTGGCTCTCAAAACACCCCAAACAGTGATATCAGTGATTGAGATTTTGTGGCCAATAACGAAAGATCTGAAGTTTAAGTGAGCATCTAAAGTTTCCAAATCAGTAGCTAATTCCTTGAAGTTCTTAATAGACAACTTATCCAATGCAAATTTAACCCACTGAGATGAGGAGATGGAAGTACTGAAGAGTTGAGGGTACTTTTCAGTTAAATAGTCCAAAATTTCAAGTTGGGTGGAAAATTCTTTACCCTCTGGAGTGGTGAGGTGCACTGAAGCTGCTGGGTTAGACTTAACAGCAGTCTTATCATCAACGACTTCGACAAAAATCGATTCAGTGATATCTTCGGACTTATTAACAAATCCGACGGCAATCAAAGCTGCGTAAGCAACCAATGGTGCCTTAGCAGCAATAGTTAAAGTGTATGCCATAGCTGCCCTTTCTAAGTGGTGAAAGGAGAAACTCTGACTCTTGCGTTTTTCTTTTTTTTTTCCATGCAACTTTTCAAATTTCGCTGTGCACCATCTGCGACTAAAAAATCGGACTACATGCAGGAACACAGATAGCAAGTCTTCACGAAATTTACACACAAAAATAAAAGTGAGCTAGTCGAGCATCTCCAATACTGAAAGCTTAAAAGTACATTGATAACCGAAGATTATCGGAGAGAGAAGAGTTCCAGTTAAATATTATTGGCTGTGAATTTGCATTAGTACGCCGACCTCTTCATTTTTATTCATTCTATCATAATTTAGATGATATGAGTGGTAGTCCCAACCGTTCAAGATCGAATTCGCCGAATCCTGAACATGTCTATAGAAGGTCAACCGCTAAAAGGTCTCCATCTATTTTAGTGACTGATGCCAGAAATGACTCCATAAGAGGTGTTCGGGCACCATTTGCAGGCCACAACTACAAAAAGCAACAGCAGTTATTGCAGAACTCAAATGTAAACAATTTAAACTTGCTTCAACAACAACAGCAGCTGCACCATCAGCAGCAACAACATCTATTACAGCAACAACAACAGCAGCAATTGGTACAACAACAGCAACAACAACAGCAACAGCAGTATTTACTACAGAAGAGACTATCTTCTCGTTCCAATAAATACACTGATATTTCGGTTGACAAGCTACTTAGTAATTCTAGTGATATACCTTCTGGTCAAAGTAGATTACCACCATTATTATCTCGTCAATCAAAGGGGCGGTTACTGTCATCCTCTTCCAGATCATCATTAAATGCTTCGTCATCAAGAAGTGAAGCTTCTCATACGAACTCACTTCGTAAAAACATCAGAAGTATACCGAAGCTATCTCAATCCCTTCCAAGCAGAACTTCGAAGACTTCGCAAAAATTAGTGTTGATTCCAGAGCAACAACAGCAAATTCATTCATATAGACACGGATCGACTTCTCCACCACCAATGTCCATACACCAACAACTGCAGCAACAGTACCCAAATTCATCGGCGATTTCTACTCACCTTCAAGCGCAAATCCAAAGGTCAAGAGCTGAGCTCATGCCCAAAGAAGCGAGAGAACATGAGTTCAATAGAATGACTGCATATTTCATGTGTGACCAATTCAATCTCTCTGGGGTTTCCAACTTTGTCAAAGAAAATCATGAAGTCAAACCTCGTTTATATGACGAAGTATTATACGTCCCTTATTCCTTGCCCTTATTACCTGGTAACGACGGCTATAGGATCAAATCTAACAACTCTGCGAAGTTGTTACCAAGAAAAAAGTTTATTGAGAACATGATTACTAAATCTGAACAGACTGACCATTTATATGAGTATTACTCTGGAGTGGAAACTCTTGAAGATGCCAATAACTATTCTATGGATCCAGAGAATGAAAACTTTGACAACAATTCGCCATTTGATCCTTCCGAGCCTCAATTTTTTGCTCCACCTCAACTTGAAAGAGGAATGAGCGAGGAAAGTGTTTCAAGCAGTGGAACCATTAAGATTGGAGACCTGAATTCGACAAAAGATAATGAACCAGCAGGAGGAAAGGACAGTAATGGTACCGATTCCATAAAAAATGGAGAAGACCAAAACAAATATAACAGCATTAATAAAGGTAATATGGATAGCAAAAATACCAATAGGCAAAACAGTAATGAATCAGTGCATTCTTCTCCAGATGGGCAGGATTCTACACATTCTCAAGAAAGTGAGGCAGAGTCCCTAAGACGGACAAAGCCTGAAAAGGTTCCTCCTTCTACAGAGCTTTCAAAACATCACGCTGAAATGTTTGTGTTCGCCTATGGAGTCGTTGTATTCTGGAATTTTTCCGAAATCCATGAAAAGAATATTTTAGCAGATTTAGCATTTGCTTCTGACGAGCCTAACCCATTACTTGTAAATCCAATCCATGAACAGGACATTGAAACTGAAGAATTTCACTTTGAATATGACAATCAAATCCACAGACCAAGAATATATAATGACATGATTACATTAAGGTCTGGGGACCATCTTATTAAGTTAACTATGTCGCATGCTATTGCTCAGCTGACCAAGTTGTGCCTTTTTGAAAGTAGAATGGTCAACATTCTTCTGCTGATATCTAAGCTACCAAAGAAATTAGCACTAACAGGTCAACTTGGTTTGAAGAGGCAGCAATTATTGAAGAAATCAGGTAAGCTATTCAAATTGAGAGTCGATGTAAATTTGTCCAGTTCTATATTAGATACACCTGATTTCTTTTGGTCGCTAGAACCAGCCTTACATCCTTTGTACACTGCTGTTAGAGAATACTTGGAAATAGATCAAAGAGTCCAAGTATTAAATGACAGATGCAAGGTCTTTTTAGAGTTTCTGGATATTGTCACTGATAGTATGAATGAGAAGAACACCAATAGAATTACTTGGATGATCATTTTCATTATCTTCATAAGTTTGACTGTTAGTGTGTTCGAATTTATATTAGATGTGTTCTAGAATGAAGAAGAAGTAATAAGTTATGCAGCTCAAATAAAACAATATTCTCAAATCATTTATAGCATAGTTAAAAATACAAAATTACAAGTAAGAGAGCCGTCTAATTTTATCAAACTATATTAAGTTGCAGCAATATATCCTTTACTGCCTATGATGGTCATCTCTCATGTGGATTTTAGTTGCACCAATATTTATTTGCAGCCTCTGACGATATAGTCCACCAGTAGTTTTAAGGTAAGCGCACTACCCCAAACAAACAGTACAAATGTCTTTGCAACAAAACCATGTTAAGCTTAGTAGCTCAAACCATGCTCTATGGTGAAGCTGTTGAGTATGTCTCTTCCATCTAGATATGCTCCCGAGGGACTAAGTGCCCAAAGTCAAAAGAAAATAATCACCGTAGGAAAACCTCGAGAGAGCAAGCCAATTCAGTATGTGATTCGAAGGATTGAAAATAGAATAGATGATGCACTGAATTCTAGCGAAGATATTGAAATGATCCCAATGGATGATGCTAGCGAGGTGAGTGTTATATCGAACTACGTTACGGAAAGGAGAGCAAAGAATGATTTGCCGGACTTGTTGGAACTGGCACTAGCTCAGCTTCAGTCCAAGAGTCAAGCTGTTCAACGCATTGAGGATGCAAAGGCTTATTTGGTAATAGATACCAATTTTATATTGTCACATTTGAACATTGTAAATGGATTGAAAGAAATTGCTAGCAATTACAACTACCAATTGGTAATACCGACTACCGTTATACTGGAATTGGACGGATTAAAAAATTCAGAAAGGATACCATCTTCAGAAGTTACAGGTACAGATTCCATATCAGGAAAGTCTGTGGGGATGTTAGCTCGTTGGGCAAACGACTGGATATATTCTAGCCTTGCAGATCTGAACACCATAGTGAGAGGACAGAAAGTGGGAGAGAAAATAGACTTCAAGACTACAAAAGATGACTCTATTTTGGATTGCTGCCTTTATTTACAAAATCACCATCTAAAGTCTGTAGTTGTACTAATGTCAAACGATAAGAATTTTTGCTTAAAAGCTCTCAGTAACGATATTCTTACAGTAAGCTATCGTCCTAAGATGTCAGCACCTCTAATTGCTGAAATGGTTCAACGAGAATTACTAGTTCGCTTTAAGCCAGAAGTTCAGCATGACGTGGAATTGATGGAGGAGGAGAGCATAGAAGATGTTGGAGTACTGCATCAGCAAGAGCAAATCGATTATAAGCAGGTTGGGCAGCCAGCTCAACTTTCAACTGCTTTCTCACAGAAAGCATCATTAATACATCTGGAAGTTGAAAAGCTCTTAATTTTTGCAGTAAAGAAATGCATGAAGTCCAATTACGGAGATGATCTCGATCTCGTCAGAAACTACGATCTGGATCAAATTACTTCGATTCAACAATGTTCCCAACTTATTGGTAGGTTCTGGCAAACAGTTTTTAGTACATATCTCAGGAGATACATAAAAAAGGATGATATAACAAGTGGATGTTTTGACAATGTTCCAACAGATACAGAGCAGTTCAATACCTTTTTAGGCCACTGGGAACTCATTCTTAAGGTATTATACGCAGAAGAAATGGACACAGGCCAAAATAAGTCACTCGCCATACTAATAGAAAGGTGGCATAATTTATAATTTTGAATAGCTGTATAGTGTAAGTTGAATATCTCAGATGACCTTATCTATAAAAAGGTCATTTATTCACGATCTGGATATGTATCAACCTGAGTTTCGATTTCTTCGATTTCTTGTTGCAGATTGTTGGTTTGCTTTCCATCTCTTCTCACCCGCTTGCCAATAGTCATCCCCCCAATTCGCCTCTTTTTGGAAGACGATGGAGGAGGCATATCATGAGTACTTTGGTTCCAGTGGGGGCTAGTTTCTCTGGCGTTTGTTGAAACTACTTCAATAGGAGGACCTCCTTGATCTTTCATTGAGTCGGTGCATATAGAGCTGTTTTTCAAGTTTGCTCTGATTACACTCCATCTGCCCTTCTTTGCGTTGTATGTTTCCATAATTCTGCTCAAAGTCTCTGACTTGGAATACTTTCTAGCCGCATCCCCTCCCCTGTACCTTTTCAAGAGCTCATCGCCGTTTACCGCTCGATAGTTCTCGGTCAAGAAGCTTATGTAGTGGTCCTTAGATTGCAACGCTTCCTCCAACACCGATACTTTGTATTGGAGGAAATCAACCTTGGAAAATAGCTGGGTGTTGAACTGCACAAAGAAATTGACGGCTTCCAGCGGAGTTTGTTCAATAGCATGGAAATTCCACGTAATGTCACCAGTCAAAGTAACTATGAGTTGCTGCAGCTCTAACTTCAACGTAACATTCTTACTACCTTGAACCGACATCTCAGTTTCCAAGGCTTCTAATAGAATTTGGAATTCTGTGCTTTCCTCACCTTTCCCAGCATCTTCCATTCCAAGCGACCTAGCACGTTTAGCAATTTCGTTTACGGTTGCACCTTCCTTCCAAACAGTATCAAAATCAGTAGCATAAAATTGATAATTTTTTTTCTGTTTATCAATTTTCAAGGCGTAGACCACTTGACTTAAACCACTACACTCTTTTTTACTTTCATAATAAACCCACTCTGTTGGCAATGTCATATCAAGCTCAAGAAGACACCGGGGTTCCAATCCAGTTCAATTCTGACCAAATACTGGAGCTCTCTGAAAGAATCCAAGACTTATCAACAAGAAAAGCGAATTTCGCAGATCGTTTAATCGTTCTTATAGCTGGTGTTCCTGGGTCTGGCAAAAGCACCGTTGCATATAATGTGTGCAAGGCATTGAACTCTCAACAACTCAAGACTGAAGTGTTGCCACAGGATGGATTTCACTACTATAGAGAAGAGTTAGGGAAGTTTGATAACCCAGAGGAGGCAATTGAGCGTAGAGGAGCCCCATTTACATTCAATTCACGAGCCTTCTTGAACCTTATCAGTAAATTGAATGACCCCACAAATAAAAACATCGACATCTTGGCACCTTCATTTGACCACAAGCTAAAGGATCCAGTGGAAGAAGATATCCAGATCTCGGCTGATACCAAGGTCATAATCATTGAAGGAAATTATGTCCTACTTAAAGACCCTATTTGGTCTGAGATTAGCCATATAGCTGACGATACTTGGTACGTAGAAGCTTCCAGCGAAGAAGTCCGCCTCGATAGAATTATCAAAAGGCATTTGGCCGCTGGAATTGCAAGTACAGTAGAGGATGCAAGAGCTAGAGCAATGGGAAGTGACCAATTAAATGCATCGTACATTGTAGAAAATTCACAGACTCCTAACGTCATTGTCAAGAACTGATGCTAGAAGAGCCTTTACAATATCCTATCCCCAAAAATTATCTAAATACTTTTTATTTCTATTAAATTTACAACAAGTACATATAAATAGCTATATATACACGAACAATGCAGTTTGATGCCTTTTTTTTTTGTTTACTTTATGATTTTTTTGGTCTTTTTAACTTCTTTTCATATTCATTTAGGTTCAACATTATACCTCATTCTTATACCCATAGCAGCCAATTCTGAATCTAAATATTTCAAAACGAATGGAATGGCAACGGTAGTAGTGTTATCACCACCAACAAACTTCTTTCCTTGTCCATCTTCCCACAATTCAGATTCGTTTACAAATACACCCTTTTGAGTATATTCTTCCAACCTAACTGAACATCTACGACATCTCATAGTAGCCATGGATCCAATTCTAGGTACAGACATTTGGGTGGTAAGTAATGAACCACATGAGCGACAAATAGATGTTTGGGTGTAATCTGAAGAGTTCAACAATCTATCTTGTAATAAGAATGCAGTACCATGCCCGATTAATGCATCTCTTTCCATTTCACCCACACGGATACCACCAGATCTCTTTCTACCCTTAACAGGTTGCATAGTTAATGAGTTAACAGGACCTGTAGATCTGACTTGGAACTTATCGTTAACCATATGTCTCAATCTTTGGTAGTAGACACATCCTATGTAAATATCAGCTCTTAATTCTTCACCAGTAGCACCAGAGTACATTGGTTCGTTACCATGGTAATTGTAACCGGCTGATAACAATTGTTCACCAAAATAATCAGCTGGAGTGTCATCTTCATTGAATTGCCATGGAGTAGCATCTTGAGCGATACCATGTAATGCACCAGCCTTACCAGCTAAAGATTCGACAAACATACCAATGGTCATACGAGATGGGAAAGCGTGAGGGTTGATGATCACATCTGGCTGAATACCGGTTTCAGAGAATGGCATATCAATTTGTGGCCATTTTCTTGAACAGACACCCTTTTGTCCATGTCTGGATGAAAATTTATCACCAATCAATGGAGCTCTTGTAACTCTATATTTAATTGTTAACATTTGTCCTTCTTGATCTCCACTATCATCACCTAACAATTTCACCTCTTCAATATATGCTGGTTCATTAGAGTGGTATGTTTTTACCTTGGTCTTTCCTAAAGTGTCATCGAAGTAGGCAACGATTGGATCACCTTCTTCCACTTTTACACCAATCATTGGTAACCCATCAGAATCTAATTTTTCCTTCCAAGACTCTGGCCATTCATCATCACCAAATCCGAAATGTTGGGTGATGGGGTCACCTCTTCTTCTTGATTGAGCCAAATCCACCTTTTCAACCTTATAAACTGTACCATATCCGAACCCACGTTCATCTGCGGATTTATTGATAATCATCGCATCATCCATATCATAACCGGTGTATGAAATAACTGCAACAACGGCATTCATACCGTTAGGGAAGTTATCCATCCCGTAGTCATCGTAAAGGTTAGCCTTAACAATTGGAGTTTGACCAGTTTGTAATCTATACAATTTATTATCAGATCTATGCACTAATGCAACACCAGGAGTACCCATGGTTTGCTTACCCATTTGACATTGATACATATTTCTAGGAGATTGGTTGAAATCAGAAAAGGGAGTCAAATTAGCCAAGATGGATAAGATATTAGTTGGCGAGAATTCAACGTGAGTATGGATATTATTTTCAATTTCTTGTGGAGTAACAGCAATATTCATGTAAACCTGTTCAAATGGACCTAAAATATCTTCTTTCATTAATGGCAAGTACTTGGTAGGTCTCATCATTCTGGAATGGCCACCGAAAAGGTATAAACCTGGGTATTGACCCTTAGAAGATGGTGGAACGTACCCAATTTCCAAGTTCAATGGTAAATTGTATAAACCTTCAACCTTCCAATATCTTAAAGTGTCTGCAACAATCTTACCTTGCTCATGAGTAGTCCAACCAACGATTTTACCATCTAATTGAATACAGCATAATTTAGGGCCAGCTGCATATGAAGAGGCTGGGGAAACACCCAATTGACTCAACAATTGAGGAACCATGGAAACATCAGATGACTCAGTTGCAATCTTACATTTGTGGGATAAATGGTTCAATAACCCACAAGGTGAACCATCTGGAGTGTGGACGGGACACAAGAAACCCCAAGACTCTGGTAACAACTTTCTAACGGTAGTTGTTTTCATTTCAGTGAAAAATGAACCTCTATGCACCATTCTGAAATGGGAAATGAATCTATGGAAATTAATCTTTTCAGCTACAACAGTGTAACCGGAAACTTGTTGTAAATCTAAACCAGATTGTGAAACTAAATTACCCGTGGAGAGGAAATATTGTAATTTTTGACCAATGTTTTCATTAATTCTCATGAAACATCTTGACATGTACTTCCTATCATTGAAATTTATAGCAACTCCACGGTTTATGTCAGATTGGATTTGCAATTTGATGTTTTGTAAGTATTCATCGATCTTTTCTTTAATAATCATACCGTACAAAAATCCACCAAGAAGTACTTCTTGATGTTGAGTGGCATCTGGATTATCAGGACTACATTCACCAGCAACCAAGGAGTATAATTTTCTAATCATGAACATTAACATTCTGAATTTGTCTGCACTAGAATCCAAGTGTACTAACACAATTCTTTTGAGGACTTCCTTACCAACTTCAATATCAGAAACGTCAGGAGAGGCCCCAAAAACAATTCTGAATTTATCACCCAAGTAGGCCAAAGTCTCCTGTTGACCGTATAAGTTATAGTTTTGTTGATAAGTTCTCAAGAGCAATTCAATTCTATCAGTTAAGAAAGAGTCAGAAGTGTCAGCCCCGATTATCCCGTCAAAGATTTCACGATCATTGGTTTCAATAAGCGCCTTTAAGATCATCATAACTGGGATCAAATATTCGTTCTTCTTCCATGAGAATCTGAAAGTGACGTTACCGTCATTAAGATAATGCAAGACGTTTGTTTGAGAGGTTTGATCTGCTCTAACAGATCTAATTTGGATACCAAACTTGGTATATGTTGCACCTCTATTTCCGAAAGATGGACGGATAAGTGCCATTGGATGGTTTCTTCTCTGCACAATAAGCATACGGATCAATTTCTCGATACCGTTAACAATGAAATACCCACCCAACTCATCAGATTCTTCCTTTTGTTGAATCAATTCCAGAGGAGATAACTTTTCTAAGTGACAACGATTTGACTTCAACATCACGGGCACTTGACCAGCTTCTCTGATTTCGCTTACTTCGTCACCATCATTCACAGACCAGTTCAATTTCAACATCAATCTGGATCTATAGGTGCTCATTCTTTCTCTACATTCACTTGGATAAGTTCTTCTATTTAATGACAATTTGTCATTTGGGCTGACTGATGGCTTGGCTAATTGAACCAGTTCCACTCTGATTTTCAACTTATTTCCCAACCTGTCAGTAGAATTAGAGTCGAAAATGGTCTTGTAGCCAATGTCTTTGACGGCAAGGTTCAATAAACCCCCATCTGGCCCATCAGTCAATGCATTGAACGACCCAACGTGAGGTGCCACTGCATCTTGTAAAAGGGGGAACGCAGACTTATCCTTAGGAGGATTTTGGAAACGTTTTTCACGCTCAAGTGTTCTAAATTCAGCCCTCATTAAGATAAACAAACTATGAAGACTTTTAGTGATGAGCTGATGCCACTGTTTGAAGAGAGAGAAGGAGAGAAGGAGAAGAGATCCTCTGCAATTTCCTCAAATTTTGATGCTCAGCTCTTCGCCAAAAAAAAAAAAAAAATGAAAAATTAGATTCAGATGAGATCATGTGATCAAATACATGTGACCAAATATGGGATGGCTTTAGATCTTCACTAGTAAACGAAGATCCGATGTGACTCTTCTTCTTCCTTTGCATCTTCTTCCCTAACATAAGATGGCCAACTCTCGCTTTGAGTACGTGCGCTCGTTTGAAAGAGAAAACATTTTCCCCCAGGAAACGTACCTTGTAGTCCGAGTAGACGGTAGAGGATTCCATAAATTCAGTGCGGAGTACGACTTCACTAAGCCAAACGACTTGGATGCATTGAAGGTGATGAACCTCGCTGCTAGATCGCTTGCAGAAGCCATACCTGATATAATACTCGCATACGGTGATTCTGACGAGTACTCCTTCCTTTTGAGGAAAAACTGTGAACTATTCGAGAGAAGAGAACTGAAATTAATTTCTACATTCTCTTCTACAATAACTGCATACTATCAGCACCATTGGTCGGTGGTGTTCCCTCTGAAACCCTTGAAGATAGAGAGATTGCCGACTTTTGACGCTAGAGTGGTAATGTACCCGACAGCTAAATTAATCAAGGACTACTTCAGCTGGAGACAAGTGGACTGTCACATCAACAACTTGTATAATACATCCTTCTGGACCTTGGTCGAAAAGGGTCACTTGACTCCCAAAGAGGCAGAGGAGAAATTAAAGGGAACTCTTGCCGCAGACAAGAACGAGATCTTGTTTAAAGAATTTGGCATTAACTACAACAACGAACCGGAAATATTCAAGAAGGGTTCTATACTAGTACGAGAAAACCCAAGCTTACTTGCTGTACCTGAAGATGGCTCTAATTTGTCCGAAAGACAAAAACAGAGAGAAATGAAGAAACTCCGGAAGTCCAAAATCGAGCTATATCACATTGATATTATAAAGGAAGACTTCTGGAGCACGAGGCAATACATTTTTGAGTGAAGTCCTCTATATTCTTTGGACTCTGAATTCTTCGAAGGTTAGTAGAAGTCTTTTTTGGAGAACCAAGCAGAGAGGACAAGAAAGTAACCCATACAGACTGACATCTCGAATATCTAAAACATAGCTACATTACTTTAAACTTAAACTGTAAAATATATATTAATCACTAACAACTCTATATACTAATGTAAATGCAAAAAACGAATGTCAGGTTGGGACATTAAAAATAAATATAAAACTAATAGAAGAACTAAATGTGAATTGAATCACTTAATGAATGGAAAGTGGAGGCAGCAGATATGCGTGCACCCATTGGAACCGGTGCTTGGTTTTGTTCTTTGCAATTAATGCTAGATGTAGACTTGGACAATGTGTTATCCCCTTTGTAGAAGCACATTGAGTTTAATAAGTCGGTGTATGATTTTGAATTAAAGTTTGCATTACTGCTCGAGGTATGAATGCTAGATCCGCTATTAGTGTGTGTGAGTGGAGGGCGAGCCATCTGTGATTGTGGTTGTGGTTGCTGTTGCTCAGGTGTTTTAACTTGTTGTAAACTACTAGTAGCTTGAGTGAAATTTTGTTTTGACTTAAAACTGTTACTGTATCTAGGCTTAACGGTGTTAACGTCAGAGTTTGAGTATGATGCTTTTAAAACTGGTCTTTTTGGCAATTCTTCATTCATGAAGTTATATCTACCAGAGAATGCAGACTTTGTTCTTGGAGTAATGGCAAGAATATTCTTGTCATCATCTCTATCGTTATCATCCTCATCATCGTTCTCGTACTTATCTCTCTTCATATTTACAAGACGGTTTACCAAATCTTCAAATTCCGGAACAGAATTTTTACGTGATGAGACTTGTGGGAGTGCTTTGATGGTAATGTGGTAGTTCTTTTGGTCATTGTTATCCCAAAATGTTTGGTTTGGAATATCGTATTTAATAACCAATTCTATGTTAATCAATGTTCTGTAGTTGGACAAAGGCATGGAGAATTTAAATTGATCGTAATTGGAAGATCTGAATGACTGTACGTAAGTAGAGTTTGAAATGATTATAGATGACTTCCAACCGTTTGTGGTCAACTTGACGCTTAATTTCTTTTCAAATGCAATATTTTTAACCATGATAAATCCAAACAATGACTTTTTATCAGGAGAAACAGATAATGACTGTAAAAAGACAGTCTTATTTCCATTGGCCTGAGTTCTGAATGGCAGAATACTGGGGATGTCCGTACTTGAAATTTCCCAAGATTTTCTTTCAATTTCCTCTTCGTCAGTCAGTTCTTCGTCGTATCCATCAGACAAAGCGTCGTCATCCTTGGTGAAACCTGTCACTGCTGGAGTAGAATCCCAGTCCCAAGAAAAGTATGAATTTCTGAGCTTATTTGCTCTTCCTCCTCTTGGAGATCCGATAGGACTGTTTTCATTGGTGGAAACGGTACTAGGGCTGTCCTTCCCGTCAAACATTTTGATGTTTTCCAATCTCAGGGCAAAACTGACCGATTTCTTCAACAAAACGTTCAGCGTAGACTGACATCTGACAAGAGCAGGCAATCTCAATGATGATTTGACCACATCACCGGACTTTTTCCTCAATAAGGAAGGCTTAACGCTTGAGGAAGAATCCGATGACGATGATAATGTGATAGTAGCAATAGAATCAGTTGATCCAGCATTCAAATTGTTGCTGGCGATCTTGCTCCCTCCGAGACTTTTTTGTGGCGGAGACCACGATCCGGATAAGGAGGACTCAGAGCTCTCTGAAAAGGTCTCTGATAATGAAGTCTCCAGAGACGAAATATTCAACGTTCCTGGTCCCGTGGAAGATCCCTGCCAGGACATCTTTGGAGAAACTAATATAGTAGTGGAAGACAGCTTGAAATGTGTTGAAGGAAACAGGAAGAAGAGTTGTTGATAATTTTTCTCTTCTTGAAATTAAGCAAAAAAAAAATACGGATGGCTAAATTAGTGACCCCCCTCTTTTTCTTTTTTTTTTTCTACAAGCACAAAGGGCACGATTATGCGAGTTTGTTTCTTTTTTCTTTTTCCTTTTCCTTTTTTTTTTTTCTTTTTTTCCTTAGCGTCTCTTGCTTTAGAGGCTCGCGAAAGGTTAAAAGTGAAGTGAAAGGGGATGGGAAATCGTGTCGCAAGGTAGTAGGAGATGAAGGCTCTAAATCAACAATGAACTGAGCTTAAATGAATTACTCCTGATTAAGCTTATGAGCACCTTAGTATTAGCTTAAAAAACAATAAAATATAGGCTTATTGTTTGATTAAGGACCTGTGTTCTATCGCTATTAGATAAGAACTGTGTATGTGGAGTCTCCTAATTCTTTTCGATATTCCTTATAGGGGCTTTTAATGAGTAGCGCCTAAAAGTTTTGCGTATTTTAAATTTGATTTTATTTTTTTTTATACTTCTTGCAAAGTTTAATCTGACAAACGTACGTTTTTTTAAAATTTTAACGTTTCTGTTTTGTTTTTGTCAGCAGTGGTTTGTCTTTAAATGTTATCTCTAGTCTATCCTGATAGCTTTAAAAGAATAACCCAAATCGAAAATAAATAGTTTACGAAATAAATAAATTATGATGTCCGAAAGCGCTAATGACAAATTTTTATTATAATTTTTCAAATTTCTATATTATTAGTAATTTTTTTCTTCCCCCTTGTAGAAGATTTTCTTTTTTACGCAATAAAAAAAAAAGGGAATGCAACAGTTGAAAGCAGTAGATAATTTACAATATGGCTTTTCTAACCGCGGGTGATATAATCTAGTTCCAAAATTTGAAGAAAGGGATTAAAGATCTAGAAAGAGAAGAAAGGAAAGAAAGGGAAGGCTATAAAATATTTCAAATGTACTTCAGAGGGATTGCTTTGGATATATATATCACATTTGCAGCTGTAAGCTGGGCTTGTTTTTTTTTTTTTTTTTTTCTGAGCTCGATTTCTTTATTTCTAGGGCGTGTGGGGCGCAGATAATGCAATTCCCCTCAGGTTTAAGAAGGTTTGTTGAGAAAAAGGTTACGAGCCCTACCCATCTCCAGCTTATCCCCCATAATAAGGTACAGAAAGCTCTGGAGAACTCTTCCTGTTGGGACAGTGTATGCAGTACTAGCGAAATCGCGTACCAAGTCCGAGAGAGCTCATTCTGTCGAAGGGTTGATCTGAAACGCAATAGGAGCCTTGATTAGGTTTAAGTTTGGGCTTTGAACTAATTGTGGGGAATAGGGCGGCGTGCGATCTGCGCTATTTGTAAGAACAGGCAAACAACAACCGACAAAGCAAGACCAATACTAGTGTTCCTGGTGGTTCCGGTCCACATCGAAATAGCCAAAAAAAAAAAAGAAAAAGCGAAAAATTAACGAAAAATTCGAATTAGCGTCCCACGCAGAAACCTCATGCACGGAAATGCAGGTAGAAAAGGTGGGTCCTAATGCAGACAAAATGTAAAAAATAGAGCGATCAGATTGAGGTTATCTACAAAATATTGCACGAGTCTATCATGAAGTCAGTCGAGGTAGAGCGACGAAAGAGATGTGCTACATCGGAAGTTCCCTCATTTCACTGAACGGTTGGCTGATGTGGTGCCAGATCTGATGATTCCATGCTCTACATCATTCAATGCCCAGCTCCAAATGGGGCCATATGGTACCATAATCCAATTCACACTTTGCCCCTACATATAGGTACCACATTAACACACTTCTGGTTTAATTTAATGCACAATTCTGGGTGCATATATCCTAATTCCTTTCCCGCCAAGGCCGTAAATATAAGCATCTCGCTCATCTCGAGTCAAGTCGAGAATATTTTTTAGCTCTGCACTTTATCAAAATCAGAAATTGAATCATGGCTCTTATTGTTCAGGTGACTCCAGTGAATGCTTGTCTCTTATATCACCTAGCTTAAATCAGCATAGGCTGGGGAGCTATGATATCTTTCTGTTTGACTTCTGACACGGAAAAATCACTCACTCTCAACCTTTCTGATGTTTGCTATCGACAATACAACAGCACCCAACCGAAGCGAACATTCCGCTGCTGGTGGGTCTGGTTGATTAGGGCGGTCACTTCGCACTTTTTGCGCTGCTTTCCTTCTTTTTTTTTTTTTTTTTTTCTTTGGTCCAATTTTTTCCTTTTTTTCCCTTTCTTTCCCCCAATCACCTGGTAAAATTACGAGCTCTCATTCCCGCTTCCGGTCTGACGTGACTCCGAGTCCGAGCGCAAACCTAAAATTGCCTAGTTGCGACTGCAACATGCAACTTTAAATATTTAGCACCCTATCAACTTTTCAACCAAGTATCCAACAAAAAAGAAGAAAGAGGCACACTTCCAAGGTGGCTGGGCCAAAGATTGAATTTCTTACTAATACATCGTGTTGTCTACCCTCATTACTTACTTCTGAAAGCTAGACATAGCTGCTGTTCTGTTGCATATTTCTTTGTTTTTTTCGTGATGAGGGGATCTATTGGTGTATTTTTCATAGCCACGCCAATGATTCACCGCCGCCCCCACTTTGTTTGGGCTACTTTAACCTTCCTTCATTCTTTCACATAATATACGAGAAGTGATTTTATTTTGAAGCCGACCTGGGTTGACGTAATTGCACTTTTACATGTTTATTACTTACATTGCAAACTTCGTCAACTACTTGACCTGCGCAAGCTCTGACATCATTTCCACGATCAGATGATGTTTGCCTATTCTAACTTTATTTCTGAAACAAATAGAATAACTAAACTATATTTAGTGCTTGCAGTTGGTGAATGAGCACTGATGATATCATCAATACAGATTAATATAGTTAGTACCTTATTTGGCGTTTAAACACTTCAAAATAGGCCCAAAATTTTATTCGGAATCCTAGCTCTGGGATAAAGCGAGCCAGGCTAAAAACAATGGTTGCTATAACACAGCCATTTTTTAGAACGGAGTTGTATTCCCAACAACTTAACAATAAGGAAATAGTTTCTACTGTGGTACTCTACTCAGAAATAGTGCGCTATACATGCAGCACAATATTGTTATTGTGATATCTATGTTTTACATAAAAGTTTTGCCGCCTTGGTAGCTTAGTAGTGCAATCTCTTTTCCCTTACAAGCAATCTAGCTGCGTAATCTTCGTACACACACATGTAACTATTACAAATATTGATTCAAATTATATACAACGCTGCTTTAAACATACTTTCACTGTGATCAAAATCTCATCAATTCTTACCGGAATCTTCTTTCAACGTCACAATTCTATTGAAGATCAACTTATTATCGGTAGAGTCCTTATCCATACAGAAGTAACCCACTCTTAAAGCTTGGAATCTAACAGTTTCTGGCCTTCCACTCTTTTCTTCAATATTGAACTCAGAGTCTGCAATCTTAACGTTTAATGGGGATCTCTTCTTCACATCCAAGAATGAGGACTCGATAATGGCATTAGTATAAATCTCCTCGCTGTTTGGGTTAATGTCAGAAAGGAATCCATCAGGATGTGCAGAAGGATTTTCAGAGTTGAATAATCTGTTTTGAACTCTGATTTCATCAATTTTGATAGATCCCTCTCCAGATGGTAACCACTGGATGAAAGTCTTAGGTTTCTTGTGCTCACCTTCCTTGTTTAAGTAAGTTGCATGTATGCACAATACGTTACCTTCAGAATCCTTTTCCACAGACTTCACAGCAATATTAAAAGGAACCTTCATCAAACCAACTGGTTGGTTAGGTGTTAATCTGAAATAATCCTTCAGAGGAGTGGAATCGTCTCTAAAATCTGATCTATCAATATAAATTGTGTTGGTGAATTTCAATGTTCTGTTACCACCAAATTTAGGATCTGAATTGGCACCTGGCTTGTAGGGAATCTCAACATCTTCAGAAAAGCTGTCTTCCAAGTTTTCTATCACAACCTTGACAGGATCTAAGATCATCATTAATCTTGGGGTGGTTTGATCCAAATATGATCTAACAGCACTTTCAAATCTAACTTCTTGAATGTTTGTAGTGTTGGTAGTTACACCCAAAGTGTTAATGAAAGATAAAATGGCTCCTGGTGGTACACCTCTACGTCTAATTGCTTCCAAAGTGTACAATCTTGGGTCATCCCAACCTCTAACGATACCTTCGTTGACCAACTTGGCAATCTTTCTCTTAGAAAGAATAGTACCAGTAATGTTTAATCTTCCATATTCTCTTTGAGCTGGTCTATAGACCTTCAACACATCACAAAGCCATTCATAAGATTCTCTTGACAAAATGAATTCAGTTGTACAGAGGGAATGACTAATGTTTTCGAAGGAATCCACAAGACAATGAGTGAAATCATACGTTGGGTATATTTTCCATTTGTCACCAGTTCTATGATGTGGGGCGTTAAGCACTCTGTAGGCAACCAAATCCCACATTTGCGGAGAGTCGGACTCCAAATCTTGTTTCATTCTCAATGTGGCTTCACCTGGCTTGTAGAATCCGTTTCTCATCTTTCTAAATTCTTCTAAGTTTTGTTCCTTTGACTTGGATCTATGCTCACATGCAAATCTTTCACCCCCTAAGGTACCGTCTGGCTTTTGACCTCTTTGCAACTTGACCTGTTCAGGGGTACAATGACAAACGTAACCTCTATCATTTTCAATCAATCTTTCAGCCAATGCATACAATTCATCGAAATAGTCTGAAGAGTAAGTGACTTTCCAAGGCTCAAATCCTAGCCAGTCAACCATATCTAAAATAGAAGTGAAGTATCTTTCTTCTTCAGCTTCAGGGTTGGTATCGTCAAATCTTAAGTAACAAACCCCATCATGGAACTTGGCGTACCCAAAGTTAACCATAATGGCTTTGGAGTGTCCAATATGCAAGTATCCATTAGGCTCAGGTGGGAACCTTGTGAAAACTTTCCCTCCAGTAGCCTTCAAGTGTTCCTTCATCAATTCAGGGTACATTTGAGGATTTTGGCCAGGCTTGTGTAAATCACCAAGGAAACCTTCGGAAAACATCGATCTTTCACCTGAGGCTGAAGTTTCTTCTTTCTTTGTTTCTGATGCCTTGGCCTCTTTCTTGGCAGGTTTCTTCTTTTCCTTTTTCACTGTGTCTCTTTCATCCTTGGGCCCTAACAATTTCAAGATCTCTTCGTCAATAATTGGCTTGAATAAGTTTGGAGCAGCCCATTTTAATTCTGGAATCTTCTTTACTTGACCCAAAATCGCTGGAACGCACGAGTACCTTTTAGTTTCAATATCCTCCTTGTTGGATTGAATGTAATTCACGATTTCATTTTTGACTTGACCCTCACTTAACTCCACACCAACACCAGAGTTTGATTCCAAGTCGGCATTGTTAGCAGTCTCAGGGTTTGCCTTCACATACTTAAATGCTTCCAGGACTTGCAAATTGGTCTTCAAGCGGCCATCTACGATTGCCTTGGTGACGAGTTCTCTGTGAGGTATCTCAGCACCCTTAGACTCGGTAGCCAAAGAATGGAGCAATGCTATTTTTTTATCATCAACGATATCGGAAAGTTTGCCCTCTTCAATGATTTCAGCAAACGATTTGGAAACCTTCTTGTTTTTCAAAATTTCCTGAGTTTTGGTTTCATTGAGCCCAATCTTGGAGAAGAGTGTAGCGAGCTCTTCAGACATAGTTACGATCTAGGAGAGAGAATCGAGAAATGGGGTAGTGAAAAATGTTATTGAATCGTATTACTCGAAGTTCCGATAACTCGTTCTACTAATATTCAATACGCTGTTATCTAAATTACTTTAGATGACTAATTTTTCGGCTCTCTTGTGTTGATATGACTCAAACCTTAATCGTCCTACTGTCATCCCACCTGAAACAGTTTCGCTATCTTCAAAATTTTCCGTGGTGCACCGCATCATAGCGGTCGTGCACCGGTCAATTACCAGTCCTAGACTTGGACTATATACAGGTTTGCAACACTGCTCGTATCTTTGCGGCAGCATGGCGATGGTACGGGACGGTTATAGAAAGGAAGGCGGAGAGGAGAGAGAAAGAAGAGGATGAAAGCTTAAGGCGAAGATCATAACAGAATACCTGTAACAGTTTCTTTGCGATGCCAGATTTGTCAATAGTTGATGAAATTTGCCGATTTGTTGCAACTGGAATCAGCGACAAGAGCCCATCTCAATTGTTATCTGCCGTACTCTCCATACTGAGCACCGGATTCAGCCAATTCCAGTTATTCAATATTAATCGAACATTCCTAGTATTCAAGGAAAAGAAAGTCAGAACAGATACAGACACGAACACGAATTCGCTAATCGTTGCTTTGGCCATTAAGTTCCCGTGTTACTGTAGCAAGTACTGGGACACGCTCATGGTAAGATCTACTAACATCTAAGCCCTGACAGGCTGCAAAAAGTCAACAGAGTCAACAGAGTCAAGCACTAACACTTTTATTTAGCAAATTGGAGAGTTTTCTACAAAACTAATTCAGCCTCTTATCAGCCAGCTGCTTTGTCCGAATGCTTCAAACTGGATATTGTCGTACATCGTCAATAGCCATTGCTCTAAGTTTGACAGCTTTAGGGAAGAAGTTCAAATGTACTTGCATTCTAATGATGCAGTATTACTAGAGGTCAGTAACTTCATTTCCACTAGTAAGGCAATCACGTCCGTTAAGTACTGGATGGATACTTCCAATATTCTCCACCTTGCTAATTTTGACCTGTTTTGCAATTTTCCATTCAATAACAATAGTTTTGTCATTGGGACCGAAAGAATTAAACTAGATATACTCTGCAAAATTGTAGGAATATCTGAATGGACCCATTCTTATGCTGAGATCGTAAATTCCACATCCATGGAAAATGACATTGTTATCTGTTGGATTCTACTAGAGAATGTGTCTAGGTGCATTTTCCTTGAAGTTAGCGAAGTCGCGGTTTTGAGCGTAGATGATTCAATGGCATTGAGTTGCAATGGATACTTGCATGCTGACTGGATGTCAGATTTTGATACTAATAAAAAGTGTCCATTGGTCTTGAAAACAAATTCAGAAGAAGAAACCAAGACTCTCTATCTGAAATTGAAAAAGCAAGATATATTGAAAGCAGTCGAATGTCAGGAAACCTTTACTGTTGAATGTTCTCCAAATTTGCAGCCAATCGTCAACCATACAGCGCTGCTGGGAAAGGAAGTCAGCAAATCCTTTTCTGTTGATTGTTCTCCAAACTTGCAACCAATTATCAAACATTCAACGCTACTGGCAAAAGAAGTCAGCAAATCACCAGAGATCAACCCATTTTTGAGCCAGTCTTTTGAAAATATTATCGAGCCTCAGCTATCAACAATGACAGCTCCTCCCGAGGATACTATTTATTCATCCCCATTCATTAAAAACACCCATCATGACACCAAAGGAACCATCAACATTGAGCTTACACAACCGACCGGACCTAAAAAAAGATCTAGGAGACCTAATTTACTGTTAAGAGATAAAGGCATTATCAATAGCAAGGCCCAAGCTATAAATAAAAACCATCAAGGTAACAATGATTCATCTCCAACACCAAAGTCGAATGCCAGAGGTGCTAAGACCGTTCCTGCAAAACAAAATCAATTGAACAGTTCAAGAGCTGACCCAAAGTTTTCTAGTAGAGTCAAGTTTTCAGTAGGTAAAAACGTAGCGACTCAGCATTACGAAGAGAATACAGAAAACGATTCCTATTCTATGATTTCACCAATCAGCAGGTTAGCAAAATTTCCCGCAATGATTAACGAAACGTCAAAACTGACTACCGTACATGATCCCAGTCAGAATATAGTTTTCAACAATGAAGCAATTGGCCCAAAATCATTATTACTGAGTGAAAGAATATGCCAAGATAGCAGTCAAGTCAATCGAGCAAATCTCAAGAAAAGGAGAAAATTCACACTTCCAACCTCCAGTATCTCCGAATTCTGGGAAAATGATCTAACAGCATCTACCACGTTGGAGACTTCTGCTGGTATCGGTGTGGGCGAAATGGGAAACGAACAAAAGGCAATATTCGAAGGATTCAACTCAATATCCGCTGGGATCATCAAGAAGCTTAATTCATTGGAAGAACAGCTTAAGGCAAGCGAGCTACAATTGAAAAAGGAAATTGTTTCGAAATTTCAAAAGCTAAGAAATGATCACAATGAAAATGTCAAGGGATTGGTCAAGAAGATGAGTGACTTTGCAAAGCAAATGGATTAGCAAATAGAGCCCATTTGAGCACCTACAAAAATTCAAATCCGACAACTATCATTGCTATTATTATCCTTATTATTATTATCATTATTATTATATTGTCTGTAAAAATGCATACTAAATCTATCAAATGCCTTATTTTTTGAAGTTCAAAAATTTGAAGATAGTCTTGCTGAATGCTTGAGGATTATCCAAGTATAAGTGATGACCAGCATTAGGTAAAATTGCATAGCTTGCTAACTTCCTTTCGGCCACTTTATTAATATCTTTAGTCATTTGGTAGCCTGCTTTCTCATTCATCCAATCCTTATCACCATACATCCATAATGTAGGTAAGTTCATCTTTGAAAAGCTTTCAGGGCACCTATCTATTAAAGGGAGTTTAGCCAAAGCACCCAAATCCAAGATTCTTGTTATGGCATATTCACCAGAACCCTTTCCGTTAAAAATACGGTAAATATAATCATGGACAGCATAAAATGTATCTGGATCCTTTACATAAACGTGTGAGAAACGATGAGACGTCCATCCAGATATGAATTTAGATTTAAGTGGACCAATATTCCTCACAATCCCAAACGGTGAATAGTTATTCTTCCACAAATAGTGGAAAAGTTTCTGGCCCCTTGACACCAGTTTTATTTCATCGTCAGCAACTTCACCATAGTCACTTCCCGTGGTTTTTATTGAAGAATTAGAATTCACAGGATGAACAATATCCTCTTGATTTGCAGTAAATTCCTTTGTGAGCTCTGCTTCTCTCGCTATAGGGTCAGCTTCAACTCTAGTAGCAGAGGATGAATTGTCAGAAGAGGGAAGGCTTGCACCTGGCTGTTTAAAAAGGGAGTATTTACTTCTTTCAACTCCAACAGGACTGATTAAGACCAACTTTTCCACTGGGTTAAGGTTCTTTCCCGTTGCTACGTCAATCAAGTTCTTATTGTACTTTAAAACATAAGCACAACTCAAATAGCCACCAAACGAGTGTCCCAAAAGTATAAACTTGTTCAAGTTTCTTTTTTTTCTCCAGGCTTCCATAGAATCAATAAACCAATCCTCTACCTTATAAATATCGGCCTTGGTGTTTGAAGGAAAATTAGGGAACTTTGGCCTGGAAGAAAACCCAAAACCTAACAAATCAATTGCATGAATTTTGATCCCTGGAATCGACGAAAGGCTGTCAAAATTATCTATGAAGAGCCCTAAGGATGCAGCGTACCCATGTACCAACACAATATCCATGGTTTCATCTTTATTAGCTGGCTTTTCAGTATTCTCAATATAGAATTCGTGAATATACTTACCATCACCTATTGGTGTGTTGATCACCTTACCAATTCTTGTGCCGTCCAGCTCAGGGAAAAAGGGCAAGACAGAAAGCAATTTTTCTTCAACTTTTGCATCTGTGTACTTGGAAGACACACCCTGCTTAAACCAATCTTTAAAAGATTCTCCCCAAGTGTACGGAGCTCTCACTCTACCATCATTAAATTCGTTTTTCTTAGTCCCATCTTGTGGTGCTTCTATTGCGGTAGACATCTCACTGCGGTTATCCCTTTCGTGATCCTTTACTAACTAGTTAAAAGTGATCGGCAATAGGAATCAACTCAATCACTAGCGACTCCAAAATCACAACAACAGCGTATTTATGCATTTATATTCATACCTTGAATTTGCCCTTGCTCATCAGCACAACACGTACTTTGCTTTCTCGGAGATAGCGGAAAAACGGAAGTAATCGAAACTTCCGCACATATAAACAGTCGAACTTAGTCAAGTTTTGGGTGAAGCGCAGGAAGAAAAAAGAAATTCTGGAACTATGTAACGTCAGTATGTCATATACCACCAGCCAGAAAAAGAGTACAGGGCCATGCGAGGGCCATGCGATGCAGGCGCGGACTGGAATTAGCCTTTTGATCCCAGGTAAAGGCCGTTTCTTAAACCCACTGCCATGATATGTCCGATCGAACAAAACTGATAGCTGCCTGCATACCATCACACGATAGTGCTACCCTTAGTATTCGGCCGGTAGTCAGCATTGATGTCTCATTCTTGATTCTTGATTCTTGTCCAAACCTGTTGCCGCCCCCTTGCCCTTTATTATGCAACAAGACTTGATTTCGAATTGAATGTCGCTTATCATCTGTACAATGTAGTGTCAAGTGAAGCAGGATGCAACCAAGCACTATTCCACACCGACACAAATCGTCCTACATACAGTATACGACTACATGCAGTACTCAAATACAAGAGAGTTCCCAGACCACAGACTTGCGAGTTCCCAATTGTCGTGCACTAACCACGAAACCATATTGGATTTTCACAAAAAAAAAAAACTAATTGAAAAAAAATTTCTTTCGAGTTTCTTACTTCTTTATCATATCAACTAATAATATACAAAAATGGTATGTGGAGCTAGCTTATTCAACTGTTGATTTGCGGTAAGAGAGTATAAGAGATGATTGGCTATGTGGAGGAACCATCTAGCTCATCGCTTTTTTATTCTCGTACTTACCGTGAACTTATATTCAATCTTACACAGTTTCGTAATACTAACATAACTTTTTCTTTTAGGATACTAAAACTCCTGTTACATTAGCTAAAGTCATCAAGGTCTTAGGCAGAACCGGTTCAAGAGGTGGTGTCACCCAAGTCAGAGTTGAATTCGTTGAAGATTCATCCAGAACTATTGTCAGAAACGTCAAGGGTCCAGTCAGAGAAAACGATATCTTGTGTCTTATGGAATCTGAACGTGAAGCCAGAAGATTACGTTAAGTTGTTGTGTGCATCTATAATACAATTTTATTTTGCATAGAAAGAGGAAAACTGAAAAAATTAATAAAAGATTCATCCAAACTGTCTTTAGCTGAATTTTAGGGTGTTTACAAATATTGGGAGAGGAAGAGACCAATCGATTTTAAATTTCATTATTTTGCCCTAATATAAGTTTAAGTTTAGAAACATCCAGGCTACTTTCAAGGGTAAGCTGTCGTAGACTATTCACCGTAGCTCTGTAGTATGCGTAGATCGAGTTTGCAATCGAAGTGGAAAATGAAAATCGCGGTCATGTGCCTGTCTGTAAAATCACGTGTTGACAGCCAATATAAGGTTAATAACCCTAACCCCAAGCTCGATCTATGTGCAGGATCACCCAAGCGAATGTTTGAAAAATTTTCAATTTCACTCACCAAAAAAAAAAAAAAAAACTAAACACTTCCGTAGTTTAACCCCCTTCTTCATATACAATCGTACAATCAAAGATGGCTCAGCGTGTTACCTATAGAAGAAGAAACCCATACAACACCAGATCTAACAAGATCAAGGTCGTCAAGACCCCAGGTGGAAAGTTAGTTGCTCAACACGTTAAGAAGTCTGCTTCAAGAGTTAAGTGTGGTGACTGTGGTTTAGCTTTAGCTGGTATTTCTACCTTAAGACCAAGAGAATACGCTCAAGTCTCCAAGACCCACAAGACCGTTTCCAGAGCTTACGGTGGTTCCAGATGTTCCAACTGTGTTAAGGAAAGAATTGTCAGAGCTTTCTTAATTGAAGAACAAAAGATCGTCAAGAGAGTCCTCAAGGAACAACAAGAAAAGGAATCCAAGTCTTCCAAGAAATAAGCTAGTCGACCAAAAATCAACCAACCAATCATACAGAAACTATAATAAAACAATACAGAAAAAAAAAGTATAAAAAAGTGGGATACCACATTTACACACACACAACTCCTGTACTATATCCTTATATACTACATACACTGCATTAGGGTAAACCAATTTTTACGTTAATATAAAATACGAAACTACTGGTGAGGTAAAACAAAGTCTATATTATTTGTAGTATGCTTTCTATTTGCTTAGAAACTTTTTAAACGCTTCTTTTGTGGTTTCCACCTTCCTCTTGTTTCTCTCCTTGGACCAATAACTCTGTACCTTGCTAAAGAAAAGAAGATCCTTGATATCCTGGAACTCGGGCGAGATTAAAATTTCCTGGTACAAGTCCATGGCTCTCATATCGAGCCGCTTGAGGATAAAGGGCTTCAACTTTTCAGGTAATCTTTTCAAAGGCGGGTGTGCAACATGTCTATAGTTTACTTCGATGGTCTTGGTGGACCAGGTGTATTTTATGGAGTAATGTGACTCGCAGCTAAACTGCTTTAGTGGGTGTGATAATTGCCTGGATCGACAGGTATCCTCTTCTACCGTATTACTACTGATGCTATGGCTAACCAGTCTGCGTCGTACTTCTTGGGAACAGGAATATTTCATGGAGAACACCTTCAAACCACGGCCCTTAGGAGTGACTTCTTTTCGCACCCACTTGTAGCCTGTTAAGTCAAGCAATGGCTCAACATATTTATCGTGAATTTTCTGCACTACAAGTTTCCTCGTGGTTTCGTCTACTGTCTCTCCATGCCCAGAATGAAGGCCCGCATCAGCAAATTTTATGCTGCACAAATTAATAGGGTGTTTCAAATTTTCACTCAAGGCCTTGAAAAGTGTTTCACAACATGTAATGCGGGTGTTCGAAGAAGAATACTCCTTAAATGAGACACATTGTCCACTCTCTTGTGTGTCAGTCTCACCTATGCACTCACGAAAATCTGGCTCTATGCCCAGCTTTGTAGCATGCAGTTGAGTATCTGGACTAGGTGCGCTTATTGATGAGCTAGTGGATCTCCGAGAGAAAACGCTATCAAAATCTTCTTCAGCGTCGTCCTCGTACTTCCGTTTTCTAGATGCTTCATGTGGCGTATTGTCAGTACTATGTATTAACAAGTCAATATTCATGCAGCAATATTAAGCGGAGATTGAGAAGAATCAAGTCAGGTTAACTAGAAATGAAGAAGTTAAAAGAGTGTGAAAGAAAGGAAACTTAATAAAAAAACTGGGGTACAAAAATCAAACTGGAAACAAAGCAACAATCACCTCTAGCACATAACTTCGTGAACTGACTAAAGAATGAAGAAGAAGGGCCCTTTTTCTCTTTTTTTAGATGGCCCGACGTTTGTACCTCGAAGCTGAGCGGCTCTTCCTCACATTTTGGAAGCTCTCGAAGCAATTGGATAATTGTTATTCTCAGATTTTCCTTTCAGGGCTGTATATTAGAGAATATCGAGGGTTTATTACTATGAGATGAGTGAGTGAATGTGAATTAAGATGGCTCCTGCTATCGTTATGTATAATAAATTCTACTAAATGCACATTCTTCTAAATACTAGAACTTGAAATGGGAAATATAGAAATAAAATAGTACTGCTTTTCTGCTTCAGTATAGTCGTTCACTGATGCCATACATTTTGAGGCTATATCTTTTCGCAGCCATTGAAAAAGAGAATGGTAAATTTATGAAATGAATGTACTTGTTGGACTATTAGAGTAAGTAAACGACTACTGGATTGATAGTTCATTATTGTTATCATTTATCAGGATTCAAGTCTTTTACTTTGTATCTTTTATATCTTTAATCTATTTCCAGGTTAAATTCTCAGGAGCGTTTACCAGTAAATATCTTTGCATTTTCATTAAAATCTGAGAATAAGTAGGCAACATTCAAAGTATAAACATAAGAAGGCTGATTTAATTCACCTAATACAAGAATATCAATCAACTCTAAAGTTTAAGTGAGCTAATGGTAGCATCAGATGATGTGGAGAATGATCTCAATGGAGAACGCTTTGTACAAACCCAAGTTGATGCATACATGTTACATCTGTCAATAGAATTACCAGATTCTCTGACTGCAACAGGCTCAGATATAAATCCATTTGCGTTGAAGATTGCAATATACCAAGGTTCGGTAGAAGCAGATCTCAACATTACTCTTCCATTTTCCAGAAGTGCATTGTTTAATAATTGAATCTCTTCTTCTGCTTCTTGTCCTTGAGGGTCAAACCAATCCATGTGATCCATGATGACAATAATTGTCAATGATTGAGAAGACAAACGCTTCAAAACATCGTTCAAGGTATCAGTATGAAGTCTGAAATTTGGAATTGGACTATTCTTTTTTGTCAATTGATGGTACCCCTCGCTAGTTAAATATGATGGGCAGTTGTTCTTAGCATACTTGGCCTGTAAACACAAGTAGTAGAAGTAGTTGTCAGTACTTAATAAAGATCTCTCAACAATTGGATCTAAAGTATCGATGATATAATTTAATATAGAGCCCTGAATCATATTGGCTTGATTAATTGGTACTCCTAAAGCTTTCCAAAGGAAAACTGAGTTTCCAATTAATAACTTACCAATGATAGGATTAAATAAAGTTGGTTTAATTTTACTTTCCCAAATTCCCTTTTGTTCCTTCATGGTTTTCGAATTACACAATTGATCTACTGCACTAGTCAACCTGGATCTAACAAATAACCATCTAGCCAATTTCAATGCCCATCTAGTAGAACCTGTGTCGTAGTATAAACCATTACCCTTTGGACTGAAAGTTCTTGGACCCTTATCAACCCAATATTGTAAGGCATTTGAAGATAAATGAGGAGATAGCTGGCTGAGTAACAATTGAAGAAATTCCTCTTTAGTTTCTAATTTGCCTTCCCCAAAAATTTGCCAAATTTTCTCCTGATCAAGCTTTGCCTTAAAACAAGCCAACTTTAATTCAAGTAAATGATTTTGACAAGGATTTAAATCAACACCATGAATTTTTTTTGGGGGGTTTGGTAAAGTAGCATAATGTAACAAATTATCACCTGCAGATGTAATTGCCAAGATAGAGTCATTAGAATTGATATTCAATATGTTCATATCTTCTCTAGGATCTTCCCATGTGAATGCATAAATATATTGATTGTTGAATTGTTCAAATAATGGATTCAATTCATCATAGTACACTCTAGTGACGTCTTTTTGATAATATACAGATGGGTATGGTAGACCTCTTTTTTGATTTTCAATTGCAGCTTCATGGCCCTTGGAAACTGCTGAGACATTAGAACTTATTGAAGCGAATGACCCCTTTCTTAATTTAGAATTGCTAAGTGAATCAACACCTTGGGGTAATAGATATGGCGATTCAGTAACGTAGGCGTTAATCTTATCAATCAAATTGGCACACTTGAACTTATCACAGCCTATCCAGATGTAGTATGGAATGTTACCCAAAGTTTTATTTCTCAAATTCAATGATTTTAAAGTACCAAATTTGTATTCAAGGTAATTTCTTCTAGCTGCATCCAAATGAACTTTATCAAATTCAAACCAAATGTTCCAAAAATGTCTGGTTAACCAGGAACCATTCCTGTTTACTAATCCACCAAGAGTGTCGACTCTACCAACAGCATTATAGTCAGACTGAGTACCAAAATCAATTGAACACACAATTCCATGCTCTCTGTTCAAAAATGGGATAATATGATCAACGGTGGAATAGTAGTTTGGAATCATTGATAAAGAATATGAGAAAGTGAAAAGGTCAACACCCCCTCTATTTAAGCCTTGAATTTCGAACTTCGAAGCATCTGAGCATAAAATCTCGACTACCCCCAATTCAATTTCCTTTGAAAACTTCTTCTTTGCTTGCTCACACAAAGAAGATGAGTAGTCAATCATATAAATCTTTCTGAAGTTTTTCCTGTTAATCTTGTAAACGTTTTTCATGAATTCCAAGTTAGAACCAGTTCCACCTCCGATATCAATCCAAACTAAGTCTTTTCCTGTTGGGTGAGAGGCTAATAAATGTGTGACAGCCAACTGTAAAGCATTTTCACGACCTTTCAACAAGATCTTTCTAGTCTGATCATAAATAGAGGCCTGGTTCTTGTAGAAAGACTCCAAATCCTCTTGCTGGTCACCTGATTTACTCTTCTTACCAAAAGGCTTGAAGAAGCAATTGTAGGCAAAAATGAAAATGCCCTTCACGTTTTCGTCTGCGAATGCTGCATACGTCAAGATACCTACGACCAAGATCCCAAAGAAGTTACTGAGGGAGATGGGTAAGTAGCTAATAGAATCTGTTTCGATCATCTTCAAGTGAATAAAAATAAATGGCTGCAAATTATGTCAATAATTGTGAATATATGCAGGAACAACACGGCTCTATACAAGTAGGTAATATTTAGTGAAGATTTTATAGATAATGGTAATATGGTATGACGAAGAATAACCGATTGGCTTAGGTTAGTCTCGGTAGCTGGAATTCTTCTCTTAAGCGTCTAAAGTATGCTAAAAACACTTTCCCACTAAAATATATGCTGTTTCCTATTTATCTCTTGATTCCGGGTACAGCTAAGCTTATACACACTACACAAGAAGAAGGACTGGGGAAGATCTCAGATATCCTATCGATCTTTCTCTTTATTTAGTACAACCTAAGAAAAGAAAATTGCAAATAGCTTCTGCCTTTTAAACAACAAACCAGTACATCAACGACGGCTTTATAGTTACACGTCTCCCACGTGTAAACTGGATTTACTTTAAATTGAGTAGGCTGTTGCAACACACGTGTAAATCGAAACTGAAGCTAAAAATGAAAATAGTTGAAAAGTTGTTTTTAGCGAGCAGACCACGGGGCCATGCATGTCAAAAGTTAAATAAGCTGCGCAGCTTTTAAGTAACGAAAAGTCAATTCCAAGACTTGCACCCATATGGACTAGTTGTGGTTCAGTAGCTACTCTCCTCTTCTACTGAACATTGCCCGCTTGGGTGTATATTCCTCATAAATATACTTTGGTACATTTCTCCACATCCTCAGACCGAGAGAATAGTGTCTCATTCATATCGCTACATTTGGCCCCAGAATTGCAATTCGTATTTCGTAACCTAGCGTGCTTCCGATCGAATAATAAAATTCCTCAGTAGGGTGCGTGGGGGTATGGGTTAAGAAATTTAGCATAATCGGAGTAATGAAACATTATTATGGTTTTCTTGCCTACACCGGTGTACTCGTGTGGAACCAAATTAACTTCCACAAGACGAAATAGGATAAAAGATGAATTCAAGAACATTAATCTTTGATCTTTGAACCTGGGAACATTTCCACGCCCGCCCAATTGGCTCCATTCGATCCCCCGGTACTCAACTCACTATCATTTTTCATTTTCATTTTCCAACTTTTCACACTGGAACCCTCTCCTAGATCTAAGTTTAAACTGTAAATCCGGGGCTGTTAACATGTCCAACAATTTTCTTGTCCTTTTAGTATTCCCTTCTGATTCGACTCTACTGAACTAGATTTGCATGTGCTTCTGTAGCTAGGCTGTATAACAATATTTCTTCTGCAGCTGGCACATTGGCTATTAAATTTCATCTAGTTAAGGTACATACATCGACCTTTAAATTTCACCTGCACTGTCCCTAGCCACGTTTTTGGTTCAGCTCTACACGGTGGTGCTCCGATTGGCAAAAATCAAAGCAAATAGTTCGCTTGTCAGTCTTTCTTCTGTATCTCTTCAAGATCTTCGTCGTCCAATCGGAGTTGACCATCATTTTTCAAATAATATCGTGTACATGATTTTAGAGAGGTGAAGATTAAGCTTCAAAGTACAAGAGAAAGAAGGTAGAAGAAACCTCATTGCCCACCTGCTTCTTGGAACACCAACGAAAAAGACGAAAATGCTCGTCTGCTTCTTACGAGTGCGTTACTACTTACACATAAACAGCCGTTCAGCATCCTAATTGTCTTGTGAGCTTATACTTTCTATTATGGGAATGTGTCCCCTTTTAAACTATTTACAAGTATCATCTAAAGAATGCTCTTATCGCAATATTTCTGACCTAAGCCACTATATCGTCTGCTACACCAATGGCTGACACTTTGACTTTCTTATCCCCAAGTACTCGAATAACCTGTCCCACTGCCCCTTCTTATGAAGCATAGCCAATATCAACACCGCTGGCAAATGCCACACTGAACTCCAAAATACCTTCTTGGCATATACGTTTGCCAATGTAATTCCTTCAGCGGTGGGCTTGAATCCATTCTTAGCTGAGTAGTTTTCTCTCTGTTGTTTCCAAAATTTGTAGGCCCAGTATGTCATCCATCCGTTTGCCAATGAGGAATCGGCAGCAAATACCCAATCGGTGACTCCAAAGTATGAGAGCCCGAAGCAAATTGGAAACATCAAAAGTGAATATCTAAATGCTACTCTAGCATTCAATTTGGGGTTTTCTGCGGCGGTCATCTTGTAGCCAGCATTCTTATATTGGTCAGCAATGTTATGAGATAATGCATTAAAGTGAGGAAACTGCCATGCGTAGAGTAGCGCAGCAACACACCAGGCACCTGGTTCGCTCATTAGCGAGGACGCAGCAGCCCATCCCATCAAGGGAGGGATTGCACCAACTAAAGCCCCTACCCAGGTATTCAAGATGGACTTTCGCTTCAATGAAGTGTATATCCAGGCATACAAAACAATGTTTAAGAATCCCAACTGTGCTACTATAGTGTTCACTCCGAGATACAATATCGTGCATCCTAGGGTCCCAGTGACTGCCGCAAACTTGTATCCCTGTTGTGGAGTCAATGCTCCTGTAACGATTGGTCTACCGCTTGTTCTGGGCATCTGTCTATCAAATTCTGGTTCTCTGGCCATATTTATAGCATTGGCTGCCGCAGAACTTAAACCTGTTCCCAAAGTAAGAAAGATTAATTTAGGAAGGGCGACCGAATAAGGCGAGATGGCATACGAACAGATAGCACTTAGTATGACCAACACAGTTAACCTTGGCTTCGCCAATTTTATGTACGGAGATATCAATTTGGAGATCTCTGAGCGTGATACAGTGACTGTTGTACTTTGAGCCTCATCGTTTGATGGTTTTCTCAACTTGGGGGCACAGGGTACCACCTTGAACGGTACATGGCTGTTCGGGTTTCCAGTAATATCCTTACTTCCGGCCTTGCCATCATCGTGACAGTTCAATACTTTGGTAGCTACTTTGTTCAACGTCATGTTCTCATCTCCTTCTTGAACCAAAAGGTGCTCTTTTCTCATTTTCATGCGCCCTGCGACGTACTTTCTGTAGAGAAATTGATTGCCAATGAAGTTTTGGTCAATCAAAAGGTTCTTCTTGGTGTTGTTGAAAAAGAAGTTGAAATTGGAGGCATTGTTTAGCCTTGGTAATAATATACGTGTGGCCATGACAATGCTATGATAATATATATGGGTCTGGTTGAGCTTGGCTTCTAAATCTTCTCTTCTATCTCTTCGTTATTTACAAGTGAGAACTGACTGTATCTGTACCTTATTTATCTTTCCCTTTTTTAGTCTTTTTGGACCTTTTTTTGGTTCTCTATTTAGGTTTCTAGTATGGATTTATTTGTTATGAATATGAATAGGTGTATATGCCATCAAGAACCGAGAAATTACAGTGTGGTTAGCCTCTTTTACATCTTTAAGATCTTAAAATCAAAAAATCGAAGAAAAAAACTCATGCAATATCTTAAGGATGTTACACAAAATCGCCAACCTGCTGGTAGTTCTCACGAATCAAAGTAACACACTAGTAATCAGGCAATGCAGAGAAGAAGGAGGAGGAAAAGGAGGAGTGCTTTGTGGCATAACTTAGCCGTTTGTTTTCTACTGTGAGGGTACATTGTATTGTTTGAGTTTAGTCTAGCTTAGTTTAGTTTATTTTATTTTTTCATTTCTGTATGATCGATTACATTACTTAGTTCTAATTATACCCTACCTTCATCGTGTTTGTTTCGTAAGCAGCATTATCTCAGTGGAATTGATATCGAATCTTCTGCCTTCCGTCTTCCGCTTTACGTCGTGTTTCTTTCTTCTTTCTTTCTCTCTTTCCTTCGTTCTTATTTTATAATTTAAAATCGGGTCTTACTCCCCGCCTTTTTGCATATTTGGCTCTGCTTAATCCTCCGATTCTAACTTTTCTTCGTTGGCGTTTTCGTAAAGCTTCTTATTCTCAATCTTATTCTCGATTAAGTCGTGGAATGCTATGATAGCTCTCACTAATGTGCTGACGTAAACCATCATGAGTTCGTCATTAGTCTTGACTGTGAAGGCAGTTGCCAATGGGTTCAGCTCGCTTTCTTCCTTGACAGTAGTACTTGTTGGTTCACTTTCATCCTTATTCGCTAAGTTGGGCAATAAATTGAATACATTTTGCAACTTACCCAAGATTACGTGATTTATAGGTAACTTATTGTGATAGACTTTGTCCAAGTAATTAGCAATCTCTCTAAGCTTCTGGTGTAATCCCAACAAAGATTGATAAGTCTGGGTTACCTTTAACAGCAAGGTACCGGCCGCCTGGTCTCTGATATCTCTTAACAAGTGTTCCACACCAATTTCTTCGGCTTCCTCAGCTTCAATGGATGATTGAACATGAATAAAAGTCTTCTCCGCACTAGAACCATCGTTTTTAATATCTTCAATTGCAAAATAAGCATCAGTGGGGATTCCAACTTCTCTTGGTTGCACGTCAACGATAAGCAACAATGGGTTCGAAGTATATTTCTTGAAAACATCGTTGATTTTCAAGTCACTAGACCTCAATTTGGGTCCGGAATGATACCAACCAAGCAATTTTTCTTTGGCATTAATCTTTTTGAACATTTCACACATTGATTCAATATAGTTGTGATCCAAAAACCAAACTCCAGGGTTCTTGTCGTCTTCTTCGAATGGTATAGCAAAGGAATTGGTTACTTTGATTGTATCAGAATTGACCGAGGACTCCCCAAGAACAACACCAACGACTCTCTTTTTGGAATCCTTGGCCACCCTGTTATAATGGTCTACCACGGATAAAAGAACCAAGGGCGAAACTGCCACTGTTTTAGACAGGTAATTAGAATCGGACATGTTGCGTAACGGGGTCTTTATATATTTTAGATTTCCTTCAATTTTTCGTCGATTTTTTTTTGCTAATACGCTTGCGTTGTCTGTGTGAGTACGTGGTGCTTACTACAGGTAACGTGCTGATAATGTTTTCTATAAATTACTCTATGTACTTGTTAAAGGAACTGATTACTTATGTTTTTGAAGGTCCACCATTTTTAAACGTTCATTGACTTGCCATCAGTCGTGTGAGCGTCAAAAGTGAGTTATCAGAGTGTGGGTGCAGAAGGTTCCACCAAGCTGGGGTGCTGCTAGCGCAATTGGTTTAGGTAGGCTGGCGTTACGGAAGTGCCTCTTTAGTATTTAGACTATCACTTGCTATAAGTACCGACCTCAAGATACCAAGGGGCCAAAAAAGTGAGGTATAATTACGTTCAAAGAGAGTAAGTTTGTTAGGCACTTTTAGTTTCTAACGTTTTTCTAGAAGCATCGCATCAAGAACCGCATCATCGCAGCTTGATCACTAATACAGGCTTCGAAAAGCTTTCCTCTGACTTTATAGTAGCTACAGACTTGGGACTTCCGTTCTGCTTGTATCTTTATCGCTATCGTTAACGTTAGCATTGTCTTTATACTTTATATAACATATATACTTTCTCGTAGTATGTTCGGTCAGATTGTAATTGGGCCTCCAGGATCAGGTAAATCGACCTATTGCCATGGAATGCATCAGTTCATGTCTGCTATAGGAAGGAAGCTGTGCATAATAAACCTAGATCCTGCAAATGACAGGCTACCATATCCAGTAGCGTTGGATATTCGAGATTTTATTACACTCGAGGAGATCATGGAAGAGCTACAATTGGGCCCCAATGGTGGACTTGTGTACGCTCTCGAGTCCCTCGATGCAACTGAGATCGATGAGTTTGTTTCAAAGATCGACAAACTATCCAAATCTTCTAATTATTTGATTTTTGACTGCCCTGGTCAAGTAGAGCTTTTCACTCATCACAACTCATTATATAAGATATTCAAGAGATTGACAAACCCTAAGTTACTTGACCTAAGGCTATGCGTGGTATCGTTGATTGACTCGATATATTTGACCAGCCCTTCGCAGTATATTTCAATACTTCTACTCTCACTCAGGTCGATGCTACAGATGTCATTGCCACACGTAAATGTAATTTCCAAGATAGATATGTTAAAGAATTACGGCCCATTACCGTTCAAATTGGACTATTATACCGAAGTGCAAGATCTACAATACTTGACACCACATCTAGAGAAGGAGCTGAACTCTGTATTGGGGAAGAACTATGTCAAGCTTACGGAAATGATCGGAGAATTAGTAGAGGACTTCAACTTGGTTTCATTCGAAGTGTTGTCCATTGAAAACAAGCAGGCCATGATCAACTTACTTAGTGTTATAGACAAAGCCAATGGCTACAGTTTTGGTAGCACCGAGATAGGCGGTGATACCATTTGGAGCGAAGCCACTAGACAAGGTGGATTACCTGGATACAAAGAGATTGATATCCACGAAAGATGGATCGATGATAAAGAAAAGTATGACGAATTGGAAAGGAAGGAACAAGAGGACCAGGCTAAAGACTACCAACAACAGGACGATTCACAGCCGATGGACGAAGATGAAGAATGGGAGAAGGCAGTGGAAGACTGGGAGAGTGAAAGAGGAACCGGAGCATTCAAAAGATGAAACAATAGTATTGATAGAGCAAAAACAGTAAGCAAATACATACGTACATACGAAATAGCAACAAGAGGTAGTATAAAGAAAGCGAAATTGCAGTATACAGCATACAGTACTCTCTGGTCCTATTACTGCGAGTGAGGTTAAGTGCACTACTGTGAGACGCGAATTAATCCTAATGATGATAAGAATATAGTGTCTGCATTAAAAGTAACAACTATGTTTGTTTGGATCTTTTTATTGTTCTTAGTTTTTAGTCTGAATTTTGATAATGATAAATTGAAGTATAGATCTAAATTAAAGCCTTGGCTTCTGTAACATCTTCGTCTCCTTTGTAAGCATCTAAGAATTGACTCAATGCTTCTTTATGATCAGCGATCTTTTTAGTCACTTCGGGGACCATTCTTTGAGATTCTTGTAACACTTCAATTTGCTTCTTTACTTCGTATTCGTCAGCCTTATTTGCCTTCATTTGTTCCACAAATTGCTCTTGCTCAGTGACTTCATTTTTATATAATTTTTCTTCCTTGAGAAGTCTTTTCAATGCATTTACTTTGATTTGGAGGGTTGATGGAGCCATCTTGTGCTAGAATACGTATTCAATGTGTGGAAGAAGATCAATCTTCTTTGTTTGGTTTGTATGTTTTCACTATTTTGGCGGTGTTCTTTTTTTCACTATGAGCTCGTGTAGCAGACTACATGCAGTACATAAATACGTGAGTTCTGTCTATAATAAATGGGATAAGGCTAGTCCAAACACTCTGGTGACGAAGTAGACGTTGTTCACAATAGAGTGGTAATTTCTTAGAACAGCAGCTGTAGCTGCTTCTAAATTTACTCTACAAGTCCATCAAATGTTAATATGTTTTTGGAATACTAGCAATTTGGCCTGTATAAGCAAGACTGAAAGAGCAGAGCATTCCAAAATATAGTCAGCCATCCGCGACCACTTGCATTATTATTCGTCATTTGTCTTAAAGAAAGACCGATTAGGTTCTTAATATACGCTTCATTTCAGCCGTTCCTAGTCAGCAACCGGCTTACGATGCATTACTTCAGCCATAGAAGGTATTTTGAGGGAAAATAATTAAAAAGCAATCAAACCAGAAGTCTTGCGACCGATCGGCCAAAAGTTTTTGCCGACCCTGCAGGAGACTCTGCAACCACTCTAAGGTCCCAGATAACTCTCCAGCACTGGCACAATTCACCTAGTATGGATTGCAAATAAATTCTAATTTGACTGCCAGGTACTGACAAGCGTGAAGTTATTGCCCATCTGCTTTAAACTCAGAAAATTTGAGAATTCCTCTACCGTTTTCACCAACTATATTGTTTGGTAACATTGACTTTCTTGCTAAATTCTGATCGGCTTGAGGGTTTTTTTCTCCAGAATAAATTTAGAATTTGCACCCAAAAATATTTTCTGAGCCTTTTCTTTAACCCACTAAGACTAATATGATCATAGAGAAACTTTAAATCTATGCCGATACAGTTACTTCATTTTTATTATAAAAGAAAGGACTATGTCCATGGGACTATACAATATTTATAAATTCATTAACAATATCATTTACTAACATGAGTGACATTTCAGATAAAGAAGAATACGTACCAGAAGATTACCTCGATGACTCGAGAAATATTACCAGATCAAAAACTGGAAGATCTATACAATCAGATGCTGCAGTCCTGAGAATTGTATCTGAGCTTGAAGAAGGAGCTGGTGCACTTGGTGACTTAGAGCAACCTTATGATTTGCAAAGAAAATTAACACACCAGGATCCAACTTCAAAGCCTCATCCTGAAGACCCTTGGGCATACTTGGTAGACATTGATACTCAATTGCGTATAGTTGAATTTGTTGAAAATGATGATAAGAATCCACAAAATCTCTCCAATGGTGTGAAATGGGCTTATACCTTCTTATTAGGTGCCGTTTGCTTCGTCGTTGCTTTAGGATCTGCAATAGTTACTGGGGATTTAGAACGTCCAAGGAACTATTTTGGAGTAAGCGAAGAAGTGATAATCTTAGCTTCTGTGACAATGTTTGTCTTAGGGTTTGGTTTTGGTCCATGTGTGTTCGCTCCACTATCAGAAGAAATTGGAAGAAGACCAGTCTACGTCTCAACTTTATTTGTTGCAATCATATTTATCATTCCTTGTGCATTGGCTAAAAACATTGGAACATTAATCGTTTGCAGATTAATTGATGGTCTTGCCTTTTCTGCTCCAATGACTTTAATCGGAGGATCATTAGCTGATATTTGGCACGGAAAGAATAGAGGCCAAGCAATGGCTATTTTTTCAGCTGCTCCATTTTTAGGACCAGTAATGGGTCCAATCTTCGGAGGATTATTAGCAGATAATGCCCCAACTTGGAGATGGATTTACTGGACATTTTTAATAATTGCAGGTACATTGTACGTGATATTCATATTTGCACTTCCAGAGACCCACCACAGTACCATTTTAAAGAAAAGAGCACAATACTTAAGAAAAGTGACTGGAGATGATTCATACAAAAGTTTGAGTGAATTGAAAGTAAGAACATTGGCTAAAGTAGCAGAAGAATCTTTTTTAAGACCTTTTGTTTTGTTAAGGGAATTGATTGTTTTTTTAATGACCTTGTATATGTCAGTTGTCTACGGTTTACTTTACATGTTTTTCTTTGCATACCCAGTTGTTTTTATGGAAGGTAAGGGATGGTCAGCCTCCAAGACCGGTATTATGTTTATTCCAATTGGAGTTGGTGTAATTGCATCCACAGCAATTGCCCCATTTATCAACAGTGACTACAATAAAAGAGCACAAGTCTACAGAGACAGAGGTGAATTACCTCCAGCTGAGTTGAGATTAATTCCAATGATGGTTGGGTGTTGGTTTGTACCAGCTGGGCTTTTTGCCTTTGCTTGGAGTTCATATCCATCAGTATCGTGGGCTGGTCCTTGCTTCAGTGGTTTTGCAGCAGGTTTCGGATTCTGCTGCTTGTATAACCCAGCAAACAACTACATTGTTGATTCTTATCAACACTATGCTGCATCAGCTTTGGCTGCGAAAACTTTAGTAAGATCAATCTGGGGTGCATGTGTTCCTTTATTTACTATTCAAATGTATCACAAGCTTGGATATGAATGGGCATCGAGTTTAATGGCATTCATTTCATTAGCATGCTGTGCAATTCCTTTCTTGTTCTACATTTATGGAGCAAGGATCAGAACGTATTCCAAATATGCCTACTCACCTGAAATGGATACTAAGAGAGATGTCGAAAACCAAAAATAATCGTTAATTTAGTGGTATAATACTTATATGGAAGAGAAAACTTTAGAAATTTATATAGAATAATAATAAAAAGAGTAAATCATTTATAATTGTAGTTATCTTGGAGAGGGGACTGCAATAGAGCGACTAATGATCACTTTTGGACTTATAAAGTGAGGGCAAAAGAATTCAATGAAGATTTAGATAACTCCCTTCCTCTACTTTGTAATCCTAGAACCTAGCTAGTTAAAAAGTCAAGTCTTTGTGGATTAGATATATACTTTCACTTATTCAATTTCTTTCGTTTTGTATGTGGCATAATGATTTACAAATACAAATCACATATATGTACTAAGTTTATGAACTCTACAAGTAAATTAATCTACTTGTTCTTTATTCCATAAAAGAATAAAACAACCCCCCCAAGAACTCCCCAAACGAGATCCATCATATGCAATTCACTCCAAGAGTTTCCGCCTCCAAGGCCGAAAACAAAGCTCCCAAGACAAAAAAGCAAAGAGCAGCCAAAAGCAAGTCAACTGAGCCAGCCAACAAGAAGAACCTCAAGTTGATTAAGAAAATCAAACACCTACTAGGTAAAATTAAAAATCTTTTCAGAAGAAGAGACAAGAAGCCTCAGGAAGAAAAGGTATGCAAGTACATCGAGGAGTTGATCAAAACTATCAATGAAAACCCTTTCCCTGCTGACTTCAGCTTCAATGAAGCGAGATTAGAGATCATTTCCCAGGCGAAGTACGAAAACTTTAGAAGCGAAATCTTAGAGACTAGCACAGTACTCCTTCACGCTAACCCATATAAGGAATTCCCAAGATTCTTGTGCCAATCCCAATTACCTCCAGCTACCGCATCATCAACCTATTCAGAAGGAACTAGAATCTTCATTGAAGAAAAACAGGAACAGGAACAAGATGAACAAGTAAAGAAAAAGGAACAAGAACAAGATGAACAAGTAAAGAAAAAGGAACAAGAACAAGATGAACAAGTAAAGAAAAAGGAACAAGAACAGGAACAAGAACAGGAACAGGAACATGAAAAGGAACAAGAACAGGAACAGGAACATGAAAAGGAACAAAAACAGGAACAGGAACATGAAAAGGAACAAGAACAACAAGAACAACAAGAACAACAAGAACAACAAGAACAGCAAGAACAAGAAGAAGAAGAAGAAGAAGAAGAAGAAGAAGAAGAAGAAGAAGAAGAAGAAGAAGAAGAAGAAGAAGAAGAAGAA